AATCATTTAATTATAAAATAATAGTTATTAGTTACTTACTCAGTGTATTAAATGAAATCTAAATACATATTTAAATTACTACAATATTTTTTATTTTATTGTTGTTTGGAACAGAGTACAAGCCAAAACTAGTGTATCCAGACGGTTTCACAATCATTGCGATACGATTAATATCTTTCAGTGATTCATATATTTTATAATTTTAATAAACTCAACTCGATATAATAACTACGCAACTAAATGAGTTGGAAAATTTTGACCGAAACGCCAATCATGAATAGCAATAATGATATAAACAATATGAGAAACGTCATCTGTATTTATTAAACAACTTGTATACGATAAGATAGTAATTCAATTAAGTGTAATTTACTATTTAAAACATTTTAAGGCACAAATTCTTCATTAAAAACGTTTAAATTGATTATATTTATATTACATTTATATTATATTTAAATAAAATACCTATGCATAACGTTTAATTCCGGTAATTAAATTATTGTTAGTAATTTTTTAAAACGGCATAATTATGTAGGTACAGAATGAATACGCTATACCTATAACTATAGTACATATATGTATATTAGGTTTTATAATGGCACACGCTCAATACCACTAACTACGCGGGGAATATATTCAATCTCTTTTTTTTCATTCTTATCGTTTAACCTTTTGCTTGCTATAGTAAAAAATTATCAATTAATTAACTATTCATATTACCAACATAAAACTGATATGCTACCAACCTTGCCATTAACGATATTATTGTGATGAAAAATATCATATATCTAATGTTTTTATAATGAAATAACCCATTTAAGATAACACTTATATAGGGAACTATGAACACAATCCTCCAGACAAATACATCACGTTGTAATGGAACGTACTGTTGTTTTGTTATTTTACGTGTGTTTCACGCAAATAACTAGAAAGTGTTTTAAATCGGTGTCGAGATTACGAGAACTAACGAGAAATGTTAATCCCTTTGCTCGTAAGGAATAACGATCTGGATGTCAGTGGAGGTAACTATAATAATTTGGATCATCTTAGTTCGTAAAGAATTAACATAGATATAGATATTTAAACATGTTAATAAGGTGCTAGCTTAGATATTGCACACTTTACTAATAAATAAAAGATTCAAGTGGCTTCTTTTTACCTCCACAAACTAAGTAATTACATTTAAAATTTAATACTAAAAAATGTCCATTAAATTCTACGTTTTTTTAGACCTTTTAATATAAATGTAAATTCTGCGTAATATCATGTAAATAACATCAAAATTCAAGCTAGTTCTCCAATTTTAATCAGCGTTTCCAAATTTTATCATGATCAATTTAGCGGTCTATGGTCACGATGTCCAACTGATGTGTCGTAACGATGTAACGTGACGAAACAAACAGACAAATAAAATTACACTTATTTAATATTCAAAATGATTATTAAAAAAAATACTCTATTATTCATAAATTAGGGCTACCGCGCTTGAATTATCCGCGAGAGGCGCTAATGTAGAGTAAGGTATCTAGAAATGTCAAATGAATTAAATGTTTACTGTTTGCCAGGTTTCCATCTTGATATTTCACCAATTATTCATGATTATTGTAAATATTTTTCCATTCCTAATTAATTTTAACAGACATAAATTTTAGTGCTTTAAAAGAAGAGCAAAGAAAAAGTCAATATTTTATCTATGTAGTTATTAATAATAACCAAATAGATAAAATATTATATATTAATTATTTTAAACACAACAATCACATTGTCACAATTTTTGTTTTTTTTTTGTTTTGTCCTGGTAACGAATCTATATCTATGGTACATGCATTCCAAACCACTGGTTTTTACAAATACTCATCCGATGTAGCTAAAAATACGTTTTTGTCTATGCCCAAAGCGAAAAGAACTGGGAAGTCCATGACATATCGGTAAAGAAGGTTTGGATTGTCCAAAAAAAAGTTACTGCATTTGTTATTTTGATCTCAATAAAACTATTATGCTTCTGAACTTTAAATTGCTTTTTACTCATAATCCGTTCATTAGCACATTCCCTGTTTCATAACGATAAAACTTTTGTAACGACAGCGATAGCATCTTACTTACCAGTGGCGCCAACTGGTGCCACAGAGTGGTAACAATAGCACATGTGACAATATATTACATGTGACATTTTTAAACTACGAGTATATATATACATATATATCTATCTCATATGAGAAACATTCAAGTTCGACTTATACAATGTTCTTTATTATTATCCCTGTTCAGTACATTGGCTTTAGCATAAATGTACGTTATCTAGTAGGTGGTGAGGCCGTACGCAATTTACGCTGCCCAACAAACAATAAACTAGTATTAACATATATGGTTTTATCGGCAACGATTTGCACACAATGTTTAGAAACGGTGTCGATGTTTTGTTTCCCCGCCTCTCGCCAGCCTGAGAACAATTTTGATTGCATATTCTAAACAATTTATACTTTAATTCGATACTTTATTTCGATAATGCATATCCACACTTCACTTCACTTACACGATTATTTTGATACTCTAAATATATATAAAGATGTTGATAAATTAAAATTATTTAGGCACTGTGTGTACCTAAACAGTGTTTAATCCACGCTAGTAAATTAATAAGAAAATTAAATGTATATGAAAAGAGTATATAGGTTATGTAATCTTAAGTCTTATCTTAATTGTTTATTTTAAAATACTAAGAAAATGTAATTCTATTACAGAGACTTTAAAGTCTCTGATAATAAAACCGAAGCCTGATTTGTTACAACTGCCTAATTATTAATTTAATTTAGATGCTATTAATTTAGTCGTTGCATTTAATATTATTAATTTAATGAATACAAATTACATTTTAAAGTAATAATCGATTAACAACAAAATGGGAGGTTTTCTCAAAAAATTAAGATTAAATTCATGAATATTTATTTCAAACTTCGAATTCAGATTCTCGGGAATGAATTGTTTGTGTATAATATAAGCCAATATTGACATTCTCTTTGACTACTCACTAATCTCATTGTGTTGGTCATTCATTCTATTATAAGTAATATGATATTTTAATTCAATTAATCTGACACAATAAAATTGTATCGTAATCAAATTATGGAAGCAGTCCTCTATCAATGCATCACTTGGAAAAATATAATCATCTTTATATACTTACTTTTCAAGATTTTTATCATTGTTTGCATCACAAATGATTTAGAGAAAATCTAACGTAAACACTTGTTATAAACAAACAGCACCCTGACCTCGATCTGGTCAGATAAAAACCCTTAAACAAAAATACTCGTATTTGTGTCATGTCAAAGTAACTCCGAATCCTATTCGCTTTATGATAAATGCATTGATAGTTGTTATAATATTGTAATTTAATTTTTTTATAAAAGTCGATATATTGAAACAAGAAATACGTAAGTAGTAACTGTACATATAAATAAAAAATATATGTCTGCTGCAATTTTTAGCCTTTCTCGCACGATCGTCAGTAACTCTTAGTCGGCTCATATAAAATATTCATTCAAATATTATCTTCGGATAATAGGTAAACATAATACCTAGATACTAAATATTATCTTTAAAAACCAATAACTGAATATTTTAATGTTATTGTTTTTTTTTTCGTTCGTTACTCCTTCACGTTTGAACGCCGTAACGAATTGTGATGAAACGCACGCTCGTACCATATGGAATAGAACACTTCATCCCAGTTAATCAAGCTCGGGTTGTAGTATATTCACAATAACGTTCTGTTACACAAATATGGCTTAAACATATCCAAGACGGTGACCTTATGATTAATTTGGACAACGCTGAGTTTCCATTGTCGGTAACATTTTCGGCCTTGACTGCAAGTGAGGCCGGTCCACTTTCATGCAGTTTGTATGCCATCGTTCGCACCGTGATAATGTTGCACCGCAACATTCTGCGAGATGCGTACATCACAGATATATGTACTAGAAAGCGTCCAGACGAATCATGTCTCTAGGACACTAGCTAGGAACCTACAAAGCTGCTGAGTAGGCCCTAATTAATATAAAAGCCTACTCGAAATTGCTACTCTATTGATGTGAAACCCTCAACTTGTTTCTGTTAAAGGTCTTTCATGTTTCTTGAGTTTTATAATGGCAAACCACAAATTTGTACCATAAAATAATTGTATACTACCTATTTAATCTTACAATATTTATGAGTCCTGGTTTACTTATCTTTTCATAGAAAAGCTAACATGCGTAGATACATTGTACTGAAACTACTGCATTTGTACTTTTTTCCACTATCAAGTGAGAATTAATATGAATTTATTCGGTTAAATGCAAAAAAAAATGTATATCTAAACGGGAATAAAACTTTAAGTGCCTAGAAAACATCGTATTATATGTACTTTTTGGCTATAGTTAAAACGAAACTTTCTATAATACAATATAATATTTGATTGTTTCTTTGTTAATCAATCAAACAAACTTTGCTTGCTTATGGTAATATTGACGAACACTTTATAAGTTAGTTCCCACGACAGGTCAAACTTTAATAGAAAAGCTAACAGTTCCGCCGTGCCCGGACATTTAGAAACCGTCATATTTTGTTATTTCTCTTTGTTGAGTTTGTTTTACGCCTACAAATGTGAAAACTTTGTGTAGTCTGTTGTACGTTTAAGAGTATATCGTTTTGAATTTTAAATGTATAATTAAATAAACTACAGTTGTAGAGCAGCTTATGGGATGTATATATACATATATATATATATATATATATATATATATATATATATATATATATATATATATATATATATATATATAATTACAATACCACTGCTTTTGTTCGCAAATTTGACAATTATCTAAAGAACTTGAATTAAAAGCGGTAAATCCTTACTTTCAAAGAAGTACATAATGTAATTTTCTAAGTTTCTATACAATGTATATACAAAATACAGTCAATTAAGGTGTATTATATGAATCTTCTGTTTGCAGGACCGCGCCGGAGCCGGGCCCGCTATAATGTAAGCGGCGCAAGACAACGTGCGTTTTCCCTCAAGGTAAGCCTCTTTGGTCATAAAAGTAAAAGCGCTCAAGGATCTTACGGACTGCGGATTATGCACGTTCTATATCACTGACTTGCGTGGGCGGACTATTGAGTTTTAATCTTCAATAATGGCGTCTTGATTTATTAATCATTTTAAAGTAAATTTTGCACGATATGATATTTTAATTGTCTACCTGTATTCAATTTAGTAGTAAGTATGTATAACAATAATATTTTTATAAAATAATCCGAAACAAAACAACAAGTTGGACACCGACAGCGGTAGTTGACCTGAGGCCATTAATTAACTGAAAAGTGCTCGGCATGATATGTAGTACATTTTCATTAAGTTATTTACAAAACATTCCTTTTATTATGTTATATTTTAATTTGTTAAACATGTGTACAAACAACTATTTCAATAAATTTTATTAATTACCTATGTAAGTATGTATACCTATCCAATGTCAAACCGCTTATTAAAATCGATGAAATATGAACTCGTTCACTTTCTCCTTCAAAGGAATTCTGAGCTATACTCTTAACATGCAAATATGAGAGGATATAAAAGTGTTAACATATTTGGACCTAATCACAGTCTGACTAATTCATTTAGTTTAGCTTATTCATTAGTTTTACAAATTTCTACTAGTCGTCGCTATTAGGAATTAGGATATATATATAGGTATATATATATATATGTGTATATATATAGGTATATATATATATATACACACACACGGCATCTAATATGCAGATATCGTAAACTACATAACACTTGCTTACTTGCACGAAGAAGTTTAAGCTTTTCAAATAGATATTAATTTAATTAATTCATAGATATAATAAATAATCTTGTCAAACATCATCCACGTCGAAAGTGGTGTCTTATTATAAAACAAAATTGAACTAAATAAAAGCTCTAACTAATGATACAAACATTTATCTAAGCTGCCCATTTACTTCTAAAGTTATGAGTAAATAAAACAAAGACCAAAGGAAATAAGCCACATGTTTTATTGGAGACTTTAATGTTAAACAATAAAAGAAAAGTTTATTGCTAAAACGAGTCCTGCGGCTCATTGAGGTAACCTTTGCAGACAGTGTCTGCATATTCATCGGCCATGAATCGCGGTGTATTTGTGACTAACTAAATTCGTCGCATTAGGGCACGTCTTCAATCATATTTTAAAATCTAGCACTGCCCGCGGCTCCGCCCGCGTTCAGATGACCAAAAACCAAATTCTTAGGTTTTACATATTAGTATACTCTTACATTGCAGTTTTTGTATTTTTTCTCAGAAATGAGACATTTTCCCGCAGTAAACAGTATCCTATATGTTGACCCAGATAACCAGCTATCACCAAATTTCACCGAAATCCCTCCAGTGGTTTTTCTGTGATGCGGTAACAGACAGACAGACAAAAATTCTAAAAACTATAGATTCGGCCTCTGTATCCATAATAATGTTTATTTCAATAAGATTTTCCAAAAAATATTTAATGTACAGATTCGGCTTAGTTACAATTTTATTATATGTATAGCTATAAACAAATAGTGATAAATGATTTTAAGACACGTATGAAAAGAGTAACATAATCAAATGTTACATTGAATATTTTGAAATATGTAGGAGATATTCAAAATAATAAAAAGCTACAAAATTTGGAAATTTTGAAACTACTCTCCTACACTACGAAACAGTGTTCATGTTAGAAATACACGCGGGCACAGCCGCTTACAGTAGCTATTATGTACCTACAATAAAAATATTTTTATAATATTACTAGCGGCTCATCCTCGCTTCGCTCGGGTTGTCTTCTAGAACGACGAAAACAAACCTATTCCACGGGAATCGTAATTTTTTTCGGGATGAAAAGCAGCGTATGTGTTATTCCAGACTATAATCTATCTCTGTGCCAAATTTCATCCAGATTCGTTCAGCCGTTCTGTCGTGAAAGAGTAACAAACATCCATACATACAAAGTTTCACATTTATAATATTAAATAAATAAATAAATAATACCGGATAATATTAATATACATAAATATAAGCATATTAATAAAAATAAACTAGATTTTATCATGTATATTAAACGATCTTTAGGAGTTACATAATATACATGTAGATTGTTAGCTATTAACAATATGCGTCTGTCATGATATAACTTATATTAATAGTCTAATAAAATGACCATGACAACAATTATACTTTGTTATGAAATTCTATTTAACTGCCTTATCTTTATAAATCCTTTAACAACATCCTCAACATCAACATTATCACACAATATGGGTCACCACTCGTCACTGAAACGTGTCAAACAAAAAATTAAGCTAAACATGAAGTTATCTATTTTTCAAGACTCATTCTAAGCCTGTATTGTATTACGTACGTTTACGTATATACGTAAAAATTTACTATAATGTACCAATTCTTGGAAGGTATGGACCAATCTATACATATAATAAAATGCTAACTAAGCCGAATCTCTACATTAAATATTTTTAGAAAATCTAATTGCAATAGACATTATTATCGATACAGAGGCCGAATCTATAGTTTTTAGAATTTTTGTCCGTCTGTCTGTTACCGCATTATGGAAAAATCACTGGAGGGATTTTGATGAAATTTGGTATGATGGTAGCTGGTTATCCGGGTCAACATATAGGATACTTTTTACTGCGGGAAAATATCTCATTTCTGAGAAAAAATACAAAAACTGCAATGTAAGAGTATACTAATATGTAAAACTTAAGAATTTGGTTTTTATCGCGCGCGGAACCGCGGGCAATGCTAGTAATTATTATATTATAGGAGATGGTATTTTGCGAGGCATTTGAGCTTTCTATACAATTTACAAACAGCAACCACTGAACTTATCTTATTTAACTTAAATTCAAGCAAACAGAGCTTTACGCTTCATAAATAAGTAAGGTGCAAAAGTGTTAACTTAAATATTATATACTCTTAAAGTGAAATTCAAAACATGAAGAAATAAGAATATGGTCTACAATAACATAACATATATAGCAATGATCCTAATATCTACACACCGCCTAAGAATCCCGTGTCTTAAATCGGGAGACTAATGTTTGAAAGGAGATGAATGGGTTCTTTTTATAAATAAACAGATTTACCGGCTGTTCCATACGTTGCGTCGTGCAGCCAAAGCGTCGGAGGCCGCGTCCCACTACGCACTTCACTGATTAGGAATAGGCATGTTTACTTTTGTTTTGGATATTGATGCTGCCTATTTGTTACGCCGCTGTTTATATCTATCAGTAATATACTCTTGTAAAGATTTTATCTTGAGATATTTTATTATTAAATAAAACACGTAGGAACTTGAAATCAAGTAAATAAAAGTTCATTATCTATACGAGAGGTTCTAAGGTTAATTTACGGGCAATGTGCTATATCTACGAATTAGAGACAGAGGGAATGCTAGTTTCACCCATTAACCCACATCAAATGTAATGTTAATGTTAAAAACTTATTTTTTATAATATAATTATCGAAACAAAACTAAACCATATTATTACTTGTCTACTCTATAAGTAGAGTGTAAATTCGCACTTTAAATGACAAATGCCAGTGCCATGCGAAAGCAATTCGAAATATTATAAAGATAGTGAAATGTCACACATGTTCAACATTCATTCACCTGTTGGCAAGCTCTCAGCAATCACCGACACACTTAGCCTTAAGTCACAAAACGTTTGAATAAAAAACGCTCTTTTTTATCGACGCATTTAGAAAACACTTTAATCGTCTTCACGGGCAGAAAGTTTTAGAAGCTTAGTTTATGGTAAGCTTTAAAAGTTGTAAATTTCTCAATGACAAAGTTGCTGGATTTTCATTAAGGTCGGAACTGAGTAAAAGTCGGGTTTGGTACGCCATTTATAACTCAAGAACGGCTGGACCGATTTTTATGATCTTTGATTTGTTGAATTGGTCTCTGCTTATAGAATAGCAGAATAACTATTAAAACATCAGAAAAATTCACGAAAAAAAATATATGGTTAACGCTGGCTAGCAACTATTTATATCTATTTAAAACGTACCTAGGGACGAACCCGAGCGAAACGAGGGTGAACCACTTGTATATAATATTATCCAAACAGGATGGCACAATTTTTGTGAGAGGTTCGTTAAATATAATATTAATTAAGTCCATTTCAAAGCAATTACTTCATGTGACTAGCCATCGGGTACTTAAAGATAGCAGTAATAGACTGTTAAAATTAGACGTTAGTAAAATGAGTCACAAGCCTATAGGTTTCAAGTTGGAAGCAATAACTTACCGGTCACTGCTATGAAGATACACGAAGAGAGGTAATTAGCCTGAAAGTATAATTAGAAGAGATTAAATTATCATAAAGCTATATAAACGGTTATACATAGAAAAATATATTGTAATGTTTTTGCTCAATATATATGTATAACGTATTATAAAATTGTAGCTTTATCACAATTCATCAAATTCATTTCCATTTATATTACAAAGATATGTAAGATATCCTTAAATTGTAATACATTGTAAATAAAAGGAATGTTTAATAACAAGCAGTCAGTTCGCCGCATATGAGTAGCGCTATTGGGCTTTAACCAATTACTGTAATAGCTCTCAATGAAAGCTTCAATTAGCATCATAGTTCTAGTAAACACTCTCGTTGCATTGTTTTGTCTTAAGCTGTGATCTCTTCATATGTACCGATATCGACTTACAAAATAAAATTGCGTTCTCATAACTTGTTATTGATGTTTGTTTGATTGTGATGTTTAACAAGTTTATAATATTAAATTTATCAAATTAATTATTACAATATTTGTGGCTGAAATAACTGTGGAATTTCTTCAAAAAATATTTTATATATTTTTGAATTTTCGTTTTTTTTTCGGTAATATTACTGCACTATGCGTCGGTCACGAGTTCATATGTTATTTATTTCTAAATATGTATGTACAATGTAAAGTAAAGTTATTAAATAATTAGTTTTAATTTGAATTTAAATATTACTGTCTTAATAATACTTTTAAGTACCTTCACAGAAGAAGTAGAAATATCATTTCTTTCTATATAATGTCATTTTCTTAAGTTCCATATTTTTCACACATATTAATCAAACCTTTTAAAAAATATATTAAATTAATAAAACAACGTAATTCCATTTGTTTCATAAAATTAATGAAGTTGACGTAATAGAATATTTGCATCATTTTTTCAGTGCAACTAAGTCAATTATTAAAAGGCAATTTCGCGAAGTATTCGTTGTGCAAACAATCAATATCCTGCCCGTGAAGCAAACTGTAGTTACCTAACATGCTAATTCGTCCGATATCGGTCTTGTCTTGTTGACGGTGGACACTTTCTCGACACCGCTATCCACCACTCAATTATCATACAATGAACATTAATGGATTTGATAACCATGCATAAAATAATCACAAGTTTTTTCTATACAAAGTGAAGTTCTTATATTCTTCATGCCTTTCAAACATACCATAATTACTTCTATTCAAATCAAATTCTATTTCTTTAAATCAGACCTCACTGATGATAAGAGCGTTCTTTTTCTATAATGACGTGGGATCAAATATAAAAACTCCACTCACCCCGGCCCTTTATTATGTTATACACCACCTGTCAGTCGCAAGGGTGTAGTGATGCAGGCCAAGCGTGACTATAGAAAGTTTGTAACACACGTTCCCCTACATGTTCAATGTTGTTGATTCACGCACTCGCATTAATTAAAGGAAGTAGACATATCTAAATAGGTAGGAGCGTTAGAGTGTATTGAGGATAACGTGACGCTTTTATGGACACTTGTCATTGCGTGTCAGTCAACGGAACCTACTAGCTAGTAGCTACTAAGTACGTAGGTATAATTAACAGAATGCTTATGTTTAATGTTTTAGTGAAGTTTTAAAAGGTACGAGTAGCCATCGACTGTTCTGAGAAGCACTCGACTGTATTCTCACTGGAAAGCTATTTGTGTGCAACCCTGCGCTTACGCACCTCTGTTCCGCGATTTTCGTCTCTCTCTCGCATACATGTCAAGGTAGGGTTCAACAATCGAGGATTTGGTACGCGCCAATAATATACACAAATGAACACCATCGCGTGTCTGCTTTGTGTAAATCAAAGTATGATTTCATTAGGTCACATTCCACCAAAGGCGATATAATTTATATCAAGTTGGGACAAATTATTATAAAATAAAATAATATTTACGAAAGTTTTCTTTGTCCTTTTCAAGTTTTTACATCTGGAACTAAGTACACTTAAGATATGTAATCATCAATCAAGCACCCATTGAAACACGGTCAAATCCCGCGAGGCGTTTCCGCGTGCGCTTACGCAGTGCCGGCGCCTGGAGAGCTCATTGCCAGATGCTGCCAATAGATCGCGACGGGGTCAATAGCCACTGCCCTTGTTTTGCGCACTAAATTAATAACTCAACTATACGAATCAACCACACATTTTCGTTTACCCCGTTCTCGAGATAAACGCTTATTATCCATCTCATTAACCCCCTTCCAGCATATTCCATATTCTCTACATTTATTATATTATATATGCATGTAATATGTAATTCATTAAAAGCTAAAAATATTATCTGGAAAACATCATTTTTTTTAGAATGAACTATTGAAACTTAGATAATGCTTGTTATAAATAAATTTTAAATATCTGGCACTCAAAAGTCCTATTATATGCACCATAAACATAATATTCTCTTTGATCTTAGTGAACAATTTGTTAGCCACATTTACAATTTCCTTTGATCATGGATAGATCTATAACAAAACGAGACGAGAAAACTAAACCCATATCTAATATACTGAAACCGATCTGCAGAAAGACAGAAATAACAAGATTTAATATTTTTAGTTATTATTTATTATTAAATAAAACCAAATAATATTTAATTGTTTTTATATTTATTTTTCCATAAGCAATAGTGTATATAACTGCGTACAAATAAATATAAATATATGTATGTATTGTTATAACAACACATATCAGACCATGTAGGTGTATCTAATTTTTTTGTAAAGCCAAATTGTATGTATCTTCTCGAGTTACCCTTGAAGGCACTTAAGAACCAATGAAAAGGAATCCTGTCCTTAAAAGCCCCTATTTGATAAAGTGTCGACATGTATATATAATGTAATGGATTTTCTTGCTTCTGCGATGAATCATTAACTTAATTATCAATAAAGCAAAAAAACACTTCTTTGTAATCTATACATATAATAAAATCGTGACTAAGCCGAATCTGTACATTAAATATTTTTTGGAAAATCGTATTGAAATCGTATTGACTTTATTATCGATACGGAGGCCGAATCTATAGTTTTTAGAATTTTTGTCTGTCTGTCTGTTACCGCATCACGGAAAAACCATTGGAGGGATTTTGATGCAATTTGGTATGATGATAGCTGGTTATCCGGGTCAATATATAGGATACTTGTTATCACGGGAAAATATCTCATTTCTGACAAAAAATATGTAAAACCTAACAATTTGGTTTTTGGTCAAACGAACGCGGGCGGAGCCGCGGGCAATGCTAGTGTAAGTATATATTCTTTTAATGAACGACCTACCATTTACAGTAGTGACAATCATATTGTTTATATCTTAAGCTTATCTACTTTAGGTAATCTTTAAATATTAATAATTATTTTCAATTCTTTATACTTATAAGTTTTGGTCCCAAAAATGCTATTTAGAACTAGAGAACTAACTGTACTTTCGTAGGTACTGCTAGCTACCATATTGCCGTGCTGATCTACCGAGCGTAACTTAATTTTGTGTTTCACTTTCTAGCTTCAAATGTATAACTTGCCTTGTGAGACAATGAACCCTTTTAAAACAACGTGAATAATACAGCAAATGTTTTAAGCCCTAGTTACCACCTGTTATATTTTAGTATCTATAATTTTTAAATACATAAAATTACATAATTGCATATAATATATCACATTAAGGATAATATTTTGTTGTTTGGTACTTGGTTATTATTTATTACTGGTTTCTCGACATGATCATTTTGTATAGAAACAGATGTTTATCATGGTTTATGGTTACAAAATGTCAGAACTGTTCGATAATTTAATAATCCCAATATGAAAACTTTTTTCATTAACCGTCTTACATAAGATTAAATAACTACGGCTAACAATATGTACTTTTTTTTAAATTTAATACATTAATTTTCATTTAATGAAAAAATTCAACGAAAGCTCGTGAAAACTCTTTGTAGGTATTTATAATAAGCTTGCTTTTACTTACTCAAGTGATAAAAAGCCCAAGGTCAGTACTTAGTAAGATCACGATTAGTTGTAAACCATTTAAATTCAAATTTTTGGTCAACTTGTAATCATAATACTACGAATATGATTACGATTTAAAATTAATTATAATTATAATTGGAACATTATATAAATAGAAAATACCTGCAGCCTACTGTTACATAACAATGATTAATTATTTACTAAACTTTCCAAATATAGTTATTATTTATAATAAAGACAATAAGCTACTAATAAAATACCCTAAATATTAATATATTATACATAGTAATTCAAGAATATTATGAATATTTAACGTCTGCATAAAAGTTCGAGATGTTTCTTAACGCATGTCGTTTGCCATCGAGCTATTGAGCTAATGGATAAGGCCAAGCCTTGATCCAGTTCACGATATGATGAGCTCTGGATCATTCGTTAATTTCCATATCCTTGTATGCGAATTCCACTTATATAAATTTATAGTATAACAAGAATATGCACTAACGTGTTAATTTTAAAATATTTATTAACCTGTAATAAATTTTATAGTTCTCTCAAAAGAAGTAAAACTGCTTATCTGTATGTTATTAGGTATATAACTTTGGAACAACTGGACTGATTTCAAGTAAGGCCTATCTGTGGCACGCTCGCCTTAGGGCGGTTCTCGTTAACTTATCTGTTTTTCTTACAAGAGATAGAAATTCGACCTCAGTTCCATACTCTATTATGTCAAATTCCTATCACCAGTCAGAGAAATCATAGATAAAAAGGAAATTGGGATTCGCGCTTAGAAAATATTTGACCAGCGTAGTCGAGTATGACCGTTAAACTTCCTACATTGAGGGTGGAGTGGTGAAAGATGACAAAAAAAATTACTAATTAATTTATTTATTATAAAACAGTATATTATTAATTATTGAGTAACATGAGTTATTCTTTATCGAAATACGACGCGAGTTGAGCCGCAGGCTAGACAAATGTGTAAAATGTAAAATGACATTTGTAACTTCTCTTCATTAATTCAATTTACGCATCGTCTTTCCAGGTGTTTGCGATGTGGTATCCGTGGATCGCGTTGCTGGTGTCGTGTGCACTGGGGGCGGAGACAGAAGGCCAGGTGGCCACCACCACTCGGGCCCCGCCACGCACCCTCGACCGACAGGCTGGCGAGCTCGCTTGGCGCTCCTGGCTTCAGAGCTCGGAGGACGGCAATCAGAACAGCCCACCTAGACGCATCACGACCAAGTCACTGTTCATCACTCCATTAGTCTGCCCCAAAGGACATCGCCTCGATGGAACTGCTTGTGTTCAGGTAAGGTTTTTGAATTACAATTGTTAGTTAAAACGTTTAAGCTGTTATAAGTAGGTACATTAATGTTTTTATCTCTATCGAGTAGAATTAAAAGTACTTATATTTGCTATGGATACATGATATAATTAAAAAGCGATTAAGAATTGCTTTTTTTTTCATTAGTGTTTATTATATGTAATGATATTAAAAAATCTGTTTTACAGGTGGTCACGGTAAGCAAAGATGAGCACGAACGCATCTTGTTAGACCAACTTAACGCCCTGTTTACTGCAGCTCCTAATAATGGCGAAGTCTATGATTACGGCGACATAGACCCAGGCCCACTACAATTATCTATCCCTATTGGCCTAGACCCACAGAGCTCACCTCAAGATCCATCTACACAGGTAATTAAAAATAACTAAATAATATTTTTATTTATTTACTAGCATTGCCCGAGGCTCCGCCCGCGTTCAGATGACCAAAAACTAAATTCTTAGGTTTTACATATTACTGTACTCTTACATTGCAGTTTTTGTATTTTTTCTCAGAAATGAGACATTTTCCAGCGGTAAAAAGTGCCCTATATGTTGACTCGGATAACCAGCTATCACCATACCAAATTTCATCAAAATCCCTCCACTGGTTTTTCCGTGATGCGATAACAGACAGACAGACAGACAGAAAGACAGACAGACAAAAATTCTAAAAACTATAGATTCGGCCTCTGTATCGATAATAATGTATATTTCAATAAGATTTTACAAAAAATATTTAATGCACAGAATCGGCTTAGTTACAATTTTATTATATGTATAGATAATGCAATAACTAAATTATAATTCACGTTCATATTAATAAAAAATTGTATATTAATTATTGTGTTATGACTTTACAGACTCAGGATCTGCAACCTAACTTTGTCAAAAAAGGAGAAAATTCTGATGCCAGTATAGAAGCTGAGCTTGAACTACTTAAACTGCAGCAAGCTCACGCTAAGCTAAACGGTACTGTACCACAAGGCGCCAATATTTTATCTCATAATGTACTTCAGAACTTGCTATCGTATTCGGATAAACCTAAACGAGACAGTCCCATGGTCAATGATAGTGAGAGCGAAACATCAAATATAACAGACGAGGGACAGAAGGAATTGGTATTCGGTCATGTTAATGTCGACCCTGTTATTTATGATACTGATAGCCAATACAATCAGGATATACTAACAGAATCTGAAACCAAAAAATCTATTGATGACAAAAACAAACCACAAATGAATGAACAGAGTAATGTATCGCATATAAACAATACAGACGTTGACAATTCTGAATCAACAGAAAAAGTCTTAAAGAAGGACGCTGACAATACTAAACTTAATCCGGAAATTGATTATTCGGATATTGGAGAGGCTATCAAACTTATTAGCAGATATGCTGAAGTATCGACAGATGACAATTTTACCAAAGATGATAAAAAGCTCCCTCCTTTAGAAGACAGTATATTAGGCACACGAACTAAGCTTCAATACCGACGTAATAGACCAAAGGGAGCTGATAAGAAAACACCAGAAATTCAAAATTCAGATGTTACAAAAGAGGCTAATAATGATAATCTTTACCCGAAGAATATTGTCTATTATAGATATCCTTGGCCAAGTGATAACTCTGAGTTGTCCCACACAAACTATCCACTCAAGCATTTACAGGATTATTGGCCTGGACGTACTCAAATTGGAGGTATTTATGCGCATGAAAATCCGCGACGTCATCATCATTCATATCCTCAGTACTTTCATCCTCGCAGTTATAATATCGAGGGTTATGCAGAAACGCGTTCTGGTCAAGAGATTTATCCCGGACTTCGGCGATACTCGCACAATATTGCAAATCGTGCAAGTCCTATAAAATCTCATGCTAATAACCAGGATCTATACAGCCTCCTCGGCTTAAGGCACTGGTTCAGCAGCGAAGGGGCTTCGAAAAGATAGTTTGCTTCACTGTTTAGACAATTCGATGTTACCCGACGTCATATAATGGAAGCTATGGGAAAGCGCTTACAACATTTCAACTCAATATCTATATTAGACAACCCACTAATATTAGTATTAAATAAAATATATGTTAACTAGTTTCTGCCATAGCTTTCACTATATAAAGCCTATTTATTTTAAAGCCAAATATTACAGTCATAGTGTAAAAATTTTGTTAGCTGTTTTAAGTTTTTGTAAATATTTCTGCAAACAATACCTAAGCGTTTAATTATTTTTCCTGAAAAATTAATTATTATCAATTAGTATTATGATTGTTTTGTATTATGTAAATTGTTGTATTACTAATTTATGTTTATTTGATGTATATTTTTTGTTGTTGTGACTCGTGAGTTAGTCGAATGTAAAGAAAGGTCTCTTAAGATAGGTACCATGGTTTCTTAAGATGCCATACAAACACTGAATTGGCACTGGCTTGCCTTTTATAATACGTTATTTTTTATAATAATTAAGTACTTATGTAGATAGTACAGCTGACCTAAGTTGTTTGAGTTATTAGATATAGTCTATCATACATACCTTATTTATGAGAAATTTAGATAAATATATTTTCGGACAATTTAAACCCACCTACATACATACCATACAACGCGTCTATAAAAAACTTAACATATAACACTTTAAATTTGCAGGTTAAATTTAATTAACTGTTTTCGTATATAACATACTTCCTCTTTTTATTTTACCACCGTGTATAACCTGCATTATCATTATTTAAAGCATTTTTTCTATATATAAAATAACTTTTTTTTAAATATTTAATCTTTCTTATATTTTTACGCTAATTACCGAACTATTACTCATATTATATTGATCCCACCAAAGTTTAGAATAAGTTTTTAGATATATAGCCGCAAAACATTATTACTGAAAGCTACTATTTTCTTAAAAGTTTAGAAGGATAGATGTATTCATAAGCATATTTTTCTAACGAAAATTATTTGCTACATTATGGAACTCTACTTCTAGGAGGCATATAAATACATAGGTAACGTGTTTTTCAAGTATTCTTATATTGAATTCATTGATGTATGGTGATAAAAATACTTGCCATAATATTATTCTAATACACATGTTTCTAAACCAGTGCTTTGCATTTTAAATTACTAATTATAAAATGTATATTATGTCACTTTGAAATATAAAAATAACGTTTTTATATTTAAACTATCAATATCTGTAGAACTATCATTAATTTTATCTAAAACGTTTTTGATGCATGTATTCTTTCGAGTAATATTTAAAATGCTAAATTAATAATAATTATAAATTATTGTGTCAAATCTGTTCTGTACAAATTTTAGTTATAAGAATAACATTAATATAAAAACATTTATATATGAAATACTTAAACCTTATAGTTATAATATCCAAATATGCTTAATATTCCGTTTCTTGAAAAGCAAATGTAGAAAATTATATCAATGCCAGTATTTTATTGTAAATATGTGTTAATAAAATTATTGAAATGAAATGTATTAAGGTATTTTATTATAAAATTATACCTTTACAGCAAAAAGAACACAACTACAGGTAACAGAATAAAATGTTTAAACTTTTGTTAAAATGAAAAAATTGTGAACTTACACAGTAAATCCAATAAACCTTTTACGTGAATTATATATATAATATTTAGAGAAATATAATATATAATGTAATAGGAAAAGTGTAAAATAGAAAAACCATATTTGTTTCAAGATTTTATTGAAAAAAAATATTAAATTTTCTTAATAACACTGTTTACATTGATATTTCCTACAAGTATAGACTTAAAAAAAATATAAACTTGTTCAAATTAAAATATAACCTGGTTTTGCACATACATAAAACTCATAATCGGTAACTAAATATCAAAGGTTTCATACCAAAATTAGAACACAACATAGAACTCAATACTACTACTACCTACTATACAAAACATTTGTACATTATATCACAAAATAAGAAATTTATAATTAAGACAGGTCTTATAATTCAAGGATGTTAATTAACCAATTAACAATAGTCACAGCTAATTAATTAAACAAAGAAATATGTACATACTATTTTATGAGTTATGTTACATTTGAAAATAAGTACATGCAAAAACAGGCTATAACTATTGTTCAAAATTTATTTATCATGGCATTGAATGATATTACGATCTCTATATAAGAGACTCATTAAAGTCATTTTAAATATCAAAAGAAATAATGACTTAAGAACATGTAAGTACTATCAGAAACAAATGATCCAATTTAACATTGGTACTACAATTTCATCTAAATTCATAAATTTGGATACTGTGTTCTGGAACATGACTTAAAGTCAATGATTGAAACCTGAAAAGGAAATTGTAAAAGATTAAGTTTTCATTTTTACATTAATGATAGACATATAAAAATGACTTGAAAAATGTAATTGAGTCATTCTATAATCTTTTAATTTTATTATTATTTAAATTTTACTTTTTGTATCCATGAAAAGCACTTACCACTCAGAGCTCCTGTGGTAGTAATATCCTTCAATCGTAGCGGCTGATTTATGAAAACATATGTAATAGAACCCAGCAAATGAAGCACCATTTATATCTTTTATTGTGTGATCTGGCACTAAAAAATGTTCCTTCCATCTCATAAACACGTAATCAGCCTTTGCAAGAGAATCATAATCAAATGAGTCAGAGTTGAATGTCTTTAAATATGGTACAAACAGGTCAAACTTACTCTGGAAAAGATAACATTAATTGTTTAATCATAGTTGCTATTTGATTGACATTTTAATATCACAATTACAGTTAACATACCCAATGTTTTCTGTCAACATCTTCATCAGCATCCCATTTTCTTGTTAAAAAAGGATATTTAGCCGAAATAATTTCACCATCGAAAAATGTCGTAAGTGTCGGAAACTCCTCAGTTAAACCTTTAATTTTCAAATATCCACATAAGTATGAATTTTCTTCATCCACATGCTGAAAATTTAGAAAGCTATTATTAACACATGATTATACAAAAATGTATTGTAGAAAGTGTTCAATTTATATAAAAATTATAAACAAATACAACCAATACTATCTTTATACAAATAAATTGACAAAGAAGCAGTAATGTTTTAAGTACCACATAGCACTCACGTATTTTCATCTTTTGCGTACTTTGTTTTCCACACTAACCTGCAACACAACTTCTACTTCATATGAATTTCCCTTAGATTTCTGATGCCCTTGAAATTTGGAGCCGTTGTAAAGTAAAGATTTAGTAACGCCAGGTTGTTTTGAATTTGCTGGCGGTGGAGGAGTAATATCAACTTTAACGGGCATTATTATCCATCAAAATGATGACCCAGCTTGTATATAATAAAAGTATGTTATTGACAGGCTGTAGAAACTGGGCACACAGCCAAGTAAACCTCAATACTGTTGAGTGTTGACAGTTGGATTTGCTTCCTTCCAGTATATTCTATTTGTAATCACTGAAGTGATAACATTCTTTAATATGTTTGTTTGTCTTAAAGTAAATTAGGTTTATCTCCTATAAAACATATTAAAAAACTTATTTCCTTTTTATGTTTTAAACGTTTTTATCGAAGGAAGTGAAAGCAACGCCAATATTTAGACATATTTTTGATTGTTCAGTGAATCTGAATACTGAATAGACCACAGGCTATACTAATTACTATATAAACATTAAACTCTGATTTAAAAAAAAACTTATATTAAGTGTAGATATTCATTTAGAGATTTGAGATAATTAATTTTGGAATTTTATACCATAATAATAATATTTTTACATGAATATAAAATATTTTGAAAAATGATCAGCAACATGTAAAGAGCTTTAAAAGTCATACAATATTTATTAAAAAGAAATATTTAAATTACTGCTCAGTCACTTTTTGATTTAAATAAAACTTTAAATAATTCAACAATGAGTACAATAATTAAAATATTCGGCGGATAATAAATAATTACTTACTTAATATTTGAAAACCAAGATAAAGCAAACATTCGAGTACACAATTATTAATGTCTATGGTAATTTAGTATGGTAGGGTTTCATGTTCATCGTCTCGTTGGTTTCGTTGACCGATCAACTTGTTTATAAATTGTTTTGTAATTTAATTTAATAAATAAGTTTATATTTAATGTTTTTACATAATGATTTCTTATAATACTACGAAACGAGATTGTTGTATTGTTAACTGTAATAGCACTTCCGATTTGTGATCTAAAAGCAATAATAGTGATATTTTCTCACATAATTATGGTTAACTGACGTTAGACTGTGCATCCTCAATTATGGCAGACCCAGGTTATTACCACAGTGATTATATTCGACACCCTGTCCTCTATGAGCTGGGTGTCAAGTATGGAATTAAGACGGAATGTATTCCAGAAATAGCCTTGCCGTCTAAGTTGGAAGAGCTCAAGGATGTCATACGTAAAGAGATACGTAAAGAACTCAAAATAAAAGAAGGTGCCGAAAAATTACGTGAAGTGGCTACTGATAGAAGATCATTGTCTGATGTAGCGAATCTTGTTAAAAAAGCCAATTTGAAACTGAACGAGCTTAAATCTGACCTACAGGAATTAGAATCGCAGCTTCTTTTGTCACGCGGTCAATCGACTCCAACCTCACCAGAGGATTTGTCTTATGATGAAGAAATTATTTTGGCTTCTGAAGCTGCACAGCAGCAGCGTCAACTGGGCGAGGGAACTACAGACCGTAAGTTGGCATCGTTGGAAAAACAGTTAAATATTGAACAGAAAGTAAAACAAGGCGCTGAAAACATGATTCAGAGTATAAGCAGCAGTAACCAATCTCGAGATAAGAAGCTTCTCGCTGAAGCGCATCAAATGCTGGCAGATTCAAAGGATAAAATTGAATATCTAAAATTACGTATCTCTAAATTAAGCAAGCAACAAAAAGGTGATAATGCAGGAACTAATGGAGATGGTAGAGGTACAGACATAAGTGGTGTTGATCCTTTACTTGATGAAAGAATTGCAGAACTCAGAAATCGTCTTCGCATTGAAGCAGCTGTAGTTGAAGGATCTAAAAATGCTATAAGACTATTACAAAGTGATAAAAAAGTAACTGACAAGAAAGCATTACAAGAAGCTCAATCAAGTCTACTTGAGTCAACTCAGAAACTAGATTTGTTACGCAAGTCTTTAGACATGCGTCGCCAAGAACTTCCTGCCGAAAGTGCTGCATTTATAGAGTTAGGGCATGAATTGAGAAGCACAGGTTCTAGCCCTGGATATGTTAGTTTAACTGGGGCTAGTGGACCTAGAAATTTGTTTGTTTCACCTGCTCCAATGATTATTCCTTGTGTTCAAGTTACTGGAACCTTAGAAGTTAGACTCATGGGTTGTCAAGATCTTTTAGATGATGTCCCTGGACGTAGCCGTAGGGATCCTCTTGCAAGCCCTTCTGATTTAAAATCTTTTGTCAAAGGAGTTACTATTCGTAATTCTATGAAATATACCTACAGCATTAAAGATGATACAAGCAATGAAATTATGGCAGTTATGAAATTGGACAATCATACTGTAGCTCAAACAAGTTGGAGACCTTGCTCTCAGCAGGCTTGGGATCAAAGGTAATATAATTATCATCATTAGTCATATATCATATAGTGATATGTACATCATATGTGACTTCTCACAGTGCACATTTAACAATTCTTATAGTCAAGTATAAGAAAAAGTATTATTTATCAACAATGTAAAGTCATTTTTTAAAATTTACTAAAATCAATCTCTCCATAAAATTCAATCTAAAATAACTTCTTGTATGCATGATTACTCATACTATCTTATCATTAGGCTGTGGCAACATATTTATTAAATGACTAAGAAAATTACTAGTCTGTCCTATTAATATAGATACTCTATGTATAGTAAGATTAGATAAAAATATTAAATACTATTATTTTTTTTAAATATTCAAGAGTACATTTTGAGGATGCATGGGAGTAAAATATATCTAAATAGATATCATAAGATCTTTACTTATAGATTAAAAATATTTACATAATTACATTGCATATAAAATCTGTAATAATACATATATACAAAATATTTGGTATTATATCAATAATCTTATATCTATACAAATAATAAAATACTAAGTGAGTCGAATCTGTACATTAAATATTTTTTGGTAAATCTTATTGAAATAGTCATTATTATCAATACAGAGGCCGAATTTATAGTTTTTAGAATTTTGGTCTGTCTGTTTGTGAACATATCTTGAGAAAGCCACTGGAAAGATTTTGATGAAATTTGGTATTATATTAGCTGATTATCCGGTCAACATATAATAGGATAGTTTTTATTATGGAAAAATATCTCATCTCTGACAAATCTATACTAAATGTTTAAACATAACTAAGGACAAACCCGAGCGGAGCTAGGGTGAGACGCTAGTCTAAAATAATATTTGTCTTAGTTTTTAGCCGACATCTGTTGAGAATAGAAGAAACTGATAAATTTGTGGGAAGTGGAGAGTAGAATGAAAACCTATTTTATCTTGCCAAGATAATCTCCCAAGTGTCACATTTATACATCTATCCAGATTGGATAGGTCTATGTGTCACTTTGAAGATTGTTTATTTAATATAAGGATAATAGATTTTTGATTAATAATTAATTTTTAATTTTAGTACTAATTTTATGTCATAGAAATTTATTATTATTGGTTTCATTTTCAGATTCACTATCAAGTTGGATAAATCTAGAGAACTCGAAATTGGTATTCATTGGAAAGATTGGCGCGGCTTATGCGCTGTAAAATTCCTAAGATTAGAAGAATTTATAGATGACATTCGACATGGTATGGCCCTGGAGCTGGAACCTCAGGGTCTTTTATTTGCTGAAATAAAATTCTTGAACCCAATAATATCCAGAAAACCTAAACTTCAGCGTCAACGTAAAATTTTCAAACAACAAGGAAAAAATATTCCTCGCCCACCATATGGAGAGATGCACATACCTGCTGTTGTTCTTGGTAGACTTTTAAAGCGTTCGTCGCCCTCTATTCAAAATATTCAAAGTGCACATATTCAATCTCAACAACACCACTTTGAGCCTGACAATAAAGATGTTGAAAATCCTCATGCTACGCTAATAGGAATGGCTGGTGTCCGGCCATTGGGTTTACCATCTGCCCCTCCTCCACCAGTGCCAACAATCCCACCGCAAAAGCCTACATTGCCTATTCATCCACCACCTAATGTTTCCACACTAAGAATGGAAAAGGAATTGCAAGAGGCATTTGCATTTTTGGAAGACTCTTATACCAGGGACAGTTACATTGCAAAAGAGCCTCAGTCCTCTTCATGTAACACTCCACTTGTGGAATATCCACCGTCTCCATCCCCTAAATTAGTATTAGAGTTTCCCAGCAATGAAGACCAGATAGTAGAGATTACAAGTAATATGAGAATTTCGTCATCACGATCTTCTTCTGTCATAGAAACATTAGGTAAGGAAACAGATTCTAGAAGACAATCAGGAGAAATGTCTATGGACAGTTTCAGACTATTGAGTGTATTAGGACGAGGACATTTTGGTAAAGTAATCCTTGCACAATATAGATCCACAAATGAATATTTTGCGATAAAAGCTTTAAAGAAAGGTGATATAATTGCTAGAGATGAAGTTGACTCACTCTTATCAGAAAAACGTATATTTGAGGTAGCTAATGCTATAAGGCACCCATTTTTGGTCAATTTATTTGCATGTTTCCAAACTGACCAACATGTTTGTTTTGTTATGGAGTATGCAGCAGGAGGTGATCTTATGATGCATATACATGCAGATGTGTTCACTGAACCGAGGGCAGTATTTTATGCAGCTTGTGTAGTATTAGGTTTACAGTATTTACATGAAAATAACATTATTTATAGAGATTTAAAGCTAGATAACTTACTCCTTGATACTGAAGGTTATGTGAAAATAGCCGATTTCGGACTTTGTAAAGAGGGAATGGGTTGGGGTGACCGGACTGGCACTTTTTGTGGTACACCAGAGTTTCTTGCCCCAGAAGTACTAACAGAAACCTCGTACACTAGAGCAGTTGACTGGTGGGGCCTTGGAGTTTTAATATTTGAAATGCTTGTTGGAGAATCTCCTTTCCCTGGTGAAGATGAAGGTGAAGTTTTTGATTCAATTGTCAATGATGAAGTCCGTTACCCTAGGACTTTATCTCTAGAATCCATTGCATTGATGCGTCGCTTATTGAGAAAAAATCCTGAAAGACGTTTAGGTTCTTCAGAAAGAGATGCAGAAGATGTTAAGAAACAAGCATTCTTCCGTAATGTTGATTGGGAACAATTACTGCTTCGTAAGGTCAAGCCACCATTTGTACCAACAATTAATAATTTGGAAGATGTTAGTAACTTTGACAGTGAATTTACTTCTGAAGCTGCAGTACTGACACCACCTAAAGAGCCTCGTCCACTTAGTAACGCAGATCACAAATTATTTACTGATTTTACATACATGGCAGATTGGTGCTAGACAAAATTAATTCAGTAATATTATTAAAAAAATTTAGAATAATTAATCATAATAATAATGATAAAAACCCCATTGCCTTACATGTGTGAGTGAAAAAAAACTGTATTTTGATATATTAATCTAATGTATACAGTAGGGTATCTAATGTAGATACTCCATGTTAACTTGTATTTAATGCAGTTGAATGCAATATTTTATAATAAATTGTGTAATTTAATAACATAAGTTTTAAATAGCTCTAATCTTTATTTTTTTTAAAAACATTGTGTTACAGATTTATATATTATGTAGTTATGAAATTAACGTAGTATGTAATAACTATTAAGTAAAAGCGTGTCAAATCATTGTTTCAGTCAATTCTTTATCAGTGAAATAAAGGTATCAACAACAGAATTTTATTTTTTAATAGCCCTTACCAGTAAAAAAGTAAAAACAATTCTAAGCACTAACCTGTCAATATACAAGATATAAACATTGAAATTTCATTGACAATTTATAAATATGCAAATCTGTTACACATAAAACAAAAATAAAATACATTAAATATGTTTTAGAATGTAATATTTCACTATCACAAATGGTACTTATTATCTCCTTATATACTTCATACACAATGAAAATGAGAACTAGCTCTTTTCTATTATAAACCTGAGTATTTATGAACATATTCCAGGTATATATGAAAATATTAAAATATCAATTACCACCATTTTGGCCTAACGGGCTAATTTCAAAATGAGTGGATTAAAAAATTACATTTAACTTGAAATTATAGAACAGAGTAACAAACTTCACACTACAAATGTATGTACACATTTCACACAAAGTCTCAAAAATCATTATCAGCTGTAATATTTCAGGTAACTTCACATCCTCGATCCTTTTTGTTGCAATACTTTTGCACGGTCAGTAGGTTCTATATCATTACTGTTTAAGGAGCTGCCACATTCTCTACTAACAACACAAAGGAATTCTGCATGTTCTTCAGTCCCATAATTATATTGAGACCCAATATTAATTAATTGTTCGAATTTCCAACCATCTGACATAGTGGAAACCATCTGAGTAAGTTCTTCTTCATGGAATTGTAATACTCTATACACATGCTTTTTAGAATCTTTTAGAGGCCTTCTTTCTCTTAAACATATTCTCTCCTTAACTAATCTTATAAGCTCGGTAATATTGTAGAATTCTGCTTCTTCTAAAACTCCTTCTTCTGCTATATCATTATTTATTACAAGTTTACCATGTCGGAGGTAATTGAGCACTGGTGAAAAGTACGTAGGATCTCTATCTATTAAATAAGCGCCTGTTTCGTCCTACAAAAATGTAAACATTAAAGTAAGTATAAATTTTGTCACTCCAATATTCAATGCTTCCAAAAAGAGTATACAATGAATAACGTGAATTCTTTACTCACCCTATCTGAAATTAAGTCACTGTCCTCTTGAACTAATCGATAAAGAAATGAATTTGGGTCCCTACATAGCGTAGTTTTTGTAGTTAAGAAATAAGTTCCTCCAACATTAAGTTTAACCCATTGCTTACTACTTCGTCTTTCATTGTTAAATTTTTGTATATTTTCATCAGAAAAATCATCATCACCTACGTAACCCGCCATGGTTATGATATCATAGACAAAACACTTTGCTTTGTTTATTATATATTGTGTATAAAGCACTACTTGCACGGTAATACTAGCAATGACAAAGTCAAACTTTTGTCTTGAACATGAATTTGTCTATGACTCAAGTCATTTTTATTTTTTATCTTTATTTATAATTGCAACTTGAAAGGCTTTATTTGGGTCCGTCAAAGAAAGTTCGAATTTTTATATTTGCAAGAAATTTGTCTAAATAAATAAAACTTCATAACAGTCTGTTACAGTCAAAAGTGATTTATGGACTAAAATGCTCTTATAGCAATCAAAATCTGTTTTCTGAAATTTCAAAATGAGTAACAATTTAGAAAATGATAGATCGGTCACAACTGGAAAAATGTATCCCATCGACTTGGCTCCTCAGAAAATAACTATTGTTAAGGGAATATCTAACAATGAAGTAAAAATGGCTCATTTAATACCAGGGCCACCGAAAACCACCAGTAATAGTCAAATAATAACTCATGGCGGGACGGGATCTATGGGCTTGATGCGTACAGCAGCACAAATTATTTCTCCTGGCGTCGCTTCTCAGGTAATATAATCTAATATGATCAATGATCACTTTGTTTCAAAATCATTCTTATACTTTTTAAATTATCAATATGGAGGTCTCCATACAGACTGACTTTCTGAAAATGTCTAATCTTGAGATTTTACATAAAATATTGTCTGAATTAAATAGTATTATTGACTATGTAAGAATAGTTTAGCTAATTCTCTAATGATTGATTTCAAAAATATGGAAAGGATTAAATATATAAATACCTAGATAAATAAAACTTAATTACATAAATTTTGTTTCTTTTTAGCCTCAAATGATTATAAGTGGCTCACCAATTTTACAAGGGACACAGATAGTAAGCCAGGGGTCTCAGCTGTTGGGGCAAAATTCACAAATAATATCACAATCTCAACTAATTTCCAGTGGCCAGATTCTTAGTCCTGGCACGCAGATAATAAGCCAAGGCACTCAATTATCAGCTCAAGTCACTAATGCTAACAATACGCTATCCAGTAGTGTGCAGTCTAATACTAGTAATACTGGAAATAGTGCACAATTATTAAATGTAGGTGGTTTAGTTAGTGGTTCGGGTAACTTAGTAGTCAGTTCTTCTGTGCGTACTTTACCACCAAGTGTTAGAGTACTACCACCTATGCCACAACAAAACCCTCGACCAGGTGAGTGAGATTGTTAAAACTTAATTCTATAATAAGTTCAATATAAATGATAATTGTAATAGTGATTATTATATTAAAATAATCCTAATTTAATAATACATAAACATTTTTATAAAAAACATAACAAAAGTATATTAAAAACTACTTGCTTTATTTCACAGTATTACCAAACATGAATGTAAGTAATTCTGGAGGTGTGTTGGTAAGTAAAGGGGTCACAAGCCATGTGCCTCGTGGGCTGGCAGCAGGAGCTTCACTTGCTGTTCGGCCTGTAGCCAATCCCCAGCCAGTTTCTAATCAAGGTTAGTTATTATTTTATTTATTAACTTATTATAAAAAAAAATTGCAGAGCTGATCTAATCTCTAATCAAAATACCTAATAAACTAATATTTGTAACACAGAATGTCATTTAGTTCCAATAATTTGTAAAATGTGTCAGTAGTCTATAATACTATATAATCTATTTTTTAATCTCAGAGACTAAATTGACATAAAAAAATGTTAAATTTACAAATAATGTTGCCAGCTCTTTTGTGCAGTATTGTACCTACGATACCGGTTTGTTGAATCGTAATTTTTTATCTTTATCAGTTGACTAGCGCCTCAACCTAACTTCGCTCGGGTTCGTCCCTAGCTTGTTTCCCAATACAAACTTTCATCCCCATTTTCACCCTATTAAGGGAAGATTTCCAGAATAAAAAGTATCCTATGTCCTTCCCAGGGTCTCAAACTATCTTTTTACCAAATTTCATCTAAATCGGTTCAGTAGATCCAGAGATTATCCCCTACAACGTCACAAACTCACAATGTCATAAAGTCACAAACTTTACCTCTTTATAATATTAGTATAGATTCACTTTAAAGTTTTATATTCCAAAATGTATCGTTAAAATTCACATTATTAATTTTAGATTACCAAATATATTCATTAATTTTAAATCATTAAGTATCATAAAAAATCACATTATTAAATTTAAATTTACATTAATAATTTTGTATTATTATGTTTTAAATAAGCACATTATTTCAGGATAACTTATTATAAAAAAACAATAATCACTAATTAAGAATCGCAAAAAACTGGCAACCCACGTAATGTCAGTTTTGTCTCTGAGATTAAAAAACAGACTATAGTGATGTTTAATATTTGTCCATCACAGGTGCCTGGTCAAACAGTACGCGAGGAGGACGGGGCCGTGCGCTGGTGTACGGCTGCCGCGCGCGGTCGCCGGCGCCCCGCGCGCCCCCCGCGCAGCCCCCGCAGCCCGCCACGCCGCCCGCACCTCCAGTGCAGCCCACACACTCCACACTTGTTACTATGGCATCTAGCACTGTGCTCACTTGTAAGTATTTACTATTTAGATGAATATTTTTCATTACATATATATTTTGATCATTCTTTCTTGTATACTACAAACAATTCTTCTTTTGTCCTTATCCAACACTATGTGGGTAGGCACAAAATGTCTAAATCTTCTACTTCTTTCTATCATCTGTCACTTTGGCACACACCTACAAACATATCCTCTTTCACACATTACACATTTATTTACATTTAATTATATTTTTATTTATTATTAAAAAGAAATAATATACAGCCTATAGTATACATATAAACATGTTCTATATGGTGCTTAGTGGTGTTTCTTTCTCGACTACCATATGGGTTTTAATAAATGTATAAATGATAAAAACACAAATAAATTTATTTTGAATCACATCTTTAAAAGAAGGATTATGAAAATCAATTCACTATTGGGGATGATATTGTGTAAAATACAACAAAATATTGAATACTCCCTTTCGGAAATCGGTCAAAAGCAAAAAATATAAGTTTAACTTCAATAATTTCAGCCAGTGGTGTAATATCGAGCACGGTTCGAGGTGCTGCGCCGCGTGCGACCACGCCCACGCCGGCGCCCGCCTCGCGCCCTCTGCCGCTCCTACAGAGGAACTACCAGCCCACTAAGGTATACCTCTTTTATTAGTTGTCTAATCATTGTTTTTGTATTTCCTTATTGGCTATAGGGTACCAACGCGACCATGCCTGGCTGGCTTAAACTGGATCTAGAGTTACATTCCATTATTTTATCTTGGCTGGGAAAGTGTTTCCCTAGGGCTTAAATGATTACTAGTCTAGTTTAGAAGTTCAAAATGGTGTTAGTTTCTAAAACAGCTCCTAAAAATATGAGCGGACAGCCAGTAGCGGACTTAGGTTCGATGGCGCCCTAAGCCCAAGTCGATAAGGCGCCTTTTTTCTTTCAAACAGTATAACATAATGATAATAATAATAAATCTAATTCAGGTATAACCATTTTTTAAATATATATAACAGATATAGGATTAATAATAAAATGGCTTGTAATTAAAATATAAATTTTGCCACTATAGAAAAATGTATTAAATTTTTTTGTAACACAAAATATTGCAAAAATTATAAACAAATGAAGATGAAAAAAGGCTTCTCTAATAACTAAAAAACTATAAGCGACAGCCAAAATCGGAAAAATTCTTAAGGAGAAAATTTTCAATCAAAAATTCTGAACTCCTAGAACTCTTTATCTTCATTATTTACAATTTTAATTTAATTTTATGGCTTTTTATGTATAGTAATATCTTACTAAAGACTGATTTTTAATTCGACGGAATTCTGACATTTCTGAAGTGTTGTCAACTTTGAAACATTGTCACTAAAAACGGAAAGCATTTTAGCAAAATAAAAAATAAACCTTTCTTGAATTTAAGGTTTCAATTAAAAAAACTAAGACTTAAAAAATTATCGATAACTCTAAAATGGTAATTATTATTTTTATTATCATATTATTGAAGTTACAATAATTATTAAGGAAATTATTTTCTATTACAGGAATCCCTGTACAATAATCCATAGGTTGCAAGCCTTTTTTAAGGAAAACCCCTTTGTAAAATATTTTGTTTTACTCTGTTTTATTCATTTAACCAATTAAAAATTTACATTATAGTTAGAGTGCATTAAATGCACAAAACAAAGACTATTTACAATGTCGTACATATAGTTTACTTGATCTAATTCTGTTTCATATTTTTTGTTACTATATATTAAAAAAATCAAAGCAGAAAAGGTTTATGATATCTGAATTGTCAAAGAATGACAGCTGTCATATTTCCGTGGAATTAAAAATCAGACTTTAGCTTTTGAAACAGACTGTCAATTTCACAAATGTGTGTGTTAGACTGAGTGTGTCTCACAATGACACAAGTGCATTCTTTTCTTTTTATTTTTATAATCATCAGATTACTTACAGGATATGATAAAGATAATATCTTGCAAAATACTAAATTTTTCATTTCATTTCATTCTTTGAAATTAAAAATTGCATATATATGTGGTTTATTATAAGCATACAAAAAAATGGGGAGTGTTAATTCAATCTATTTATGTTTGCTTGAATAGATAATAGATGTCGTTGATCCATAAACTTACAAACTACGAACATACTTTATATATAAATTAGTTATAATGTGTAAACTAAATTATGTTAGCTATTGGATAATTCATCCTGCACCTACGCTAACAGTACGTTCAACAGTTTTAATTGTGAAAAATAATTCATAAAAAGTAAAAGCGCCATCTATATACAATACAAGCCAATTATCTGATTGCTGGATTTTAAATAATCTGTAAAATTACGCTTTGATTTACGAGTATAAAATTTCGTTTTCCTTTTACTTTTTAAAACCATAATAAACCATTCTGGGATCTATTTATTATTTTTTGTATAATTTAAAATTTTACACAAACCAAAATAACAAATTGAAACATAATATAATGCCAATTATTTGAACTAAATTATGTTTGTTCCTGATGAGTAGCCATGCTTTAATATTCTCTTGATAAATATAATAACATTCAATTTTAATATGTTACCTTTATTTAAAAATATGTAAATAATAAAAAAACCATGGGTGTGTACTGTGTATTTATGTACGCACGTAGTTTATACTTCTTTGGCGTAACAGAACAAAAATAGCTAAAGATTTCATTCCGTATATATAACTCTGTGTTTGTAAAAGGAATGCAGCTAACTTCATCATGTCGCTTTTTGGCTGTCGGTTTGCGCGTGCGACCTAAAAACTTTACAAAATAAAAGATATATAGATAGGTATTTGAATACATAAGTACGACACTTCGCAGGTGGTAGGCGTGGCGAGCGTGCGCGGCGTGGGCAACAGCGCGCCGCCGCAGCTGTACTACGAGGTGCCGCGGCCGGCGCCGCACCAGCCGCTGCACTCCCAGCAGATACAGCAACAGCTCCGTCCCATCACTAGTAAGAGTCTTGGTGGGATATCGTTTTGTATGGTGGTCGAAATGTCTATATGTTTGTAGATGCTTTTCTTTAATTTTTATTGGTCAAAATCGTAGTCTTTTTCATTTCATGTAACATTGGCCTGGCAAATTTTGTTCAAACAATTACAGAAAATTTAAATTGAATTAAGGTATCCTTAATCGGATTGATTTAATGAATGCATAAGTTTGTATGTATGAGTTTGTTTGATACTCTTTTATACTGAAACAGCGATACGAATTTTAGGTTAAATTTACTACACAGATAAAGTATGGCCCGGAGTAGGTATAACATAGGCTACTTTTAAGCACATATGGAGCAAGCGAGAATATCTATCATATCATATCTATATAGAAAATATTGTTTTAAATTCACAATATAAGATTAGTCTCATAATTGCATATCTTATAAATTAAAATATTATATAGTTATTATAATAGTTAATGTTGTAAATACAGTAAGCGTCGTGACCACCGCGCAGGCCGCGGAGCCGCGCCAGCAGCCCGCCTCCGTCCAGTCCTCTATCCTGCCCCGACCTTCCATATTACGGAAACGGGATGTTGAAGGGTAAAGTAACAAAACTTTTAGTACCAATTGACTAAAGAATGTTTTTAAATTCGATATAAATTAATAAATATTATTTTTAAGACCTAATGCAAATGCATAATTAAATTAATAACTATCGTAATTCGTATTTTTTTTAGATAATTTTTGTTTGAAATATTTTATTCAAAAATAACTCAGATTAAATGAAAATTTGTTTGAATAAAATATATGTTGAGAAATTATTCTAATAAAAACAATATATAGACTATAGTCATTAATTTTAAATTCTGGTTTTGTTATAAAACAATTATGCTTCTTTGCACCTTAAAACAAAATTTTATGGCGTCTCGGATATCAGTTGCGACATTCAAAATTGCATTCTGCGTATAAAACGAATGATTTTTATAGCCACAAAGCTTAGTTTAAACTATATACCAGATAGTATTATTTCTTTTTTTCGTATAAACTTAATAGTAAAAATTATTTTTGAACAGATCTCCAACCAAAGCACTACACACACTGAACACGGTAACAACGATAGTCGAGAACATCAACGCTCTAAGCTACAACTCAAACTCAGTAGGACAAGTGTACCGCACTAGCGGGGGTGGTGGGGGAATAGGGGGTGCGGGGGTGGTGGGGGGTGCAGGCGCGGGGTGGGAGGACGTGCCTCGAGCCCCGGGCTCCGGCACCGGCTCTACGACCATATCCGCCCCATCCTCCCCTCCGCCAGATGTGGAGCCCGACCCCCCCACTCCTGAACAGGATCTGTCCCCTAGAAAGAAGCCAAGAAAGCAAACGTAAGTGTATCGATCTGTTATTGTTATTATATCATTTATAACAAGTTATAGTTAAAATCGTTATAACCCAGTGACATTGAATCGACTTTGTGCGTACAAAGGTCAATGAACTCAGTCTTCGTTGTGTCGGCGTCTACATTATAAGATCGACAGTTTCGACCATTAGAAGTAACGAAGCTTGGCCTTGTGGTAGCATAAGCAGCTTTTTACAACCGCGCATCATCGCGATACATCCGTGCAACCTAGGTTCAAATCCAAGTCGGACGAAATTTCTAAATTTATTATAAATTTACGTTTGTGGAATAATTTATATCTTTATAATTTAAAATGAAATACGCTTGTTGTAAATCCACGGCAGGAGGCGCCACTGAGGGAGTTACTTGTATAAAGTGCGGTCTAAAGTATCACTATAATTGTGTTAACCCATCAGGCACAAATAACAAGCTAAATCAAGATAAAAGTAAATGGATCTGCCCGGAATGCAAGTCATCTATGCCCAGACAAGTGAACCAAGATAACACACCAGTGCGCGGTGGCACCTCTAATACTAAATATAATTATAGCGAGAATGTAAATTTACAACGAGGTGGTTCGACTTCTGCAGGGGTCTCACCATGTAAATCAGTAGAATCTGAAGCCTCATTTTTGGAACAAGTTAGACTTATAGTATCTTCGGAAATCTCCACTCTTAGAACCGAACTCATTTCTTCCCTAGCTCCTTTGCAATGCGATCTCAAAAGTTTACGGGAGGAGGTTTGTAGTTTTAAAGATAGCTTAGATTTCTTTAACAACAAATTTGAAGAGTTTACACCAGAATCACCAATTGCGAATCCAAAATCAAATATATGTCGGAGAGATGTTTGGAATTAAATTCATTAAAGTCTAAAGTTGAGGCCATCGAGATCGAAAATAATAATCGCGAGCAGTGGTCTCGCAGATCTAATGTAGAGATATATGGGATTCCCGAAAAGAAAAACGAGAACCTTGTAACTATACTACAAGACATCGCTGACAAAGCTGATGGAAGAGATGACTTTCTGTCTCGAGTGAGAAAACTTAAGTCATTACTTCAATTGGTAAAGAAAACCGCTAAAGAAAAATCTTATAAATATGTATGGGTCAAAAATTGTAGTATAATGGTACGTCGGAGTGATACTAGTCCAGTTTTGCATATTGCTAATTTCTGCGATTTAAAAAAGATTGCTTAAGCGCTATCAGACACTGCTCAATTGTTATTTTTTATGTCATGTTTTACCCTCTTAATTATATTATACTAGTTCTTCTGGTGTTGGCTTCGATTGATTTTTATATATTACTGGTTTTTGTTTTATTTATGAATTACCATAACTATTTGTTTCGCTTAAGTTTAGACAAAAAATTCTGCGCTATTTTCGCTTTTAGAATTATATCATTGTTGCTTGATTATAATTTATCATTACTTCTTGTTTTGTTTATAAGTTACCATAATTACTTGCTTCGCTTACATTTGGACATAATATTTTGCGCTGTTTTTGTTTCCAGAATTATATCATTATTATTTGTGTTACAAGAACGACAAAACATCCTGTGTGTAAATTTATTACGTAAAATTGTGTATGTGATTTGCAATGGCTAATGATCTTAACATTATTTATCAGAACGTACGAGGACTCCGGTCTAAAACAAATATTTTCTACAGATCTCTTATAAAGTTTGACTGCGATATAGTGTGCCTTAGCGAAACATGGCTAAATGATTCTATATTTGACTCTGAATATTTCGACAGTCGGTATTCCGTGTACAGAAGTGACCGTGATTACGCCTCACAGGGAAACAGCTTGGGTGGAGGTGTTTTAATTGCTACTAAATCACATCTACGTATTCAATCTTCATCTGTGATTAAATTGACGAATTCCGCAGCGGAAGTGGTCAAAGTTTCTTTATCACTTGACTTGCTTCCGTCGTCCAAATTTTTACATTTATACTGTTGTTATTTCCCTCACAGTAAATACCAGTATGAAGCGATTTGTGAGTTTTTTGATCTGGTTTCTTCCGAATTAATTTTTCATCCCAATGATAACTTCTTAATAGTAGGCGATTTTAATATCTCAAATGCAGTTTGGAAATATGGTCAAAATAAAATGGTACTTCAGAATTTTTTCGATGATGACATACTCATAGGGTCAGTGTATCATTTCCTTAACTTTAACAATTTTAAACAATTTAACACTGTTCCTAACGCTAATAATAGATATCTTGATCTAGTGATGGGTAATTGTGAATGTTCAGTAATGAAATGTTCATTATTATCCATTAGTTCCTGAGGACTCACATCATCCTACGTTACTTATTTCACCGAAAATATCCACTTCACAAACTATTACTACTGCTTCTCGTACTGTACGTTTGTTTCATATAGCGGATTATAATGCAATTAATAAAGTTTTAGCTGATATAGATTGGTCTGATTTACTTAACGAGTCTGACATTGTAAACGCAGTTGATTTGTTCTATCAAATTATTAATAATGTTATTCGTGATATGATCCCAGTAAAAACCATTGTAGGTAATGACCGCTATCCATTTTGGTACTCTAAGTCTCTTAAAAAAGTTGTCGCTGAAAAACTTAAATATCATAAAAAATGGAAAACTTATAATAGACTTAGTGAATATGATACTTTTGATCTGTTACGTGAAAGAGAAAAAAAGATACAAACCGTTTGTTACAATAGTTACATATATAATTCTGAGCTTCAAATTAAAAAGAATAGTAAATATTTTTGGACATTTGTTAAGTCTAAACTTGCATCTAATAGCTTTCCTGAAACAATGTTTTATGATGAATCGATCGCTACTGGTGGCAATGCCATATGTCAACTTTTTGGTGAATACTTTAACTCAGTTTATGGACCGGATGTTCCTGGCAGTTCAACAGATGATGACTATGTTTCATCTAACTCCCATATATGTATTAGCTCCCTGACTGTTACTCAAGATACGGTTGAGAGATATTTAAAAGATCTTGATATTAGTAAGGGTTACGGACCAGATGGCCTTTCTCCCTTGTTTTTAAAATCATGTTGTGCTACCCTCGCGTATCCGATTCATTTATTGTTTAATAAATCACTAAAAACTGGTGTAATGCCTGCTGTATGGAAGCGATCGTATGTGGTTCCAATATTCAAATCGGGCGACAAACATAATATTAAGAATTATAGACCGATATCGAAACTTTGTGTAATAGCAAAAACTTTTGAAAAAATAATTTATGATTCTATTTTTCCCTTACTACGTTCTATCATACTCGAACAACAACATGGATTTGTAAACCACAGATCAACTGAGTCTAACCTCTGCGAATTGGTTCAACGTGTGTTGTCATCTATGGATGATGGTTACCAGGTGGATGTCGTGTACACTGACTTCTCTAAGGCATTTGACAAAATATCCTACAATATATTACTAAAAAAGTTGAAAGAAGCCGGTGTACATGGTGATCTACTTCGGTGGTTATGTTCATACCTTCGGAATCGTAGTCAGGCTGTAACAGTCAAGGGATATTGCTCTACTTTCGTTCCTGTTTCATCAGGTGTACCTCAGGGGTCTCATCTCGGTCCTCTGCTTTTCAATTTATATATTAACGACGTCACCAAAATAATTAAACATTCTACTATTCTTTTATACGCAGACGATATGAAAATTTGTAGAAGGATAGCGTCTCCACTAGATTGTTCACTTTTGCAAGAAGACCTCAACAGAGTATGTTTGTATTGTAAAAATAATTCTCTTTATTTAAATATTAATAAATGTAATATCATATCATTTTCGCGGAAACGCAATCCTACTGCATATGATTATCGATTTGACGATGTATCCATAAATCGAGTGACCGAGGTGAGAGACCTGGGTATATATCTGGACAATAAGTTGACCTTTAATTTACATATTAACAAAATAATAGCTAGGGCTTATCGTATGCTTGGCTTTGTGTTTAGAACTTCTAAAGATTTTAACCAACCTACCACCTTGACACTTCTTTATAATTCATTTGTTCGACCTATACTTGAGTATGGCTCTACAGTTTGGAACCCACATTATAAAAAACAAATAAATCGCATAGAAAGTGTTCAAAAAAAATTTATTAAATTTAAGCGTTTTAAGTACGCAATGTTGGATCAAAGTAACGACGGATTAAATATTATGTCACTCGCGGATAGAAGGCTGATCAGAGACCAAGTGTACCTATTTAAAATAATAAAAAATCTTATAGACTCCCCGTTCCTCTTAAATTGTATAAATTTTAAATGTCCCAGATTAGCGGCGCGCAATCAGTCTCTATTTAATCCTTCAATTACCCGAAGCAAGTATGCGCAGAATATTTTTGTCTATCGAGCCTGCACCAACTACAATAGTAAATTTAATGATGTAGATTTTTTTAAAACTGAGAACATAGATTGTTTGAAAAAGATGTTAGTGAAACGTTTAAACAATAACGAGTAATATAAATATTATAGTAGATAGTAATAGAGAGATTATTCGTTATTGTTTTAACATGACTTGTGCTCTTTATGTTACATTTATAAGTGGAAACTTCGCTGGTTTATGTACTATGTATATCGGATTAACTTTAAGTATTATTGTACTGTATGTTTCCCAAATATTTTAAAAATAAATAAAATAAAAAATAATGTGTGTTGTATTAAAATGATCTGTCTGTTGAATTTATTATTAATTGTTTGTAACCTTTAAAGGTTTCATTTAATCGTTTTGTTTTAGTAATAATTAACAAATTCATTAAATATATACAGATATATAAAGTGTCTGTTTGTAATGTCAAAATAACAGCTTTTTACTAAATGCATATGAAATTAATAATATTATACAGTACTTAAGGAAAAACACAATTTTTAAAATGTTTGTTTGTTTATCTGTTTGTTTGGGCAAATCTCCGAAATGGATGTACTGATTTTGATGGGACTTTCATAGGCAGATAGCTTACTTTATAAGGAGTAACTTAGGCTACTTTTATTTTGAAAAAGAATTAGGGTTTAAAAAAATTTAAACGTACCTAGGAACGCACTCGAGCGAAGTGAGGGTAAATCGCTAGTATAAAATAATATTATTTATACCACAGCTAAGTTTATAAGTAAATAGTTTTCTATATACCATAACATTTATATTCATGTTGCAGGTTAATTAATGAAATAAGGCAGTACGAGTTCCCCACAGTGCACGCGCCGCCCTCGCCGCCCCCTCCGGTTACCGTCACTCCACTACCCAAACGTATGATTTTTATACATAATTTATTTATTTTATTTAATCATTTATTTCAGACAATATTTACAAACATATGTAATATGTACTTCTTTATTAACCACATATCTAATGAACTAAATCCGTAACTTTATCAAAAAAAAACAGAGGCTATTTGATATTAAACTTTATTTTACAACTTACATAGTAATTAGTGCAAGCAAAATTTTTTTTATATTTCAGTAATTGAAATTATATTTCGTACCTAGACCACAGGTATCCATATTTACGTGAATAAATTAAGTGAGCTATCGCGCCGGGACATATTAAGCTTATTTCACAAGACCGACTACTTAATAATAAATAAAAATTGCATCCAAATAAAAAAACTTTTTTTACCAATATTATAAATTGTAAATGTGTTTACTGTTGTGGTCTTCTTTCTGTACTAGGCATAGCTGTTTAACATTACCTCCATTCAAACTACATACTATGTCATATTCCTATCGCTAACAAGAAATAATAAAGGTAGACATTTAAATAAAGTAACAGATAGCACACTACCTGGGTGGTAAGAACCAAAAATCATAATACATAAATCCTCGAAAAATAGTTCTATTTAAGTTCCGAAAAGATAGTTTTATTTAAAACTAGCGACTCACCTTCGCTTCGCTCGGGTTCGTCCGTAGGTATGTTTTCACGCTTAGTATGGATTAGATTCTTTTTTATGATTTTTTCCAACCTTCTAATTATTAGTTATTCTGCTATTAGGGGTGAAGATAAATCCAACAAAACTAAGATCATAAAAATCGGTCCAGCCGTTCTCGAGTTATAAGTGTTGTAACAAACCTGACTTTGTTTGATATATATGTCTATATAAGATGTTCGCGTAAATCTAAGAAAGTACCTATGATAGATAGGTTATTAGGATCGACCCTTAAACTTAGCTAATAGCCTGGACATTAACACACGATCAATCCGCCCCGTATCCGCAGGCCCGTCCCTCAGCTCGAGCTACGTGTGCGCGTGGCGCAGCACGGAGCGGCACTTCGCGCGGCCGGCGGACGTGCGCCGCAAGGAGGCGCGCGCGCGCGACATCGTCGCCATCGCCAGCCAGAAGCACGTGCTCACCAGCGCCGAGGGCTGGAAGGTGCACCATCTCACCGCGCAGATGGATGATCTAGTGAGTCGTTCGCGAAAAAAAAAAATTTTTTCTTAGCTTGGAGGTAGAATTTTTGAAATAAAAAAATATTGTTTAACATTTTGAAGTGGCCCAGGGATTTTTAAAATATGTAATTAATTAAAAATTTTGGTTCGAATGGATTTTTTTTTTGACTGGATTATCTTTGAAAATAATTCAAGAATAAGTCAAAATAGTCATTTCCTACCCAACTTTCACCGTAATATTGCATAATTGCAATTTAAAAAAAGTTGAAATAATTACATGTTACTTTTTGTATTTCAGTGAAAATTTAGTTGAAAATGACTATATTCATCAATTCTTGAATGTTTTCAAAAATGACCACGCTAAAAAATCATTTAAACCAAAAATTTAGTTTAATTATTTATTTAAAAAATCAGTTGGTCAATTCAAAATGTTAGGTATTTTTTTTATTTTAATAATTTTGTTTTTTTTTTAAGCTACAAATTCTACCCCCAAGCTAAGAAAAAAAAACAAATTTTTTTTTTGCTCCACCGTACTGTATATGTCTTACATGTCCCTGATGATGGCGGTATGTTAATCTGCCGGTTTGAATTGTGGGAGTGGCCGTAAAGAAAGGTAAAAAAATGGAGATAAAATATTATTGGAGCGCGTCTGATTTTCAGAGAGAATGTTAAATGAACCTGAAAGTAGCTCCCATTCAAAAGATTGACGATTCGGACGTGACGCGAAAACGCAAGACGTTCCGTCGCGTCGTGGTGGTTTTTTGAATATGCGAAAAAAAGTTGCTAAATCGCTTTTAAAATACTCGAGCGCTTCAGAGTTATTAACCGTTATTATTAATTTAATTTTTTACTCTTCTGATCGGCTGCCCTAGACGCCTGACCTTGCAGAGGGTTTATACATGGAAGTACGCAACAGAGGTACAAGGTAGCGTTATGGTATGGTATATGCCGCGCTGGAGTAAATCCCAAAATCCCCTATTAGGCTGTCCTACTATAATACTTTTAATCGATTTTAAAAATAAAGATAACATCTTAAATAATACAAAGGCGTACTTCTTTGTAACAAGTGTTAACAATACACCTTCTTCATTTCACTTAACATTTTATAAAATAAACAAGCTTTTTCTAGGTCTCTCTGGAAGCAGATGTGGGTGAGCAGCTAGTTGGTGTACTGCGTGCGTTAGAAGCTGCGTCCACGCGAGCACAATTTCCTATACAGACGTTACAGCACACATTACTTGAACTCATTAAGGTGATTAGTGTTATTTGTTCTATATTTGATTGATTGCAATTTTCAATATATATTTTTTGTAAGGCTAAAACTAGATAGTTTTCCTTTTTATTCTTCAAATATCCATACTAATATTGTACATGTGAAAGTATCTATAGATGAAAGGATCGATGGATGTTTGTTACTTTCACGCCAGAATTGCTAAACGGATTTGGATTAAATTTGGCAAAAAGATAGATTATAGTCTGGATTAGCACATACATTACTTTTTATACCGGATAAATGTACGGTTTCTGTGGTATAGATTTGTTTTTGTATAAGCATATCGTCGCTAGTAATTCATAAATCAAATCTGATCAATCTTTTAAATTTTACAGGGTAACATACAGCGGAGTAAAATAGTATGTGAAGGAATACAAGAGGCTCGTGAAGATATTCTCCGTGTGTTTAAACACAGAAATTTTGTTTCCGATATTCTCACACGTCAGGCTGACAAACGGTGTTTTAGGAAACATCGGTCGCAGTCATAGCAAAAGGCTAACAAAAAAAATAAAGTCAAACTGAAACAATCTTAATTTAAATACGCAGTCTCATTTCAACAGTGGTTGTTAATTTATGTTTTAAATGCTTCAATATATTATTTATATTAATTATATAATATAAATTACAATTAAAAACAATTACCATTATAAAATATGTGCTAAAGCTATATAAGACATAGATAAATGTTTCTGTAAATAATGTAAAGAAATATATCATTTAATGAGAATATATAAGGATGTCTATCTTTTCTATATTTGAAGATTGCCTTGAATGATATGCAATTTGTGTTGTGATGTTATAATACTTATTTCGTATGAATATAATGTTAATAAGCCTTTTTGTTTTTCTTATAACTACCTACTCTTCAGTCTTAGTCAAACAAATTTAGTAAATTAGAAATTATTGTTAAAAAAAAGTGTTCATATGTTAAGATAAAAAAAACTTGAAACTGGAGATGCATTTTCAAGAGTGCAGAATATAACTTTTTTATTTTGATTAAAAAATTTGTTTATTTCACAGTTTAATTGTAAAACCGAGAAATTATAATTTAACGGTTTGTACAATTTCCCTGTGACATATATGTACGCGTACATAATAAATGTAATGTTAATAAATATATTCCAACATTTAAGTTTTCAGGCAACCCATGATATTGATAATCATAAAATAACAAATGCATAATATACTGTAGTATCTCGACAACGTTTAGGCCTTATATGTTCTAAAAAGCTCTGCATAAGCTGAACATGCACAATGACTTCAATGCCAATACAAGGCAAGCTATAGAGCGTATTATGGAAATAATTTACTGTTGTACGAGTAGGTTTCTCTATTACATTCACTTTGTTTAGTGGCTAGCAAATTGTCTATTGATTAATGTGTAATTAAATTGTACGTTTTTCATTTGGTTTGATTACTCAGGTTAGCTTAGGTAATTTTTTAGAATATTTGAATTTTGAATGCAACTATACTCATTTTCAATAATAAAAGTCTTATGGGCCATAAGATTGCCAGATAAGTGGTCCATAGACGTTCAAGTAATTTGATCAAATAGGCTAGTTCAAACAAATTTTATCAAATTGGCAAGAAGGTCTGTGGGAAAATTTGATCAAATTTAATGAGTTGTCAAATGGCATACATTTTCGTATTTATATTTGATCAAACAGTTTGATCAAATAATTTAAACGAGCGTGTTGCGAGCGCTCAATTGTCTGTTGCTGCTGAAAAGCGTTTCCTTGCGGACGTGTGTTGCGTGGCATAATGTCGGACCGCGATGTGTTAGAAGAATTCATGTAAATATATCAAAATGAATGCTGTTTATGGAACGTAAATAATAAAGACTACCACAACAGAGATAAGCAGAATGCTGCTTATTGTAAACTAATAGAAAAATTTAAAGAACTAGAACCCAATGCAGACCGTCACATGGTGACAAAAAAAATAAACCGACTATTACTAAGGGGTCGTCTGTAGACATTTGTTATAAAATACAATAACTCTTGCCCGCTTAGATGCATAACTAAAGCCGCTTCAAGCCTAAATGAAAGTGTGTAGTATAATAATAATATAATATGTTGGGACTTTAACACACAACACCATCTAGTTCCATGGTAAGCTACGAGGCTTGTGTTATGGATACCAGATAGTTGATACACTACACATATATAACTTTAAATAATTACATATTATAAATATAAACACCCATGACTAGAGTACAAACATTCGTGCTCACCACACAAATGAATGCCCCCAGCGAGACTCGAACCCGCGACCGCTGGTACGGATAATAGGGTCACTACAAACTGAGCCAAACGTTTCGTATAAGTAGCTTAAAAGATCATGCCAATTTGATAAAATTGTTTGAACCAGTCTATTTGATCAAATTACTTAAGCGTCCATGGCTTGCATTAGACACAACAGAAGCGTAGACGGCTGACGGAGAAAACTATTCTTCGTCTATGTCTATGAATAGAACGCACAAAGCAAAGCGAGCCTTCAAAATCATATGTCAAGTGACATTTAATTTGACAATTCAAATTTCAAAAACTTATCGCTTATGTACCCATGAAATAAATAGGAATAGGTATCTCATAACCTTTAATAATTAATTCAAGATAATTAAATAGAAATTCTGTTAGATATATTAGATTATTATTATTATGGCAACCAGTCGATTAGAAAGAATTGGGACTATATTTACCAGGTAAGATTTTTATACATAGAGGCATAGTATTATTTAACCTAAGACATAGATTTTCGTTCATTTTTATAATTCGAATTTTGAATTTATTTTACCGGGAAACTGAAGTACCACATAACATTAAACTTATTTGGCGGCATTAATTTAAGATCTTCTAATTTGTAAACCCGCGTTGTAATTAACGTTGCTATTAAGTATGTCAGCTCCTAAGAAGACTTCTAAATCTAAATTTATTTCTGAAGACTTGAGTGACTTTATTAATGAATCCCAATTTTTAAATGAATCTCCCAAAAATAAAAAGCAACCAAGGCGAAGAACTGATACACTAGAAAAAGAAAATCCTAATGTTATTGGACATATGGTAAACAAAAAGAAAAAGTTAAATGAAGGAATAGAAGCTTGTGGGGAATCTCGCCAAAAAATACTGAATGTCATGGGTAAACAATTGGATTCCAGGTATGTTGTCATATTCTAATTAATATATAATAAATATGTTATGAATAAGAAATGTACATACAACATTTATATCAATTGTTTATATGTATATATTTTCAGAAAGCAAATACATGATAATTTGTTGAAAAGTTTATCTGATGTTTTATCACACTTTGAAACTGATTACAATGTTTTAAAAGAAAATGAACAAAAATTGGAACACCTCACAGGGTCTTTTATGAAATGTATGCAACAAGCTACTGCTGCTCATAAACAAAAGCTGAGAGCATTAAAAGAAATCCATTCAACATTTAAGAAAGAGCAAGTTTTAATATTATTATATAAAATTTCTCATATCTTTCTATTTAACTTTTAAATAATTTGTTGTTATATGCATTTATAGATGTGAAGAAACAGAAGCTGATCAAAAAGCTGAGATGGACCAACTCGGTGATGAATTGGAAGAGGATATTAATAAATTAAAGCAGAAGTTAATAACTGAAACAAAAAGAACTGGTTGGGAAACCTTACGAAGATCCTTCCTCCAAGCTATGCAAAATGACTTTTAACAATAATAAATATTTCTCTTTTATTGTATTAAAGTTTAATTAAAATTATTTTAAAATTCCATGTCCATTTTTATTATTATTTAGAAAAATATCCTTATATTTCTCTCAAGATATTTCTAAGAGTATTTTAAAAAACAGTATGATCAATTTGAAAGGTGGCTAACTTCCTTTGTATAATGTACTAGTAACTTACCCTCGCTTCGCTCGGGTTCGTCCCTAGCTTAATTCAACAAAAAAAATCATTCACATTTTCACCCCCTTAGGGATGATTTTCGGGATAAAAAGTATCCTATGTCCTCTCCAGGTTCTCAAACTCTCTTCTTATCAAATTTCATGTAAATCTGTTTAGTAGATCCAGAGATTACCCCCTACAACGTCACAAACTCGCAAACTTTACCTCTATAATATTAGTAAGTATAGATCACTTACATATAATAAGAGTGTAATTGATCGCTGTCTGTACATGGAAGATATTTGAGAAAAACTATTTTTGGGGGTCTTTATTAACACAATAGTACCCAAAACAATGATTTTTAGAATTTTGGGTAGTAAATAATGATTATCACTAAATATAAATAAATAAATAATTTATTTTTGGCACATATCTTCAATTAAAATGAAATATCTATACTAATATTATAGAGGTAAAGTTTGTAAATTGTGAGGTTGTAGGGAGTAATCTCTGGATCTACTGAACCGATGTAGATGAAATTTGGTAAGAAGATAGTTTGAGACTCTGGAAAGGACATAGGATATTTATATCCCGGAAATCAACCCTTAAGGGGGTGAAAATGAGGATGAAAGGTTGTACTGGGAATCAACCTAGGGACGAACCCGAGTGAAGCGAGGGTGAGTCACTAGTCTTATATATAAAATGATAACTTTGTTCAAAATGAATTACATATTGCCTATTGTACATATTCCAGATTTTTCTTTTTGTTTCAGAGTTGAGGGTCTTATTTTACGTGGAGCAATGAAACCTGATGACAGACCATTGTGGTTTGATGTCTATAAGGCATTTCCTCCTACAGTTGAGCCTAAATTTGCAAGAACAAAACCAGAAAACAAATCTATTAGACAAATACTCTACACAGAAGATGTTATTAGAGCGTACGATTTTTTAATTTAATGTACTTACCTAAAATAACTTTTATAGTTAAAACGGTTTTTTTGAAATATGTATATACACATCGTTACATACATTTTTGGTTGTACTATAATTTTGTCACAGACTAAGTACATATTATTATAAAATATGTTTCTGATTTCATGTTAACGTTTTTTTGAATTTGATATTTAAGGGAAAAATACGCAAAAGACATACGGTTTGTCTTTGCTCTCTGTGTATCGGTCAGTCTGGCTGTATTACCATTAAATTTAAATCACTACATCTGTAATTACAACACAATTACAACAAATTACAATTACAAGTGTAATAGAAAATCTTTTGAAAGGCAGTTTATTTATACATCGGATTTTAAGCATCTAAAGGTTAAATATTTCTATTTATTAAATATTAATCTCTATCTTTACAGGAAATTTCATTCAAAGGGTCATGGAGTAAGTTCCAATATGTTTAACCAAGTTGGAGAAACACAAACCAGAAAACTTATTAAAAAGTATGAACAATTCAAAGCCGAAGGTGTGCCTGAAGAAGAAATAATTGAAAAATCCGTTGCAGCAGTTGGTAGCGAGCGACAACCAACGGAATCTGTAAAGAAACCCGAAACTATGACTCCCAATGTTCTGGCAGAAGCCAATCTAAAGAACATTTTCAAAGAATAATTTCTTCTTTTTAGTTAAAGAAGCTTTTTAGATTTTATTAATTAATTAGTGTAATAAAATACTATAAATAATATAATAGATTTTTTTATTTTTGTATTATTAATTATTACTTTAGCAAATATTCATATAGGTCAAAAATAAAACAAGTTTTTATAATTTACACAAAAATGATAAAACAAGGCAGGGCTGTTTTGTAGTTTTTTTTTCATTAATAAAGTTAGCAAAAGTTATACAACTTTTAACTTATAAAAATAATTATAAAAATAAAAAAACCAACTCCTTAAAAAAAGTTGAAGAAGGAACATAGTATTATGCAGTCGGAGATGTACCTAATGTTTCATTCTCGCTCTTAACGTCGTCAACTGTATTTTAATTGATCTAATTCGATAGGCAATTTCAAATCATACAATGTGGCGCCTAAAATCTGCCATTTTCGTTTTTAATAATTTAATGACTCACGTTATCAAGAATCTAACTAGTAACGATATATAATTCGTAAAAATCGGTTAAGCCGTTTACGGGAAAATAATATCGGACATACAAACATACACATAACCCTCCCTTGGACTTTATCGCAGTTGGTTAAATAGAAATGTTTCCACAAGAGTCACAGGTAGATTAATCTATACATATAATAAAACTGTAGAGTCGAATGTCTATACATAGAAAAAAATGCTAAAAACCGAGCCAGGGGGATGTAAGAAGAGAAATAGAACTAATCCAGATTTTTTTCAAAATTGCAGAGTTCCCGTGGGATAGTTAAAAAACTATAGTAACTTATACAGCTTAGTACACAAAAACTAATGCTTGGATTTTAATGAAACTTTACAATAATATAATTTATACATCAGAATAATAAATAGGCAACTTTTTATCCTGGAGAAATGTACGGCTCCCGTGGGATAGATTTGTATTTGTTTGTCCGAACGAACGAAGCGAGGGTGAGCTGTTAGTTTATAATAATAAGTTTTTGTGACGTCAGAGCTTATTAATTTTGGACGCCATAATATGACGAAATAGTCTCAAATATTTATATAATATGAATCAGACACATAGTAGCTGCCCATATTATATTCTTCATTGCTATCAATATGTATGCCATGCTTTAGGTCGGTACTCGGTACTTACTTATTAGTAATAATGATAATGATTATCTTATCTTAGAGAGATAAGTGTCCTACGATGCAAAACACTCCTGTACCTCGCCCTACATTGTGTGCATCGAAAATTACATTACATAGTTTTTTTGTTATAATTTGTGATTTTAAACAATAAATATGGGACAAAGGAAATCATTTTGGTTTTATCTCGCTTTTGTGCTCGGTAAGTAATAAGTGCCAAATTACTAAAAAAAATCAGAATAACTGATCGCGTACCTATTGTTGCTTTACGCAACCTAAAAGAAAAGTGTATAAATATTGTGATAAATGTGTTTTATAATTCCGTTTAAATAACAGATTCCTATGGCTAAACTAAAAAAAAATGGCCCAAACTAATAGTTCATTTTTATAGCTTTAGTGTTGAATCAATTATTTATTTAAAGTTTCCATATGTATGATGTTTATTTATTTTTTTAATTACAATTAACACCTCCAGGTGAATTTCTAAGAAATTATTGAATAAGTGGAGGGATTATTAGTACAGTGTACGAGTATAATATATAATGGGCAATTGTAAGGAAAAGATTTTAAAAAATATATAAATTCATGGTAGATATCTGTATTTTCGAAAAATATTTGAATCTTTCTTTCATTTTAGTAGTTTATCAGTAGGTAATCGTAATTTATATTTTAATTTTAAAATAATATAAAACTCCTAGACTTGGTTCTGATCACAAAATTACGTGAAATTATCAAAATATTGTTTGACCTTGCAGTAATTCTCAGTACTCTTGCAAATGAAGCAGAGGCGAGAAGAAAAATTTTGCGAGGAAGGCGTGTGATGACTCGTACATATTACCGTGAGTCATTGTATTGTTATTTTTTAAGAAATAAGTATATTATAATCAACATACTTAACATTTTATGACATGTTTGGCTCAGTTTGTAGTGACCCTACTTGCTGTGCCAGCGGTCGCGGGTTCGAGTCCCGCTGGGGGCATTTATTTGTGTGATGAGCACGAATGTTTGTACTCCAGTTATGGGTGTTTATATTTATAATATGTATGTATTTAAAGTTATATGTGTGTAGTATAACAACTATCTCGTATCCATAACACCAGCCTCGTAGCTCACCATGGAACTAGATGGCGCTGTGTCTTAATATCCCAACATTTTTATTGCACAACAGATGAATTAGTGTTCAGTTTTTAAACATTTATTGACATCTTTAATTAATGTGAGTAAATATATCTAATGAGATGTTTTTTGAACACAAAAATGTTATGATTATAGCATTTCCACTGAATGCTTATATTAGTCACAACTGTTTTATTTTCTGCTCATGTCTAATTTGGTTCATTCATCTGTGTCAAAGTTCTCTATGGCCACAGATCATATAATACTATACTAGCTATGGCTAAAACGATAATAATAGAACTTTCACAAGTGGGTACAAATCTACTTTTATTCCCGTAGGTTTAAAATTAAACATTCCTTTATGACAACCACTGAATGCATTTTAATATATTATAATGTAAGCAAGATATTTGTTTGTCACACCAATATCTAAAATTGGTGCAACTCAAAATCTAAGGATTAAAAAGTTTCTCTATAAATACAAGTTTATAAAGTTACTCTACGTACTATAAGTTTTAAGGAGTCTAACCATTTAAAATGTATTTATTCATCGTTACAGATGGCAATGCAGTACCCGCATGGGCTATAAGTTTGATGTCTGGAATAGGAATGTTGCTCGTGGGAGGAGTGCTGTATTTAATAATGAGAAAAGTTGTGCTCGCTTCAGAGACTGGTACTCTCAATACTTACCAACCAACATTACAACACGATAGTGTTTAAGAAAATTATTTGCAATATTTTATAACAATTTAATTTTAAGTTTATGTATAATTAAAAAAGAATTGCCATTTTTCATTAATTATAATAAATATATAAAATAAAAATAAACCAATCAAAGATAGATTTATTTATTAATTATCTGTTAGTACACTTAAATGTGTAGGTTCTACACAATTCATTAACAAAACATTTCATATTTACGAGATTTTTGTATTATCTGCGACGGCGAAATATAATTAATTAAAATAGGAAATTTCTTTAGAATTCTCTGCGATGATATTTGTCGGGGTCAAAGTATGAAGTAACGACGACGCGGTTGCTGAATTTGCGTCCCGTCAATGTCTGTTGCGCCTTTTGGCAATCGGCGATGCTATTGAATTCCACAAATACCTGAAATTTTTATATTATTATTTTTTATTATAAGTTCAAATATTAGAAAATATAAATTGTTGTGTACACATAATAATATTTAATAATATTCATTATACCTTTCCACATCCTGGCACTTCGACACCTTCAATAGGTCTGGGAATTTCTATACTGCGTACACAACCATATTTGTTACATTCCTCTCTGAAAAAAAATACAATTTTAATCTTCAGTAAAAAATCAGCAGCTTTTTCTTTAATCTTTGAAATTTATTAGAAATTTGATTCCCCATACAAACATCATTCCCATTTTCACCCCCTTAAGGGATTATTTTCGGGATAAAAAGTAGCCTATGTTCTTCCCAGGGTATCAAACTTTCTTACCAAATTTCATCTAAATCGGTTCAGAAGAACCTACAAACGTAACAATCCTTTACCTCTTTATAATCTTTATATATATAATTCTTCTGTGAGTGTGTATGTCACTGAACTTCTCTCAAACGACTGGACCGATTTTGATGAAATTTTTTGTGTGTGTTCAAGGGGATCTGGGAATGGTTTAGATTCACAATTTGAATAATAATTTTCATCAAAAAAATTATTAAAAAAAGTTTGAAATTTTCAAATTAAAGACGTGTAGACAGGACAACGTCTGTCGGGTCCGCTAGTATAAGTATAGAGATGGGCCGAATGTGGCTTGAACCGAATACGAACTCCGGCCGAACATTCGGTGAGAATAAAAAATTCGGCCGAAATTCGGTTCAATTTCGCTGCGCTTTCTCAAGTACATGTCGTGACACTTTAATAATCAAAAAAACTTAATGTTTCCGAGTGTTAGTTTGTGCACCAAAAACGTGTTTTTTTTTTCAATTTACGATTGTAATTTGATGTTTGTTTCATAAAAAAATACTAAGTTTATTTCATTTTGTTTATAATTAGGCAAAGTTTTTTGAGACTGCTTAAGATGAATTCATTTAATTTTTTAACGCATACGTGTAACCTCAAAGTTTTCGAGATATTTGCAAAAAAAGTTTTTCAATTTTTTTATGTTTTTTATTATTAATTTCTGAGTCAAATTTATAAGGGTCACATACCACCCTTATAAATTTGAGATTTTTAATTAAATCTACTAATAATATTTTTTAAATATTTACAATGAATAAACTAGAAAGAAACTCAAGTAGGTAGATGAAATTAAAACACTGTAGGCTGGCAGCCCTGTCGCGTGGTTACGTACCGCGCGGTTAGAGGTAATCATTTCAAGGACAGGGCCGAGTCACAATACTGTATGTATAACATTACCGTGGTAGAACTGACTTTTTGAAATTAGGTAAATCAAGTGACATCCAAAAGTAATTTTGCGTTGGTTATATAAGGCCATAAAAGATTTAATACGGCATTAACATGTACCTACAGATTTAAGATACATTCTAAGTAAGCTACATTATTTGCTTTCTTTATAAGTATAAAATAATTTTGTTCTGACATTACCCTTTATAATATGGCAGATACAATAATAAAATGGCTTCATTATAATTCTGCATAGACATTTTTTACTACCTGGAAACCTATGTATTATGATACAAAGATAAAAGGGAAAAATTCAACTCTTAAGTTTTTCTGTTAAGAAATTTAGTAAGACACAGCCTAAATTTGGCGGTATTTTACCTCTATGCCTCTGAGAGTAATAAAGCCGTCAGTCATGCGTCTTGTCTTTCACTGGCCAATGGAGTAGGGGAGTGACTAGCAGAAGTAAAGTGTACACTTGTGTTCACATACTATGCACTATAATATACATACTATGCACTATAAAATCGCCTGCAAAGAAGCTTAATCTCAGTGATATTGGCCGCCCTTACCTAAATTGGTTAGGAGACTATAATCCGTACTATATCCATATTATAAATGTGAAAGTGTGTTTGTTTGTTTGTTTTTCTTTCATGTTGAAACAGTGACAGATTGGCGTGATTTTTTGTGTGGAGATAGTTAGAGGGCTGGAGAGTGACATAGGCTACTTTTTACCACGGGAGATTATCTCTCTTCCATGGCAAAACACGTTATATTATAACCCAAAAAAAAACTTTATGATCAGAATTCCTTGAAACTTAGTATAAATGCTCTTCATAACAATTAACTAAATACTTGTTTTAGCATTTTTTAAAATTCATCCCAAAAGGGGGTAAAATAGGAGATGAAAGTTTGTATGAAACCTATCTTTTTGGAGTTTTTTGTAATTTTAGCGCGAGCGAAGCCGCGGGTTCTGCTAGTTATCATTATACTTACTTGATATCTTCGAGTATGTCTTCATACTCCTCTTCGTCGCGTAGCTCGTCGGGGGTGACCATGTTGAGCAGGCACAGCACCTCGGTGGCGGGGCCCGCGCCCGCCAGAGTCAGCCCCGCCACCTGCAGCGTCACTGGCGCTGCACCCGTCATCGCTGAACAAATATAACAAATAAATTATATGTACTGTATGTTGTATTTGAATAGTATTGTAATAACAATATATTTAAACAATGGACAGTTAAAAAAATAAAAATAAAAAGAAATCTTGTTAAAAGTACACAAATATGACATTAATTTGAAAAAATTGGAAAATACAATGTGTAAACTCTAAGCAATCACTTAATTTTAAATGACCCAATAAATATATAAATAACAATTATGTATATAACTAAATGTACCTACTTACGATCTAAACATAATACACCCTAATATTTAAATACCGTTAACATTAGATTTAAAAAGTACTTATACAACATTATCGCTAATGTTGTGTCAAGACGTAGACTTACCTAAAGTAGAGTTCTTGGCTCCAATACTGGCTCGCTGGACAATGAGCTTCTTGTCGCCCAGCTGCATACCATTTAGACCGGCAATCGCCTAGAAGTTGTTTTTTTTTGTAGTAAATATGTTTATTTTCGTAAACATATTTAATAAAGTTTTGTGTAGTAAGTACCTGATCAGTCATCGATATATCCACATATTCAGCAAAGGCATAGCCCTTGCTGAGTCCTGTGGAGGAATCTTTCACCAAGTTGAAGGCTCGCAGCTGACCGAATGACATCAGCAGTTCTTTAACCTGGATATCAGTGCACGAATTAATGTCGAATAATCGAATAATTCGTATCGTTCATATCAATATTTAAATATAATATGATAATACTCTCTAGTCATTGATGTTTGTTGTTTAATTGTAAATTGATTGGTTCCCGTTAACATTTGCTATGCAAAGGCAGCAAACATATGAATGAATTTGATCTGACCTGTGTCTAGCCGCATATTAAATCAGATGTGAACGGAGGAGACTTGCCTTGGCGTGCCGACGTCTCGCTCAAGTACAAGACGTAAGGTGAGAATGAGAGACAACAGTGACACGCGGCCGCGAATGTGCCAAATCTAAGCTAGGGAGGGGCAGAAAGCAAACTATATCAGTGAGTTGTTTCAGAAGGTTCTGAGCGTGAACGCTCACGCTCATCCCAGATACGGGTACCTGAAAATTCCTGAAATGGAAATAAACACGCGGCTCTCCGCTGGCTCCACCGTAGCCCTGTCAACTGTTGAATCTCGCCCTGAAATGGCAGCGGCTCCTACTTCTACTATGGGAACCTAACCCGATTTCTACCCTAAACTGTAGTGTTTCGATTTTGTGCATGCTCGAACGCATAAATTTCTAACAGCAATGTGTAATTCACGGGCAATACATTGAGTCATTTAAATATGAAAGATTGAGTTATTAAAACATATGTCTTTATACCCCACTATAAAAATACAAATAACTTCACCAAAGTATAATAAAAAATGTGGACTTGGTACTGACCTGGAACACATAATTTTAGATTTAATAGCCAAATTAAAAGATTGTACCATTTCTACATAAACTTTATAGTAAATAAGTTACGACGTTACAAATAATTGTTTGAGTTTTTATGTATAAGTGCAAATAATATGCATTGGCCTCTTGTAACCATTTAACTGAGTAAATATTGGCTGGGACATATTTTTTCAAAGTCTAAATGACTGCTGCTTAATATTGTTGTTACTTTTTCATTATGACTATATATTTATTTTATTCACTATTATTATAGGTTATTATTTGAAAATGTCTACTTTAAAAATAATTTATATGAAATTAGCAAATTTTAAGCACGGGATAGTATTTTGGATATTTATTCGTAAATTGAAGGTTCTATTGAGAAACATTAACTTGTGTGTGTAATTACCAATTCTAAATTTTTTTTTGAAGAATATTAAAACTCAACCACAGGCATCTAATAAATTGTTGACAAAATTATTCACAGCAAAGTCTTAAGCATTTTCAATAATAGGTGTGGTGAAAGCTTAAGATAATAATGTTTTTTTTTATTTATAATTAAAAATTCTGTAATGAACTTTTATATTTTTTCAGTCAGTTAGTATGGACAATGTTACAGGGTTGATGCCAACATTGGGCAAACATTTGGTCATATGCCTTCACTCGAATTGGGAAGCATGGATATAACAAGCACCAAATAACATGCATTGTTGAAGAATATAATTTAAAGTAACAATACAAAGTATTGGACTATTGCCCCTCAACCAATTTGTTTATATAATAGATCTAGCATTAGTGAAGAAATTAGATTGGATAAACATCTAAAACATGTTGGGCTACTGAGATAATTTTATAAAGAATTCAATGACAACTTTATCTACATCATTATTTTTAGGTGGGAATTTATGTATTAACAATAAAAATATTTTAGAACTATTGTAACATCCATACAAGTGCAAGTGTTAGTATAGAAAACACAGATATTGTTAAGAAATAAAAAAAAAGTATATAATTATCCTTTCTGCCAGAGCTGAGAAAAATAATATCATTAATAGTAGCTTATACAAATTAATGTTTTCAATAACCCAATGTATGCAATAGTAAGAATAACTTACTTGGTCCTCATTTAAATAGTTAGGCAGTCCTCCAATAAAGATTTTATGAGGTGAATCTGGAACTACAGTACTGATAACACCAGCTAAAAATAAATACATCTATTACTATACTTCTTTACATTACCTCTAATATCACCAACTTAGTAAATACAAATTAAGATATTGCTTAGAGTCTACATTAAAAAAGTATAAGAGTTAAACTAAGATAAGCAGTAAAATAAAAAAAAATAATAAAAAAAGATATAATCACCTGGTACATTAATGGCTGGATTTTCAGTCCCTGGCATTGGTTGATAATCATGCGGTCGTCGTATTTTTAAGCTTTGACCTTTGAAGTTTATGCCGTCAAACGCCATGGCTTGTGTTGTTTCATCAATGGACCTAAACTCAAGGAATGCAAAATTTTTGTCTAAATTAATCTGGCATGCAAGAACTGGATTACCGGCCGCTTGCGCTAATCCAGATAGATGCATTTGTTGGTTAAAGAATTCCATAGTCTCCTCTTCGGTGACTCCAAATGGTATATTTCCCACATATAATCTGCGTGCCTGTCGTGTTATCGTTGACCCGACTACAGGTACGGCGGCTTGTGGTGTGTCAGCCACAATGTTAGCCGGAATTTGTCCGGCCGCTTGCATGGCTTTATATTGTAACGGCGTAATATGTTCAAACCCTGGTGGTGGGACATCCCAATATAATGAAGGCTTACGACGACGTGATCTTTTCGATGGAGATCTGGATTTACTTCTTCTTTTTTCACGACGCTCCCTTGATCGAGAGCGTGAACGCCGTCTTTCTCTTGAGCGCGATCTACGTCGACGATCTACTACAACAAACGTATGATTATTTACATGATATAAGTTGAATAATAGTTGTTTCTCAAAACATATATTAATTTACCTTTATCTTCTCCCATATTTAATAATTGAGTTTCAAGTACCAAACACTAATTACAAACGTTTTCATGAAAAGTTAAACATACGTAAGATGGCGTCGAATCGAATTGTCGCCATAAAGCATAGATTATATTGGTAATTATTTGTCGTTGATTGGTACCACAGACCTGTTAAATTTTAACAGTTGAATTATTTACACAGAGTGGATAACTTAGGATAAGTTGAAGTTCAAGATTTGACTTGGCTAGTTTTTACATACAAATTTTGTTATATTCAGCTAATCACTTAAATCTTCTTTATGCTGTAGGACAGTTACTGTGTTTATATTGTAAGGTCAACATGTCTCAATCTTTTAAAAACTTGCATTAAAAATATTTGATATTTCATCGACAAGCAAGTGACATTGACAACTAATTCTCTACTCTGTACTAAATGACGTCACTATCGGCTATCCCCCTGCCCCCAACACTCAATAACTTGAAAACACCAAATATGAATCGTTTCATTCAACTTAGAACTAAAAGTGAAAGTTTGTATACCAGATCCTAAATAAATGGCTTCATCTGGGCTTCCACAAAAGTCAGGATTAAAAGTGTTCATTGTAATTTTGTAATAATGGTAAGTATTACTATAGTAAGTCATATATTTACTTGAAAAACTAAGAATACTTGATTATTAAAAATATTAATTAATATTCTTCATTTTTGGTGTTTATTTATAATAGTTAATTTCTATTTAATATCTGTTTATTTGGTCTACTTTTTTAAGTAATGAAATTACATATTTAAGAAATAAAATTACATATTTATTTTTAATATAAGTATTTATACAAAAGTCAATGATTCATGGAAATATCTAATGAAATCAATAGAGTAATGCAACAAAAATATTATTTTTGTCATATTTTTCTAAGTTATTAAAGTTGGTTTTATCATTCAACTAAGGTCATCATTTAATTTTTGTTTTTTTAGGATCTTGGTGATAATGAGGGTGACGTTAAACATAGAAAACAAAATCAATCAGAATTAACAAATATTAACAGTAACACATTTAAAATTAAAGCAAATAAAAATGTTCAAAATAATAAAGTCATAGGTTTAGTGTTTATATCACTGTTGCTAGATCTTTTGGCATTTACAATGATATTGCCACTCTTGCCTTCTTTGCTTGATTACTACAATAAAGAGGAAGGAAAGTCAAATACTGTGTATACACTATTACTTTATATAGTGCAAAAATTTCAAAAATTAACTGGTGCACCTGATCGATTTGTATCAGTTCTATTTGGAGGTGCTCTTGGCTCTATGTACAGCTTCTTACAATTCCTTACAAGTCCTATAGTTGGTAGTCTCTCAGATGCTTATGGAAGAAAACCAATGCTTTTAATTTGTTTGGTAAGTATTTGTTAGTTTGTAATTTTTTTTTACTTATACCAACTTTATTTTTGCTAAATACCTATTTTAGAAACAAAAAAAAATATGTTGTATAATAAAATTATTCTTATATACACTTTGGAATCTTTATGTAAAGGAAACTGGGATATATTATCAGTACTTAAGATAAATCAGATATCAACTGATACTTATCAGTTAGATTTGGCTTCATAACAGTTTTATATCTAACAATAGAAACCATAAGTCTGTATTGTTCAATGACGTTAATTTGTAATGAAAATTAGAATTTTAATTATCATTTTACATAAAGATGCTATTAAAACTAACAACATAAAAAATAAGGACAGCGCTGTAATTTTATTTTAATGGTATTCATTTAAACCTGTTTGTTTTTGTTACCTTTCTTGTTAGTTAAAATTTATGCATTAATTATTTATTAACATAAAATTAAACATTTTAACGAAATAAAAAAAAAATACATACATTTTTTTAATGTTCATTGATTAAATAAGTATGTCTAATTTTTAGCTCGGTATTGCATTATCACATGGTCTATGGAGTTCTGCGAGTACATTTAGCTTGTTTGTACTAGCAAGATTTATAGGGGGATTAAGTAAAGCCAATGTAAGTCTCAGTATGGCCATAGTAACAGATGCCTCTGATGAGAAGACCAGGCCTAGAGGAATGGTAAGTTATAAGGAACCTAAGATATAAATATTTTCCAAATATAATCATGGGGTCTCATCTGGAACAAAGAAAAATTACTTTAATTTATAATATTTTGTTAATCCAATTTCTTTGGAATGTTTGTATAAATTTAATAAAAGAAATAAAAACTAAAAAAAAACCGACTTCCAGGCACTAAAATGTAAAAAAATATCTAAATGGGGGTTTTCATTTAGAATAGATATCTAATTAGATATTTTCAAAGTCGGTGCCAGCCGATGCAAAGCAAATCTAATACATATATTTCAATACATAAACTACATCACAAATTGATGTACAATATTTTTTAACTATAATTAGAGTTCATATCTAATTATATTTACCTATTAGATATTGATATCTTAAAATATTATATTCATATATAAAAATTACATTTAAGACATCGTTAATTTATTATTTTCTTGTTCTTTTTAAAATTAAATGCATTTGAGTTGCATTATTCATAGCACTTGTTTTCTTCATTTCAGGCTTTGGTAGGTTTAGCTTTTTCTATTGGATTCATAGTAGGACCTCTCGCTGGTGCTTGGTTTGCAAAGAGTAATGACCTGTGGGGTGAGAGGCCAGCGCATTATGCGCTTTTCCTTTCACTTGCAAATGTTGCTTTAGTCGCATTCTTTGTACCTGAAACTTTGTCTAAGGTATGTTAAATTAAAAAAATAAACATGTTTTAATATTTTTAAAAATTAATTTACATTAATCAGTATAATATTGCTTATATTTAAGTTAAAATGAAAAGAAAAAATTTAATTTAGAATTACATATTATATTATATGCGCATAATCTAAATATATATTTTTCTTTGCAGGACAAAAGAGCACCACTTACTCTATCTCTTTCTAAGGCGGTAGATTTCATATCTCCTTGGCATTTATTAAAATTCACTGCTGTTAAAAACCTTTCTGTCCGCCAGAACCAAGTATTATCTAAACTGGGATTGATATATTTTATTTACTTATTTATTTACTCTGGTCTTGAATTCACTATAACATTCCTTACACATCATACATTTGGATACACCGCAATGCAACAGGGAAAAATGTTCCTCGTGATAGGTAAGTCTGTGTGATATTTAAAAATGCTTCAAATCATGATATCATGTTTTAATCCCTCAACGACCGCGGACACGCCGGCGTTACAAGTAACAATAGATTTCTTAGAAATTTACCTGGAGGTGTTAAATTGAATAATATATTATTGTTTAAAATGAGATTGAATATTATATTATGAATGAATATGAATACATATTAAAATTAATTATACCTAATGCGGAACTGCAGGCACAGGTTCCATTTCACATCACAAATCACAAAAAGAATTTTTTAAATCGGATTGATATTTCCTGAGATTAGTGCGTTTAAACAAACTCTGCCTCTTCATAATATTAGTACAGATATACAATGTATATACTATCTATTTAATACTAACCGTTAATATGTATGAAATATACAAGACAATGTATTATCTCAGGGATAATAATGGCGGTGCTGCAAGGCGGGGCAGCGCGGCGGCTGAGCGCGCGCGGCGCGGAGCGCGCGGCGCGGCTGGCGCTGGCGCTGACGCCGCCCGCGTTCCTGTGCGTGGCGTGCGCGGCCGCGGCGCGCGCGCCCGGCCCGCCCGCCGCCTGGCTGTGGGCGGGCCTCGTGCTGTTCGCTGTTTGTGAGTGCCTAATCCTATTTACCGGAGCTGCCGGATCGTATAATTGGATACAATTATTTTTTAAATATGGTTATTTTATGTATATTTCATTTTAAGTTATTACGTATTTGTATTGAAATGTTTTATCCGTCACAGACTTGTTATGTATGTATTTCTCTACAGTGTTGTTAATTTGTATTATAAAATTTGATTTGGTATAATTTGAGTGACCCAGTTGTATAAAGTCAGTTGGCTCTACTGGCAGCAGTTGTCTCTATTGGCAGCCCTGCTATTTACTACTAATCATCTAACTTATCTTTGCTATGGTCCTTGTTTTGAAAATGAACCGTGAGAGCAGCTCTTTGGTTGTTGTGGTCTGCCTCGGTGGGCCAGATGTCGGGACGTCATATGTGAGTGTCTGATGAGGAATAATTCTGCGACACCCCGTTAAGACGAGATGAGCAAGTAAAAGAGGCGATATAATGACGACAATAAAGTGAATGAGTAAAAGAATTTTAATTTCGAGGGTTGCATTTGGCATTCAGATGCATCATGCACGCATGTATCATGTAAACGGGCTCGTTATGAAATATAAAATTATTTATTATAATTTTAAAATGCAAAGTTAAACAATATCCTCTGCCCAAACTCTCAAGTTACTTAATTTTTTTACAATGGACAATAACGCGATTATTAAATGAAGTGTTAGGATAAATTAGTGTATATGGTTAATTTTTTTACCATAGTTCCTACTAATATTGAACACGAAAATTTATGAAGTTGTATGGATGTATATTTGTCACTCTTTCACGCAAAACTACTGATCAGATTTTGATAAAACTTTACAGTAATATAGCTTATATATCAGAGTAACGTCAATACAATCACATATATCATAAGCTATACAGTCTATGTATGCTATGCTATAATTTATAAAAAGGTAATAAATAAATTAACTACGAGGGCGGGGCAATGGGAAAACGTAAGTATATTATAATTGCGAGAGTTTATGAGTCAGTGTGTTTGTTAGTTTACTCTTTAATTGTTCTACGGATTTTAATGTAATAAATACTTACAGATCTAATAAGCGAGCTGAGCAGCTTATAATGCCTCCCTACGTCAAAATGTATTTCATTAATATATAGCCCAGTAGTTTCTAACGTTCATATAAATATTAAATGACGGAACCATACTTATTTCCGATTAGTATATTTCATTAAAATACTTGACCGGCAGAATTCGGTCACTAATAATCCTTAAAAACGCAATGCCTTTATTATTACTGTGGGTTACACGGCAAGTGATTTTATTCGCGGATCCGCTCGCATAATTATGTGCAATTTTAATTTTTCCGTTTTCAAGCTATATGTTATAGCATGTAACTTTTCTTATTAAATAGTAATTGAATAAATAGTCAAAAGATGATATTTTTTTTAATTGGACTGGTATTTCCGAAGATTAGCGCGATTATTATTAGCATAAACGAACAAACAAGACAATAAGTTGGTAACTTCAAGAAGGTTGAAAAAATAGGATGATCGTCTTAAAAGCGCAGACGCATATATGCGTTCGAAGTTCGATTTTTTAATTAGGTAATTGAAGGAAAGTCACGATTTTTTAATTAATTTTTGCCCATGACTCCACTCGTGTAGTACTACACACGCCATTAAAGTAATATTTGTTAATTCAGATACGTAAGCGATCTCCATTGAAAATTTAATTAAAAACAATTGAAGAATTACAACATATAGAAGTAAACGAACGCACTGACAAACTTTCGTATTTATATTAAGGTAGTGTGATATTCGTTAACATCATTATCTTTTTAACAGCGACAGCGTTCGCGGTGTCGTGTATGACGGCGCAGGCGGCGGCGCTGGCGCCGAGCGCGGCGCGCGGCGCGGCGCTGGGCACGCTGCGCTCGCTGGGCGCGCTCGCCCGCGCCGCCGGCCCGCTGCTCGCCTCCACTGGTAACACTCGCTTTGGTCACTATAACGGCTTGGAATTCATTTTAAATAAAACTATCTTTTCAGATTATGTTGCGGATTTATTTTGAATTTTGGTTCCCGACGTTTCGAATACTTTACAGCGATCATGGTCACGGGGGAGACTAAGGTTGTAGACGTCTCGTAGGCATTATATACTTGTTACACACAGTGTATACCCACTATTTTCATTTAATGTAAATTAAGGATGAATAACTCTTAAAATATAAACAACATTTTCTATGAACTCGAAGTGCAAGTCTATTATTTATTTAATTTATTGTCCGTTTATTTTTTACTAGCGGTTTTCGCTTTTAAAAATAAAAGCAAAACTATCCCACGAGAACCGTACATTTTTTCGAGATAAAACGTATCCTATGTGCTATTGCAGACTACAATCTATTATCTCTTATTTACTTTCAATAATAAATCGGTACATATAACGCCATCTGTTGCCATTTATTGGAACTATTTTTCTTTATTCTTGTTGAGACCTACATTGAGTTTCTAACTCATCAATTTTTATTTAATTAATTATTAAAATATTACAATTTTCAGTGTACTGGTGTTCGGGCGCGGCTACAACATACACAATTGGTTCAATCATATTAATACTGCCAGCTTTTATGCTATTCCGACTGAAACAAAAAATGAACAAATAACTGTGTCATAAAAGTTTTTAAATAGAAGCAATAATACCATCATTTATACATGAACTAGATGTAAGATATATTTAATATTTATTGTACACATTTTTTTTACATTTTTTGTGATTTTTTACTATGCTTTTACACAGTTTCATTTATCTCGAATAAACAGTATTAAAATAAATATTTTATTTCAATTCAAATGTTTTATTACATCAAAATACCTTTTCGCTGTATTATGTATAGATGCATGTACAACAACCAAATTTAGCATTGATTATTATATTCAATGTAATAATTATAAAACACTAGCGGCTCACCCTCGCTTCGCTCGGGTTCATCGCTAGGTACATTTTAAATAGATATAAATAGTTATTAGCCAGCGTTAGCCATATAAATTATATTTTTTTTGTTAATAATATTGACAAATATTGACATTAATATTAATACGTATGGTATTAAAGTTCAAATTGACTTTTAAGTATTATACTAATCTTTTATATGGGAGTATAGAAAAGTGTTGGTTTTAGACTTTTTCAAGCAATTGTTTAAATTTTTCTCTCCGTAAGAACCATTCTCGTACTTCAAGGAATATTCTAAAAAAAGAATTAGCGAAATCGGTTCAGCTACTCTAGAGATTTGCGCTTACCAACACATTCAGCGATGCATTTTTATATTATAGATTAAGTGTGAATTGGATAGTTTTCCTTGGGTGTCTGAAATTATTCTGTTAAATTCAATCGTGTATATGTACCTTTACATCATCCACTTATATAAAACTTTGTTATGTCAATAAAGTTGCCATGGCGACGGTATTTTTGTCAACAAATATACCGTATGCCGAACCATTGTTAGAAAGTAATAAGTAATATTATAGTTAGTGTTTATTTAAGCAAAATGCCCTTATTCAGCAATAAATTCACCCCAAAAACGATTCCCGTAAGAAAACATGATACTTCTGTTATAAAAAACGAGTTGGGTAGTGATTATGCATTAAGAGAATTATCCATAGATATTGCACCTCTCAAGTTGAAATTAGGTGATATTGAATTATCTTTTGAGGAAGGACAATGGATGCCGGGTTAGTACTTTAAGTTGTATGCGTTGTTTAACAGAATTTTTTTTTTTTTAGTAATAAAAACTGTTTTTATTACTATAAAAAATATGATGAATTCGGTGTTTTGTTCATGGCTAATAATTAAACTCGAATTTAAAATATTGATAATGTTTACTTTTTCAAATAGCATCAGGTAGGGCGGGCGCCGCACATAAAGAAAATGTACGCCTCAAAAAAGAATTAGAACAACTCGAGGAAGAAAATAATATGTTGCGTTTAAAATTTGAAATTTTACTAGACATGATGACAGATAAAACGGTAGAAGCTGAACAGCAGGAAATGCAAAGAGCCCAAAGTTTAGGCTCTTTAAAATCAAAGACGAAAAAACAGAAATAATTTTATTTATAAACTTCCATATTACTTATACTATTGTAGTGAATATTCATTATATAAAGATATTTGTACTATCATATTATATACATTATATTGTTAAGTATAAAAATTTAATTACATTACATTTTGCCATTGAGTACCGTATATTGTAATTCAACGATAAAAATAGTTTAAAAAATGCTTCTTTTATACAATTATCTTGTTAGCACTTTCTGTAAAAAACATTAGAAAAAGCTAAAATTAAAATAAGTATCTTTTCGAACTTAGTCGCGATTTTATACTTATTGTTAAGGAAGAGCCTAAAGTTTTTATTATCACAAAGATTATTACATAATATCAAGTATGTAGTCTGTAATAGACGTCGGGAACAAAAACTGAAATAAAAACGCGATCAAGTATGTAGTCTGTAATAGACGTCGGGAACAAAAACTGAAATAAAAACGCGACAAAATTCGAAATAATTGCGAAAATTGCGTGCCTCGCGGGTACTGGACCCGCTGCCACTTGAGCCCCGACCTCTGCCCCAGCCTCTGTTATTTGCTAACTGTTGTCCTGTATAAAAATATATTGAATGAATTAAATTATGTTATTATAAACATTTTAATTACCTGTATTAGTTACTTATAAATATAAGATGTTCTTCTATAATAATAATTATGATATATCAATTAGCATATTTTAATAATTAATTTTCTTTACAATTATCTAATATACAATATATATGTTTAAATACATAGCAACATATTATATGTATGGCAGAGATAATTTAAAATTAATAAAAAATAATTATTTTCTTCTTTTAACTTATTGTAAAGGACCTGAATTTGTAGTATAATCAGCCCATTGGAAGAACTTGCAACAACGTTTGTCTTTAGAACAAGAGTAGAATAGACGGCCTATGTTTGGTCCCTGTCGCACTGTCATTCTGTAACAAATTATAATAAATTTAAACTACATAAATGCAAAATTCATCTACACATTCACCTTTAAACATTGATATACAAAAACAAAATAAACTGGCATCTCAAAAGTGTGCCCTCAAAAAAAATAGAAATGAGTTGGGCTTATTTCAAATCTCCTTTGTTGATTGCTTTTTGGATCATAAAATTAAAACGCACGTTTTAGTTTAAAAATAGCACTTTATGTGGTGTGCGTAAGTTCGATTTGACAATTAGATCCAGTTTTGAATTTTATTCTTTTTTAGATTTTACATCACAAGTCAACGCTACTTCAAAAAGTGAATAAGTGAGAAGTGAAGAAGATATTTGTTAGGAAATGTGTGGATACACAAACTTTATTTTATGACATTACATATTAAAACAGACATGTTTTAATACATTAATGCCTTTAAAGTAATCTTTGTATAAAAAAAATTGAACATACTTTGAAAATAGATGAATAGCAGTCTATTGCAATTTAATAAAAAAAATCCCATGCAATTTCTATTAAAAAATCCTTAATATCATTAAATGGACTATCAATCTTACTTGACACTGGCCCAGCCACAGCCGCACTCCACTTCTACCCCTCGCGTAGAGTAAGGAGCGGGAAAACTCCTTCGAACACTATATCTGCTTGAACTTGATGGTGTTTCATTGGTGTTTTGTAACGAATCCACTGGGGGACCCCATTGGAAAAACTTGCACAATGTGTGTGTCGCTTGACATTTATAGAACGTTCTTCCTAAAATACAATTTGTTTAATTTATTTAAATAAGAAGTAAAAATGATGTTTCTGATATTTAATTTACATAATTTATTTTATGTATTCCAATTTTTATGTATAAATAATGGTTAATATCATAAGACGCTCTATCAAACAAATATAACAAACACACAAACAAAACTTTGGCAAAAATAATAGTAGTCCTATATAAAGTTTAAAAATATGAATAAAACAAAACATTACCAAATAATCATACCAATAATGAAGAATTATAAAATAAACTAGTGACTCACCCTCGCTCGGGTTCATCCTTATTTACGTTTTAATGGTTAGTATGGAATAGATAAGACTATATATTACATGAATATATCATGTAATATATAGTTAGTCGCCTTATAACCTTCCTCAATAAGCGGGCTATCTAATGCAAAAAGATTTTTCCATATCAGATTAGCACTTCCAAAGATTAGTGCATTCAAAAAAAACAAACAAACAAACTCTTTATAATATTAGTATAGATAATATATTTTACAGTGATTTTAAAAGAAAAATGTAAAGTTACCTTCATTTTTGTTCGGCTGCTTAGATGTGCACTGTGCTGCGGGCTGCCCACATGTGCACACAATTGTGTTATCCCCTACATTGAGAGCTGTTGCGTTGCGAGTTGAGTTCCCTGTACTTGCATCACTAACAAAACCGGAAGAGTCTGTGCTGTCATTGCGTATTATTCGGTTATTTGTTCTTTCATTAGTGTGAGAGTTTGTATATGGTGGGTTGTTTGTACGAGCGTTCATCGGTGGGTTTGTATGTGGGTTCATCGGTAGGTTTGCACGAGGGTTCATCGGAGGGCTCGACGAAGGGTTTGTTGAAGGGTTCATTCATGTGAGGGTTCACAGATGTCCGGTGTACACCGAGCACATCGTTGAGCGTTGTGTCGCAGCCGCCGATGCAGCCGGTGTAAGGAGGCGGGTATAAATGACTTATCGAGTTGTTACTCCATTCGAACTTCAGATTCTTGTTGTTTGGACCACACTGAAAGTAAGTTGTTTATTAGAAACTTTAATTTATTTATAAAAAAAATGGCGTTTTTTATGAATTTGCATATTTAATTCGATTTTTACAAGAAGATTCATATTATTTATTTTGGTGAAGTTTATAAAAATATTTATTTTTAAATATTTGTCGAGCTTACTTTCCTTGTTTAATGCGTTATTAGATTATTACGATTTCTATATAAATTAAAAAGCTTCAACTTAACAATATTATATTATAAAAAAAAAATTACGAACCACTGCACACGAGTTTGTTAACACTTCAATATTTTTTACAATTGAATGTAACCAGAAGGCTTTCTTGCACTGTGGGTACGACACGCAGTCAATGTAGAATTCATTTTCGTTACTCTTCTTTCGCCTCAAATACATATCTGATCCACACATTGGACATTTTGTTACTGAAAACAAGTGAGAAATTTTTATTATTTTCTTTAAATTCTTTTGACGACACGTTTGGTTCAGTTTGTAGTGACCCTACTTGCTGTGCTAGCGGTCGCGGGTTCGAGTCCCGCTGGGTGCATTCATTTGTGTGATGAACACGAATGTTTGTACTCCAGTCATAGGTGTTTATATTTATAATATGTATGTATTTAAAGTTATATGTGTGTAGTGTATCAACTATCTTTTTTTTAACGTTGGGAAATGCTTTTACGCACGAGGTGTGGGACTCACCGGCGAAGCCAGTACTACCCACTAAAACCCAACAAAACCTTCCCCCGTCTTAATGGGGCGTCGCAGGATCGCTTACGCATTCAACTACGACGCCCCGACGGCAGGTCTGCCGAAGCAGACCACAACAACCACTGGGTTGCTCCACGGTCCACTCTGCTATCAAAGAAGTACCAGGAGCAACCCGCATGGTACACCGCCCTCCGAAGAGGGCCGCCGGCCTCTCACCGCCCACTGAGGCGGGCCAACTCCCAGTGCGCTTCTTGGCTTCGCGCCCGGCTGTATTGTCGGGCACTACTGAGCCCCCCCACCACGACAAGGTGAACGCACGTTGGGGGGGAGTGTATCAACTATCTGGTATACATAACACAAGCCTCGTAGCTTACCATGGAACTAGATGATGCTGTGTGTTAATGTCCCAACATATTTATTTACATATAAAAACATTGATACCTACCTTCAAAAAGTGGCGTCGTAATATGACGTTAAATCAAACAAAAGAATAAAATAAAAAAGGCGAATGTTCAAATTGTCTAAACACAAATTAGAACTTACGCAAACCACATAAACTACTTCTTTAAACGAAACAACGTGCTTTTTAATTTTGTCATCCGAAAAGCAAGGAACAAAAGAGATTTGAAAAAAAGCGCATAATTTCGTATTGTGCGCTTCTTTTTAAAGACACTTTTGAGATGCTAATTGCGTATCTTGAGTTTTTGTATAACAATGAACACAGGTTTGCTGAATATTTGATGTTTTTATATTGGTTTAGACATGAGATTACATGAATCATTCAAGTTGTATTAGACATTAAAACGTACAACAAAATATTTAGTTGCCAAGAAGTATTCTGTTACTAGATATTTAGCGATTCACGTTTATAATAAAATATCTTTAGATATTGAACTAAGTAAAAATTGATAACATTAAATACAGATAAAGAAATCTAAAAACCGAAATTATCTTAAGTGTCTTTATATAGTATCCCCTTGAAGTAAATTTATGTATATGTAGATAAATAAAATTGAAGTGTCTGTTTGTAATGTCAAAATAACAGTTTTTTACTTAATGCATATGAAATTATATACAGTATTTATAAGAAAAACACAATTTTTAAAATTTTTGTCTGTCTGTCTATTCCGGCAAATCTCCGAAACGTCTGGACTAATTTTGATGGGATTTTCACTGGTAGATAGCTGATATTATAAGAAGTTACTTAGGAAAACCATATAAATATCATATTGTAACCCCATTCCAATTTGGTTATATGCACAAATATATATATATATATATATATATATATATATATATATATATATATATATATATATATATATATATAGAATAAATAAGAAATAGAATAAGAATTAAAATTTTAAATCTCACTATATATTTTGTTTTCATTAAAAGCTTGTCATGCATCTTTACCTGGAGTGGAACTGCAGAAAGTGTTGTTAGCAGTAGGCGTGTATGCTGCAGGAGTTACGTTCAATGTTTGAGCCAGAGCATCGTCCAGTTGTTCCGCCTCAGCTTGCAGTTTCATGTACTTATTCTTATAAATATCTATCTGAAAATATTAAAACGAATTTTGTTACTGAGTTCAAAATTTATAAATAATCAGAAGAACCCGCGGCTTCGCTCGCGCTAAAACTACAAAAAAACTCTGAAAAGGTAGTTTCATACAAACTTTCATCCCCTATTTTACCCCCTTATATATATCAATTTGTCACGGATTTGCATAAGTTAGCAGAGGGATGCGAGTATAACTTGTTAAAAGAAGAACTTATACGAGATAGAGTAGTGATTGGCATAAGGGATAGAAATATAAGTGACAGGATGCTCTTAAAAAATGACTTAAAGCTTGAGGAGGCTATTCAAATGGGAAAGCAAGCGGAAATACAAAAAAAAGAGAGTATGATTATAAGAGAAAATAAGGAAGAAAGTGAAATAAATAGGGTGAAAGTAGGAACAACAACAGCACAAAGAAACAACGAAGAACTACAATTAAAAGGAAATTGTTGGTTTTGTGGACAAAAAAGACATCCTAGGTACAAATGTCCAGCATCAAATATAACATGTTTCAAGTGTCGAAAAACGGGGCATTTTGCTAGGTTGTGCAGAGCCAAGATAGTAAAAAATATTGAGAAGGAAGAAACAGGAACTACATATGAGGTTAGTTTCTGTGAGTCAAAACAAAAGTATTTAATAGACGTAGATGTTTTTCAAGAGGACCAGTTTATAAGTAAAGTAAAATTTCTTATTGATACAGGAGCAGACATAAGTGCTATACCAGACAATATTATAAAAGGATGTGGACTCTCTATAGTGAAAAGTGATGATGTGATCAAAGGACCAGATGGGACAAAATTAGTGGTTTTGGGAACTACTAATTTAAAGCTTAGGTATAAAGAAAATGTATATGAAGGTAAAGTTTATATTATAAAAAATTTAAGTAGAGCTATTTTAGGGAGACCTTCTATTGAAAATATGAATATACTTACTATAAGTGCTATCTCTCATTGTTTCAACTCTGATGATAATATAAGTGAAGTAATTGAAAAAGAATATCCCAATATATTTAATGAGTTAGGAGTATTTAAAGACGAATTCCATATCAAATTAGTTGCAAATCCAAAACATTATGTACATGCTACACCTAGAAATGTATCAATTCCATTATTACCAAAAGTTAAAGCAGAACTAGATAGATTACAAAGACTTGGAATAATTAGTCCGATAGAAGAACCTACTGATTTTGTCTCACCAATTGTAGTAGTATTTAAAAATGATAAAGTTAGGATTTGTGGAGATTATACTGAAGTTAATAAAAGTATTTTAAGACCGGTTTACCCAATACCAAAGGTGGAAAATACATTAGCAAAGCTGAAGGGGGCTAAATATTTTTCTAAAATAGATGCTACCTCAGGGTTCCATCAAATCAAGCTAGACGAAGAGTCAAAGAAAATTACTACTATTATAACACCTTTTGGTAGGTATGTTTATAATCGTTTACCTTTTGGTCTAAATTGTGCACCAGAGTATTTTAGTATGAAATTTTCTAACTTATTCAAAGATTTAAAAGTAGCTATACATATGGATGATATTTTAGTATTTGAAGAAACTAAAGAAAAACATGATAGAATACTAAGGGAAGTACTAAATAGGTTACAAAATGAAGGATTAACAATTAACAGAAAAAAGTGTGCATTTAGAGTAAAAGAGGTGACATATTTTAGGTCATTTAATAAATGAAAAGGGCATTAAAATTGATCCAGAAAGATTCAAAGCAATAAATGCATTTAAAGTACCAGAAAATAAAAAAGAGCTTCTTAGATTTCTCGGTATGGTTAATTTTGTAGGTAGATTTATACCAAATAAATCTCATTTATTAGAACCATTGCATATGTTATTAAAAAACAGTAATATGTTCATATGGGAAAAAACTCAAGATCAAGTTTTTAATCAAGTAAAAGAAAAACTTAAATCAGCACCAACTTTATCACATTATGATCCGAGTTTAAAGATCATTGTATCAGCTGACAGTAGTTCCTTCGGGTTAGGTGCTGCACTTATGCAAGAGAATAGGCAGGGACAAAGGTCTGTAGTAATGTATTCTAGTAGAACTCTTACAGAAGCAGAAAAACACTATGCACAAATAGAAAAGGAATGCCTAGCTTTGGCATGGGCTACAGAAAAATTTAAAGATTATATTATAGGGATTCAGGTTATTTTAGAAACAGACCATAAACCACTCTTACAAATATTACAAACAAAACAATTAAATGACTTGAGTCCACGGTTATTGAGACTAAGACTAAAGTTAAGTAAATTTAACTATGAAATAAAATATACTCCTGGTAAAGACTTGGCAGTAGCAGATGCTTTATCACGACAACCTCTACCTAGTGAAAACACTAAAGAGTTTATAGATTCAGAATTAGAGTTAAATTTTTTTGTTAGTGAAACATTGTCATATGATACATTAAACAAGGTTAGGGTAGAACAAAATAATTGTGAAATATGCTGTAAATTAAAACAATTTATAATTCAAGGGTGGCCAAGCAAAAATAAATTAGGAATTTTTAAGGATTATTATCAATATAGAGAAAATTTTTCCATTGAATCAGAGCTACTTCTTTTTAATTCAAGGATTGTTATACCTAAACAAATGCAACAAGATATACTGAACAAAATTCATGAGGGTCATTTAGGAATTTCCAAATGTAGAGAGCGAGCAAAACAGTCAGTGTGGTGGTTAGGGTTGTCTAAAGAAATAGAAAACAAAGTAAAATCATGTACAAAATGCTTAGAACATTTAAAAAATCCTAAAGAAGAAATGATAATAGACTCATTACCCGATAGACCTTGGCAGAAAATAGGAATGGATTTATTTAAATTTAACGATAATTGGTATATAGTAATGATTGATTATTATTCGAGATTTCTAGAAATTGCCAAACTGACTGATATGACAGAAGAAACAGTAATAATTAAATGTAAGGAAGCATTTTCAAGATATGGCATTCCAGAGATTGTGAGAACGGATTGTGGAACACAATTTAGATCCAAGTTTAATGTATTTTCTAAAGAATATGGGTTTAAGTTAATTACAAGTAGTCCATATTATCCCCAAAGTAATGGTTTAGCAGAGTCAGGAGTTAAGATTGCAAAAACACTATTATCAAAGAATACAGATATATATTTGGCATTGCTAGTATATAGAAATACACCTTTGGAATTGGGTTATAGCCCGGCAGAACTTATGTTTAATCGTAAGCTCAGAGATGTTTTGCCTATAGTCCCAAATAAGTTAATTCAACCTGTAATAATACATAAACAATTTAAAAACAAACAGAAGGAAAGCAAGTACAAAAGTGCTTTTTATTACAATAAAAGGCATAGGGTCTCAAAATTATCAGAATTAAAGTTAAATGATAAAGTGTGGGTTTCCGATTTAAAGTGTTATGGAACTATTATAAAAAAATGTGATGAACCTAGGTCTTTTATTGTAAGTACCAGTAAAGGGAAATATAGACGAAATAGATGGCATCTGAATAAAGCAATTGATTGTAATCCATCGTATGGGGATTCAAGTTTTTTACATTTTGATGATGTTTGTAGTGGGGGTTATAATAATACTGAAGGTCAGTCATCGGGTGTTTCAGATCAAAATGAGATATTGATCAATACAGATATAGCAAGCTCTGCGGAGGATGAATCTATAAATAATAATGGAGAGCAAGTTCAAAGAAGATCTGAAAGACTTGTTAGACGACCTAGATATTTAGATGATTATGAGTGTTAAATTGTTTAAGAATGCTATAATTACACATATTCAAATCCTGTTAATTAAATTTTGTTATCTCAATCAATACTCATATATAATATATATGAGTATTGACTTCAATTGCAATTTTATGATTATGATTATATATTATATATTTTTCTTAATGTAAATTAAAAAGGGAAAGATGTTGAGAGAACAGTTATGTTATTATTGATTATCTGTGGGAGTGGACATAATATTATCTGTTAAATATCTATGATGATAGTTATAAAAAGACACGACTGGAGGAAGCTGTGAAATGAGATTTAGAGTTAATAATACTAAGAACATGTAACTATAGTTTATTAATACATATTAAACAAGTAAGAAATAGTTTTATTAACACATCTTAAAACACCTAGACTATTCTGCCCTAGTTTCTTATCTTTAATAGGCTTTCAAACTAGGGAAAAAAGCCACTGTAGTTTATTCAATTAAGAAAAACATTATCTATCAATAGGTTGAACAAAGCTTTTCATGGCAAATTCAGTACTTAACTATCAAAAATTAATATTAATGTTTCTGGTAATTCATTTGTTGACAGTTGATTAAAATTAATAATAAATTTCTCACAATTAGCACTACTACCCTTTTTTTTTTAACGTTGGGAAATGCATTTACGCACGACGTGTGGGACTCACCGGCGTATTACAGCCAGTACTACCCACTAAAACCCAACAAAACCTTCCCCCGTCTTAATGGGGCGTCGCAGGATCGCTTACGCATTCAACTACGACGCCCCGACGGCAGGTCTGCCGAAGCAGACCACAACAACCACGGGGTTGCTCCACGGTCCACTCTGCTATCAGAGAAGTACCAGGAGCAACCCGCATGGTATACCACCCTCCGAAGAAGGCCGCCTCCCACCGCCCACCGAAGCGGGCCACCTCCCTGTGCGTTTCTTGGCTTCGTAAGTACACTACTGAGCCCCCCCCACCACGACAAGGTGAACGCACGTTGGGGGGGTAGCACTACTACCCTATCTTATGTATACAAATACATATAAGCTAGTAATTGTGTTAAATATTTAATATATGTATAGCACATCTGAGATTAAAGTAGGTATATACCTACCATAGTATCTTAATTTCACTTATGCGTTCTACGACGTTTATTATGCATGGGTAAAGCCAAGCCCTCCTCAACCTCCGAGAAAGAGAAGGAGCCGGTCCCTGAAGCTGCAGAGGTCAAGGCCGAGACATGTTCTCCCTCCAGAGCAACTGACTTCCGACCGACCTTCACGTCGTCGTAACGCATAGGTTCCATGTTTTAAAAATATTAACAATGCTTACCAATCTCCTTTTTACACATAAAATTCACCTAAAACTTCATTTACATCGACTTTCTAACTTTTCGATGTAAATTTTTTCAAATCACAAAACGCTTTATATATGTAGCAATATACTCTATGCAAAACGCTATGACACTTGACAGTGGAAAAGGCGGCAAGCAGATGCCTGCACCCTCTGGTAACCTAATTATCAAACTTTATTGGATTCAGGTATGTTTTAATCTGTATTCTCGATAGTTTTGACAGATCACAGAGCTGCTTTCTTCATCTCAATGCTGTGTGTTTTTGGAGACACATAATGTATATTACAAAGGGCATCACATCAGGAAAACATTGGTAAATCACTAGTAAGACTATAAGCACTCACTGTCAGCATATTTGGTGGGATGTCACTATGTGTAACTCAGCTCAGAGCCGGTTCAAATATTCAGTTCACAGTAGCTAGAGCCGTTGAGCTGCGGCTCAGTTGCTAGATAATCGGCTCACAGCTCAATATTACTTAATATTAGACATGGGTAACTCAATGAATTTTTATGAGCTGCAGGTCAGCTCATGAGTCATATGCTTGAACCGGAGCTGTGAACCGGCTCACAGTTCAGCTCAATTGATGCTATATGGGTACTTATAACTATAGATTTACAGCTAATTTATGACTCTGTTCAAACAAATGACATATATGATGTACCTAAATTATATTTGTATGTAATAAAGCAGCATTTCGAAAAAAGTTATTATAGTCATATTTTTTCGTTCTTACACAATTATAGGGGAATGCTAATTTCATGCAATTATTATAAATGCTAGTGAGTTTGTTTGTTACGCCTTAACTATTCACCTGAATCCCGATTATCATTAAATACAGACAGAAAAGGACATAGAGTACCTACCTACTTTAATTAACGTAGGTACCGACTACCGTAGTTTCCTGTATCACGCAAGCGGAGCCGCGGGCGAAAACTAGTTATTTATATTTAATCTATAAAACTAGTACTTAATATTAGTTTATTGTTGTATAAAACTAAATAGTAGAACTGCCTTCCGAGACGGTGGTAACTTCCGCACAAACTAACTACACTGAAAATTTAAAATGTAAAATTGACGATTCAAAAGTGCTTGTAAAAGTCTATTTGAATAAAGTATATTTAGATTTTATCCTAATATTATTTTAAAACACAGAGCGTGTAATTAATTATTATTAATATAAGAAGAAAAAATATTAAACAATTAATTTGACCTCTCTGTAAAAAGTATAGATTATAGACTATAGTACAGGTCCGTCGGCTCGGGTCCATCGAAATAGCTGACGTTAGGTGGCGCTGAAGTGATGCACGGAGCCATATTAAGTAATATTGAGCTGTGAACCGTTTATCTAGCAACTGAGCCGCAGCTCAACGGCTCTAGCTACTGTGAACTGAATATTTGAACCGGCTCTGAGCTGAGTTACACATAGTGACTTAATATGGCTCCGTGCATCACTTCAGCGCCACCTAACGTCAGCTATTTCGATGGACCCGAGCCGACGGACCTGTACTATAGTCTATAATCTATACTTTTTACAGACAGGTCAAATTAATTGTTTAATATTTTTTATTCTTATAATAATAATAATTAATTACACGCTCCGTGTTTTAAAATAATATTAGGATAAAATCTAAATATACTTTATTCAAATAGACTTTTACAAGCACTTTTGAATCGTCAATTTTACATTTTAAATTTTCAATGTAGTTAGTTTGTGCGGAAGTTACCACCGTCTCGGAAGGCAGTTCTACTACTTAGTTTTATACAACAATAAACTAATATTAAGTAATAGTTTTATAGATTAAATATAAATAACTAGTTTTCGCCCGCGGCTCCGCTTGCGTGATACAGGAAACTACGGTAGTCGGTACCTACGTTAATTAAAGTAGGTAGGTACTCTATGTCCTTTTCTGTCTGTATTTAATGATAATCGGGATTCAGGTGAATAGTTAAGGCGTGAAAGCGTAACAAACAAACAAACTCACTAGCATTTATAATAATTGCATGAAATTAGCATTCCCCTATAATTGTGTAAGAACGAAAAAATATGACTATAATAACTTTTTTCGAAATGCTGCTTTATTACATACAAATATAATTTAGGTACATCATACACGTCATTTGTTTGAACAGAGTCATAAATTAGCTGTAAATCTATAGTTATAAGTACCCATACAACATCAATTGAGCTGAACTGTGAGCCGGTTCACAGCTCCGGTTCAAGCATATGACTCATGAGCTGACCTGCAGCTCATAAAAATTCATTGAGTTACCCATGTCTAGTGGGATGTATGGGCGGATGTGCGCCATCGTTCTTAGTGCCTTTCCGCGGGGAAGGCCCGTTGGCGAGCACACACGCCGCGAAGGGCCCCCACTGCGGGTCGCTGGTCTGCAACGACACCAGCTGGCCCAAGTTGATCTCCTTGGGAAACTCCGTGGTCTCGGTACGCGGGAAGCTAATGAAACCCGAAATATATAGCTCCTCTGCTATTCTCATTGTTTCTTTGGCGTTAATTTTCAGTTTTGTGGATGCTAGCTTTTCAAGTTGCTGGAATTTTGTCCGTTTAATTATAAGTTGACTTGAAGTTACAAAATTCATTTTGCTCAATTTACAAGTATTCCAAACTAAACAGCTATTAATAAATATATAAGATGAATGAAATAAGAAGATAGATATACGGATAAATGAATTTTTTTTCAAGGACTTTATTGATTTTTAATTTTATAATTAACTAGCATTGCCCGCGGCTCCGCCCGCGTTCAGATGACCAAAAACTAAATTCTTAGGTGTTACATATTAGTATACTCTTACATTGCAGTTTTTGTATTTTTCCTCAGAAATAAGATATTTTCCCGCGGTAAAAAGTATCCTAGGATCGCGCGCTACATCGCCCGGTTTATATAGCTTGAGCAGGCGGTCGAGCGATGCGGGGCAGAGGGGATGGACTCGCCGTAGGCATCTCAATGCTCGCCAAGCATTAAAAATGTTTCGCTACTAATTACTTCTAACAACGATATCTCAAAAACTATTCATCTGATTGATTTAGTGTAAAGAGCAATTTTAATCTGCATTAAATGACTAAGCTAACTAAAATATTCATTTGGATAAGGATTAATACCGAACTAAAGAAAATAACTTTGAAAATAACGTAATGTTTTTAATTAAAAATGTTAACATGAAAGTGGTTATTGTAAGTCAACCGTAAGAGATAGAGATATGCTATCGCGGACTTTTTTGTAGCATTTTTATAGATTTTGAATTCTCTAGTACATTACTTAACTGTATCTTTGCTAGTTTACGCGGCGTTCGCGTGGAAAGTTCCCATTTGGCGAGATTTTTTGCGACCTCTTCAACATTTGTCGCCGTATTTCAGCTAATTTACATAAAAGCATAATAAATTATATACCTAAACCTTCCTCAAGAATTACTCTTTCTATTGTTGAAAACCGTATAAAAATCCGTTCAGTAGTTTTCGAGTTTATCGCGTTCAGACAGACAGGAGGACAGACAGGAGGACAGACAGGAGGACAGAAAGACGCGGCCGGGGGACTTATTTTTATAATAAGTATAGATGGTGAGCAATTTGGAAGGGTTACGTAGTTGAATTGAGCTATTAAAAATCTATCGATTAGTATTTTTTTCATTGCGAATATCATAAATTTGCAGGCTGGGGTAGGGTACCTTGTTTGGTCGTCCCCCCCAACGTGCGTTCACCTTGTCGTGGTGGGGGGGCTCAGTAGCAGTAGCGAAGCTAAGGAACGCACAGGGAGGTTGCCCACTTCGGTGGGCGGTGGGAGGTGGCCCTCTTCGGAGGGCGGTGTACCATGCGGGTTGCTCGTGGTACTTCTCTGATAGCAGAGTGGACTGTGGAGCAACCCCATGGTTGTGGTGGTCTGCTTCGGCGGACCTGCCGTCGGGGCGTCGTAGTTGAATGCGTAAGCGATCCTGCGACGCCCCATTAAGACGGGGGAAGGTTTTGTTGGGTTTTAGTGGGTAGTACTGGCTGTATTACGCCGGTGAGTCCCACACGTCGTGCGTAAATGCATTTCCCAACGTTAAAAAAAAAAAAAAAAAGGGTACCTTGTTTAGTGTCGCTCTCGCTCACGAGATCATAATGTCTATTTCAATAAGATTTTACAAAAAATATTTAATGTACAAATTCAGCTTAGTTACAATTTTATTCTGTCTAGTTACAACTATGTCAAGTCAAACGCAATAGTTGCTGCCAGGCGCCTCTTTTCACACTACCGAAGGAGGGTGCATCGGGATCGGGAAGAGGAGGACCGCCGGTATTCCAATTACACGGAGTTGAAGACGCGTCTCCAAGTCCAGATATCCAGGGCCATCACTGAGGGCAGGGCGGAGATGTTGGAGGGGCTCAACCGAGATCCCTGGGGCACACCATATAGATTGGTAATGAACAAACATCGCCCCTGGGCCCCTCCAATAACTGAGACGCTCGGCAGGGAAGAACTGCAGAGGATAATGGAAAATCTGTTTCCGCATAGACCCAATTTCGTGCCGCCACAAATGGCTCCGCGAATAGGGGATAATGACGAAGAGGAAGGACTGGAGGACATACCCCAGGTTAACGAAGAAGAGTTAGTGGCTGCAGTTGTGCGCCTACGGGGAAAGTCCGTTGCCCCGGGTCCGGATGGAGTACCAGGTCGTGCGCTGTCTCTGATGATGGACGCCTTAGGGCCTTGCGTGTGGGGACTATTCACTGCCTGTCTGGCTCAAGCCATAATTCCACAGAGGTGGAAGACAGGCAGGCTAGTCCTCCTCAGAAAGGAAGGGCGCCCAGTGGAGTCTCCCTCCGCCTACCGACCCATTGTACTGTTGAATGAGTTGGCCAAGCTTTTTGAGCGCATTATAGCTGGACGCTTGATCAAGCATATGACGGAGGTTGGACCGGATCTGTCGGACGCGCAGTTTGGCTTCCGCAGCGGCCACTCAACTGTGGACGCCATCCTATGGGTCAAGTCTCGTGCGCAGGATGCGGTCTCCCAGGGTAAGGTTGTTCTTGCGGTGTCCTTGGACATCGCAAACGCTTTCAACTCCTTGCCTTGGGCTTGCATCAGGGAGGCGCTCCGCTACCATGGGGTGCCGACCTACCTGCGTCGAGTCATCGGAGCGTACCTCTCCGACAGATTCGTGGTCTTCCCTGAGCGGAACGGCTTTGGGAGATGGGAAGTGTCGTGCGGTGTTCCACAGGGCTCGGTTCTCGGGCCGCTCCTGTGGAACATCGGCTACGACTGGGTGCTGAGGGGAAGAACACTCTGGGGAGTCAGCATCGTATGTTACGCTGACGACACCCTGATATTGGCGCGCGCGAAAAACTACAGGGAGGCGGCGATATTGACGACGGCCGGAGTATCTCACATCGTCAATAGGATACGGATGTTGGGGCTGGAGGTCGCAGCAGAAAAATCCACGGCCATCTGTTTCTACGGCCCCCGAAGAGCGCCTCCACCAGGCTCTAGCATCTCAGTCGGTGGAGTCCGCATCGGCTTGTCGAGTACGATGAAATACCTAGGACTCGTACTCGACAGCCGGTGGAAGTTCCGAGCGCATTTTAAGGCTCTAGCGCCAAAACTGATGAGAACGGCAGGTGCACTCAGCAGATTACTGCCAAACATAAGTGGGCCGAACTGTACTAGCAGGCAACTTTACCTGGGAGTCTTAAGATCCATGGCGCTCTACGGTGCCCCAGTATGGGCAGACGCCCTCTGCCGTGAAAATGTGGCTGTCTTGCGGCAGTCACAAAGAATGATGGCGACGAGGGTCGTGCGTGGGTACCGCACCATCTCAGGCGAAGTAGCGTGCGTGCTGGCTGGAGTTTTACCCTGGGACCTGGATGCGCTTTCCTTGGCGTCGACTTACCACCGGCGTCGAGGCCATGCGTCCAGGGACCTGAGCCCAGCACCGCACGGAAGAGAAGAGCGGGATGCCGCACTCGAGGGGTGGATCGCTAGATTGGAGAACCCCTCGGCTGGTCGAAGGACACTCGACGCAGTTCGCCCCGTCCTCAGGCAGTGGTTGGCAAGACGTCACGGCGTCCTCACTTTTCGGCTGACGCAGGTCCTCACGGGGCACGGGTGCTTCGGCGGATACCTGTGCCGCGTCGCCGGAAGAGAGCCGGATCCACGCTGCCACCACTGCCACGGCTGCGTCGACGAGTCCGCCCAGCATGTGCTGGCAGAGTGTCCAGCTTGGGAGTCGGAGCGCGAGGCGCTTCGCAATGTTGTGGGGGCTGACCTAACGTTGCCGGCCGTGATTTCCGCCATGGTCGGTGACGAAAGGTCATGGGCTGCCGTCCTGTCCTTCTGCGAGGACGTGATGACGCAGAAGGAGGCGGCGGAGAGAGAAAGGGAGGCGACTTCCGATCTCGCTATCCGCCGCAAAAGGACCGGGCGCCGGAGAGCGGCCCACGATCGCCGCCTTCCCCCCTAACACCGGCCAGAGGGCGGTAGGCTTGGGGAAGTCTGCCACCTAACAACCTGGCCCGAGTAGGCGCGCGCGGTGTCCGCCGCGCGCCACTCCAGAAGGGTCGTAGAGGGTAGTGCTCCCACCCTCCGACACCGAGTCGTGCCGTTGGGCAATCGCCGTCGGGGTCGCGGATGATTTCCTGGTTCCCGTGGCCCCGACCCCAAGGCGAGTAAGGTGGACACCGTCAGGTTTTAGTGGGTAGGCTGCCGCGCGTTTACCATCTTTGCGCGGCAGGAGCCCCACATAACCCGTCGTTTTTCCCCAGGCGGCGGGTACCCGGCAACAGGGTTTCCTGACGAAAAAAAAAAAAAAAAAAAAAAAAAAAAAAAAAAAAAAAAAAAAAAAAAACGCAATAGTCGACACAACTTCAACGTCCACGTCTGCACAGCTTGCCTATCCGGAACACACTAATGCACTCGCATTTCTCAAGGACAAGCGCGTAAATGGTATCAAGCGTATGTAAGGGCTCGGAGCTTAATGTAGATGTTTGCCAAGCCTCGGCAAACGTGTAATTGTAGCATAAGAATTTTGTAGAAGTCGTATAAATCACACTTCACGACAATGTAGAGATGTATTTCCAAGTCGGCGAAAATCGGCAGCGTGTACTCTAAGCATGATGATGATTTATTAAGCCGTACAAATTTGAAATTACAATGCGTCTGGTCAATACCATAGATGTTAATACTCAATGTCAAATGTCAAATTTGTCAATAGCCATAAAATTGTTAATCTGTTAACGCAACTTTATGCCATTTTAAAAAATAAATAAATCATTAATCAGCAGTGTTTATTTGTATATAGTTTTGTGTTTATTTTAAGATCAGGTCAGAATTCTTTGTAAATATTTTTTAGAATGCACACATTGCAACAAGTATATAAAGCATATAGAGATTTAAATTTTGCTAGAATGTGTTTTCTTGTAAATTGTTTGAAAAGGTTTAAGAGTTCACAACAATGGTTAAGTCGTCAAAGGGCAGATCCTTATGTTGAAAAGGCTAAAATACATAATTATAGGTATGCTACTTACTACTTAGTTACAGTTTTATTCTATTATATTTCATGCATATCACGAATATACTTATAGTTTTAACATAATACATCATAAATTACAGATGCCGTAGCGCCTTTAAACTACTTGAAATGAATGAAAAGGCTAATATCCTGCATCCTGGACAAACTGTTATTGATCTTGGTGCCTGTCCAGGCTCTTGGACGCAAGTGGCTGTGCAAAAGACCAATGCCGATGGATCCGACTCATCTAAACCCAAAGGAACAGTTTTGTCTATAGACAAATTACAAATATATCCTATTCAGGTAATTTTATACTACTCTTTTGATGCTTAATACTTGATGCATAATAGTTGATTGTTTACAATACACCAATATATATCTATGTATTATTTTTAGGGAGCCACAATAATGAGTAATATGGATTTTTCAACAATCGAGGCACATGATAAAGTAATAGAAGTTTTAAATGGTAAGAAAGTGGATTTGGTTCTGTCAGACATGGCACCCAGTGCAACAGGAATAAGGGAATTAGATAAAGATAGAATTATAGGTCTTTGTTATATGGCTATTAGATTTGCAGCTCTTGTCACAAGAATAGATGGCAACTTATTATTTAAAGTATGGGATGGTAAAGAAGTGCCTATACTAGAAATGGATTTAGAGAGATTTTATAAAAGCATAAAGATCATGAAACCACAAGCCAGTAGATCAGATTCTTCAGAGAAGTTCATTCTTGCTCGAGGTTTTAGAGGTATTCAAAGGCCATTAGAAAATGGTCGCTGGGGATAAATTCATAAAATGCTCAACACTAAAATCATTTATTTATACATAATATGATTTTATTTAAGATCCGCATTATATAATAAATATAATTCATAATAGTTTAATTTATATATAATTTAAAAGACAAAAAGAAACCATAATAATATTTTATTGACTATTGTAAATAATACAAAATGATTTAAATAAGTAGACATAGCAAACTGTACTTGAAGTTAATTTTGTATTAAGAATTATCTACATATTATGTAATCAAGATACTAATCAATGTTATGCCTAGCCATCATATAAGTTTTCATTTATGTATATATGTGTATGTACTAAGTAAGATTGTTAAAAATAAATATATTTTGTTTCTGAATATAATATGAACAGTCTTCCAATAACAATATTAGAAATAATATTATGCAGGTAAGATAATTGGTAGTGGTCTTGTATAAAGACAATAGATAATAGGGTGAGATGAACTGATATATTTGACTTTGATATAGTAACATAATTTTATCATTCATTTTAAATGTTCTATAGGAAAATGTTTGTATTTAATTTTATTGATTAGACATTTTGATGTAAAACATCTATCTGCACGCCTTGGCAGTAAAACGGCGGCGTGACGCTCTGGACTCTTGTGTGTGCGCGCACGTATACTATACACGCTCCATTGTAAAACTGTCTCCATTAAAAATACTTAAATATTTTCTATTATATTTATGAATATATATTTTGTAATTATTATTATAATTCATAAGAAAATAAGTTGATTTTATTAACGAAACTCTATTTTATCTTTATTAATAATTAATATGGAGTAACCATATTTCGTTATAGGTTTCTATTAATTATAAACATAGATGTTTCACATCTGTCGAGCGTCCCGTGACGGCAATTTTTTTTTCTAGTGACGTATGAGAATATAAATGTGGAAATCTAGTTGAAGATATTACCTAATATTTTAAATATATAAATTACTATCAACTCAATAAAAGTATATGTCTATGAATTTATTTCTAGAGAAATTTAAGTAAATTTGATTTGTATGAGACAAAAATATAGTTACCCAGGTCAAGCAAAATAAAATGGACATTTATAAAATTAATTGTTTTATTTTCATAATTATTTTAGCATATTGAGGCATTTGCTTAATAGCTGTAGATCGAATTTTGTACAATAAAATATTCACAATGTTATACAAAATGAAAGCTCAAGTTAAATAAAAATAACTTCAATATACCACCTTAAAACCTTTTTAAAAAAATATCACAAGTAATTATTGTAAGATATACATCTGTATACATACATATAAGCATGAACTACTTAGCGCTAAAATTGTGGACGTAAGTTTATTAAAATGTAGAATAGAATAATAAAAAATTATCCATAATATTGTAAACATATAGTGTATTAATCTAACATCACCAAAAGAATATAATTCGTCCTGATGTAAGCTAGTGGAATTCTATAATATGTGGATAAAATTCACTACAATTTATGCGTTATACTTCCTCTATTTTGTGCATTGACACAACCAAATTACCAAAATTATAATGATTCTTTAATTTTTAATGGCTGTACTAAGCAGCGGGTACAACAAAGAAATCACATAACGTACACCTACATACATACATGTGTTACACGTCAATAATGTTGATTAAATAATTGGAACCTACGACGCGCTGCTGTCGTTTTTATATAAAGTATCTATATTCTATAATAATAGTCTATTCTGGTGATCGTAAGAGATGTTTTACATTGCTTGTTGGCTATTTTCCTAAAATACAATAATACCAATAATAATAATAATATAGTATTCTCTATATATAGGTATAGTATATATGAACCAAAAAAATTTAATGTTTCTTTTGTTTTTGAGTATTTTAAAATAATTGTTATTACATAGTATAAATCAATATATTATCATTTATATCTTTATGAAAAGTCTAGATTTTCTCATAACTTGCATATAAATATTTATATAATTTAATTAAATCTAATCTTGGACATAGAATTTTACATTACGTTTCGAAAAATAATCAATTTTATTTTATGGTGAACATAATTTGAATAATTCGGTGATACGCATAAGCTTAGTAACAGCCATGAAATTGCAATTGACTATATAGGGTTTAAACAAATTGTGTTCTTGTGCCGTGGGACAGCTTGTTCAACTGTGCGGCGGACAGTAGGCTGGAGTGTGCTGCGTGGTCCAGCAGCAAGAGTCGCTCTCCTCGCTCGTCGTTAGCGAGAGACGCGCGGGCACATCTCCCTCCTCCGGTTTCTAACGCGAAACTACTCACCGCGCATATTGCGTAAATGAATGTGAGTACAAACAGGGCGCATCCAAAATCTGTTAATATAAAATGTTCAATTATTCACTTTATTTCGTAAGTTATTTTGTGTCTGTCCAGCTTGACTTACTGAGTCTCAGATTTCATACAAACTTCGAATTTCTTGGAATATGTCCAGTTCCTCTAAGTTTATTATGCAAAATACAAATTAAACTTTTGTATAATATACTTACGATAAAGATTATGTCCTCCGAAGAGATTAACAACACAAGGATAACCGTCTCCTATCACAATAGCCACTATTAGCAGCACGACAGCGACGCAAGCAGCCATGATCCAAGGCAACACATATTCTCTCTTATATTTCACAGCTCCATGGAGTAGTGAGATACAGCACATAAGATATATCGACGTCAGTATGGTGCTCGTGTATAGGAAGATCACTGTGACTAAAAATGTAATAGCACTGTCTTAATAATTGAAATTGAGCTCTTTTGGTAGATCCAGACTATCTTAATTTATAAGGATAAAATATAAGTAGATTTATATTATAAGTAAAGGCATTTCAAGAAATTATATTTAAAAACAAACCTGAGGCTAAATGTTGTGCTTTAGCGAATCTTAGTTGATTGTTGGTGCTCACTACGTCTCCTTCATGAAAGGTTAAATGTTCCCCATAAGCAATTTCGTAGAATCCCCGGCGCTCAGCATCGTCTTCCATGTCGTTATGAAGCATTGACAGCATTTCACCAACATGTGATATGCCGACGAGCAAAATTATAAGTACAAACGAAGATAACGCCTGCAAAAACATAAATAGCAATTAGTTTGGATATAATGCAGATGGCAGAACACCATTATTTTTTGACGCATTACTTACAATTTGATGGACGGCAATAAGAATCGTGCCTTGTCGTAAATTAAAGACATACAAAAAATTATTTAGTCGAATCATCATTTTGTGAGACAGTTTACATTGCTCGTTTCTAACAAACATTTGTTTTATTTATAGCACTACGACATATCTGGTGAAAGTTGCAAACATTGTTTGGATAGACAGTATCTACTATAAGCGCGCATGTTATTTAATATCGATCTTTTTTTACCAAATGCGTTACGCGCATGTATAAACCGCTAAGCAAGCTATTCATATCAGAATGGTTTTGGAAGGAAAGGGCAATTCGAAATCACCAATTTTATACTAAATACATTCTTTCTAAATTTTCAAATAGCGGCCTATATGGTAGAAATTATTTATAAAGTCACGGTTTAAATTTTCAGCATCTCGTGCTTAGATATTTTAAACTTTTCAATGTTTAAGACGCTCTAAGAATTTTTTTAGCAGTCTATGCTTTTTTAACAACCGAAGTAAACATGTCCGTGGTTAGGATTAAATAAATCTTAAAAAAATTATCTTTGGAAATTATTTAAGCTACATTAAGAGAATCTATTTACTATAATTACACCGTCGATTTAAAATAGTATAGGTACTACGTTTTAATTTATTTTGGTATTGACAATTATAGTTTTCGTTTTGATACAAATCCAATAGACACACGGCGTGGCAGTCGTATATTTGAAGATTTTGCTACCTACTAAATATTCCTAAAATATTACGTCGTAAATGCTTATGCTGTTTTACATAAGTATCTTTTGCAAATAGCGAGTTCGATTCTGCACAAGGCATAAAATAATCGTAAGATATGCTTTAATCAGTGACTGAGATAAAAAACAAAGCAAAAGTATGCATGTTGGATATGAAGAACATATATTATTTGCTAGCGGCTCACCCTCGCTCCGCTTGGTTACGTCCTACGTCCCAACGTTTTAACGTTTAGTACCTATAGATTTCTAGTAATAAAGTAGTATATTCTAGACAAAAATTCTAAAAACTATAGCCTCGGCCTTTGTTTCGATAATAATGGCTATTTCAATAAGATTTTCCAAAAAATATTTAATGTACAGATTCGACTCAAGTTAGAATTTTATTATATAAATAGGATTACACCCAATCTCGCAAGGAAATCAAAAGAAAAGTATATTACTAAATTAGTTTTATTTCACAACTTACTATAGTAGTGATAATGACTGTATTACCGGACTTTTAGCTGGTATAAGTATATTTGGATTACATAATAATATACTAAATATGGATCACATAATAAACACATGTTATCTAACGAAACATTAATTAATAATAATAATATATACAAAAGTTAAATTTAATTAATATATCAAAATTTTTATTCAATTCAATTTTTTTGTTAATGGCTATAATCAAAGCGTGCTAGTTGAGCACAGATTACTTCGCCAATGTCACGTAGAACAAAGATTTTATATGCGAAGAATTAAAGGTATTTAGATTAAATTAGAAATGTAGTGGAGTGTCTGTACTAGTGGCGGCCTATTAAGACTTTGTCGAATTCAACGAGGGCTATCGTTTCTGGTGGCACCAGTTGGCGCCACTTGCGAGTAAGGTCTTATAGCTGTCGTTAAAAAGTATTTGCTAGTGCAGCAGGGCCATAAATTTAATATAATAATAAAAATATTGATTTTTCTTAGCTCTTTTTTTAAAGTAATAACATTTGTTGAGCCGTACCGTCTCCGCCATAATTAATCAGGAGTGGCACAATGTTTACAATAATTATGAATAATTAGTGAAGATCCGCGATGAAAAGTTCGCAAATGGTTAACATTCATTTGACAGTTCTAGAGACCTCACTCTACACTAGCGCCCTTCGAGGCGAATTCAAGCGCGGTAGCCATCATTGCTTCATTGATATCAAATAGTATAATAATTATCCATTACTCCTTAATAATTATTATAGATAAAAATATATTTTAAAAATATACTTTTTCTATCAAAAAACTATTTCAAAAGCTTTTACAAACGTGAAATAGAAAATATTAAATAAACTACTCAAAATTTGGATTTAATTTTGAGATCTTTGGATATGGAACATGAAAATGACATGTTACGAAATATGTTCGGATTTCAATTTTTTACAATTTCTATTTAGATTTCAACAATACTTGGTATAGAAAAATTATAACACGTCGCCACAGAAATTGTATATGGCTATTTAAGTTGATCAAATGAAACTGTTAGATGAATCTTAATCTATTTTAGTGCTAAAACGTGAAATAATATAACAAAGAGTTACACGCAATGTTAATTGAGGGCTTAATAAGGAGTTTATATGTAAGTGCTATAAAGTAAGACGTATAATGCGCAATATATCATATTTGCATCAACATTTCGGACACAGAGCTTTTAATGTACTCATTTAAATGATTATGAAATGAGTTAATATCGACTTATACATTCTAATAATTTAATTTTCATTCAGTATAATAAGAGTAGTACGAATCAAGCCCTAGCAAGGTATTTGTATTATACATAATATAACATAAACAAAATGTTAATGCGTAACATTACATATAATTAAGTAAATAGTATTGCAAGCACAGGAAATTTTTCATTATTCTAATTATCGTATAAAGAATCTCAAAAAAAAAACAACCCAAAACGCCAATATATATAAATAAGTATATATACATACATATGTTAGCAAATAACAAACAAAAATATGTATAAAAAATATCGGTCGTTAAGAATGTGTAATGTGCTAGAAGAGCAGCTGGCGCGAGTAATGCAACCACTACGAACAATCAATGACTCAAGTTACCTTCTAGGGACGGATTGAACCAAACATGTATTGTATGACACAGTTTATAGGTTCGTTTTATATACAATCCATTACTAACAATCTATAAACATGCTAAGCAATGTAATGTTAAATGCAAAATAAACGATGTATTGTCGCGACAATTCACACACAACCGTATTATGTAAGGAATAACAAAAATAACTCACGTACGTTACGTTGCACCTAATCATTGTGCAAATCGATAAATGTTCAGAAAATAGCCGATTCCACTTCGAGATAAGAATTTGGCAAAAAGTAGGTTTTCTTATAAGAAATATTTGTAAATGTAACTAAAATATTCAAATTTACGTCAGAACTATCCTTATTATAATGGACATTATGTGACTTATTACTATACTTCTATTTTTGCAGCATTCTTAATGTATAAAATTGTACTTGCATAACAACTTAAGTTTTTTACTTTAATTAAGGTTTTTTTTAATACATATATCCTGAATGTGATATATATAAAAATCAAGTGAAACATTTGTATGTCTTTTTGTATCGAATATCAGACCTATATTGAAAAACGATATGAATAACTTATATGATGTAAAAACGACTTGAATTATGTGAGCTTTAAACATATACGATTTTAATGATTATATTTGAAGTTTCTCACTATTATAATGAATGTACAATTATAAAGTACACTTTCATATGGCAAGGATATGTGACATGTGCGAACTATGGACAGACACTTTTCTATATAGGCTTGTATTAAGTTTTTGAAGGCCTTTACTGTTTCTATCACCAGATTATAATAACATTAATATTATAAATTATAAGTAGGCACAATATAGAAATTTTACATGAATAAGTTGATAAGTCAAATAAGATTTCCAATTCCGTGCTTATACGTTGTGAATATATGTACATATATCCTAAATAAAACTTAATTAACGACAAAAAATAATCTTCCAAATAAATAAATAAACTCATAAAAATTGAATTAAAAATAATATAATTTCTTAAAAATTCAACAATATTGCCAACTTATCAACTTATTCACGCCGCCATTATAAGGTTAGTCTACGAATAGATGGACAATAGTCTAGTTGCCACTACAAAATATTCACATACGGTTATAATTAAATAACACTTATATTCACAAAATTCACAATACATAATGTTAAGTAACAATATCTTAGCCTAATCTTATTCTAATAACAAATCCGTTGTCATTTACAGCCTGTATGTGGTAGGATTCTCATTTGGACATCACTGCGTTGATGCTTTCAAAGTGCTTGAATGGAATTGTATAGAACAATGGCCGTCAGATAGTAAGGCTTTGTGAAGCATGATACAAATCATTTGTCGAATAGTTCATAAAAAGATGTTGCGTGCACAATTATTTCATATAATCAAAACATGCATGTTTTTTCTTTACACAAACCTATTGTGTGTTTAACACATTTTCCGTGACACACATTACTATTCTTAATCAATAGATTATATTTAGTATTCTAAAAGTAATTTATATAAAATATATTATGCAAATATTTTTTTAAAATATTAAAAGAAAATAATTACGAATTTTGATATAAAAAAATTAAAAGGTATATTTACATTATTTTTGGAATTTATATCACTAAACCAGTCAATATGCAGCTGCCATAAAGCGTCGCGCAAGCTAGATAATAACTGGTTGTTTCATTGGATTCAAACTTGTATTGTGTCTGTTTTATAATCTATATAAAAAGTGTGAAGTAAAAAAGTTTTTATATGTGTAAATATTTAAAGTACACAGTACAGCATGTGGGACTAGTCTTATAATATGAAGCAAATTATTGAATAACTTGAAATTGAGCGATTTTCTTCCATTTGTATATTATGAGGTAAAATTAAAAAAAATAAAGATGTGAAAAAAATTGAAAAGGCATTTCATAATATGATATCAAAAATCCATAAACACAATCAAATTCTCTTTTGTAGCATTTAAGTAGCAGTAAATTCCTCCGTATGTACTCCAAAACCAAATAACCTGTCAAAATATTCGAGATTTATATCATACTACCAAAGTCAAACATCAGTCAACAAAAAAAAAGTTGTCAAAAAAAATTTGAAGATCTTTATCGTACTGTCAATGTCAAAAATGAAAAGTAAATAAAAAAAACAAGCTACGCAATAGTGCAGGAGTTCCTGCCGGTGCAGTTGAGGCGCGTGTGGTGCGGGTGCTTGGTGGCGCGCGCGCGGTGGCGACTGGGCGCGGCGGAGATGGCGTACGACTTGAGGTGAGACTTGAGCGCGGTGGGCAGCGGCAGCCGCTCCAGCCCGTACACCGATGTACGCGCCACTATCGCACGGCAACACAGCTCTTGGAGGCTGAGCACTGGAAATTACATTAACATTACACTAATTTGCAATGTGAAATATTAATACCTAATAAATATACAGATTTTATTTATTTTCTAATATTGTTTACTAGCATTGCCCGCGACTTCGCCTGCGTTCAGATGCTAAAAACCAAATTCTTAGGTTTTACTACTTAGTATACTCGTATATTGCAGTTTTTGCATTTTTTCTCAAAAATGAGATATTTTCCCGCGGTAAAGAGTATCCTATATGTTGACCCGGATAACCAGCTATCACCATACCAAATTTCATCAAAATCCCTCCAGTGGTTTTTCTGTGATGCGGTAACAGACAGACAGACAGACAGACAAAAATTCTAAAACCTATAGATTCGGCCTCTGTATCGATAATAATGTTTATTTCAATAAGATTTTCCAAAAAGTATTTAATGTACAGATTCAGCTTAGTTACAATTTTATTATATGTATAGATTATTAATAGTAATTTATGTTTGTAAATGTAATTATAATTACATCACTAAGCAATAAATGGGCCATGTTTTAACTTACTACATTTTATAGTCTAGACTCATAGAGTTTAGAACTATTAAAGTCAAACTTAGCTATGCCGAAAAAATGCTTAACAGGTACAAAAACGTAAAATTGTTGATTAGGATTTAATTGAATTTCAACAACATTAGATACGCGCCAAATGTTCGGTCAAATAGTTAAATCGTAGGTATTATTTTAAGACACATGATAAAGAATCTTTATTCTGAGAACCGCATTAAGTATTTGTAAATTACACTACAATACTACTTACTTACTTACAATACTACTAAAAACCATTGATTCGCAAAAATTTTTAATTTTTTTTTTATTCAACCTTTGTAAACCTAATACTTTCTTAGATGTACCCGAATGTTTGGCATTTATTTTGAATTTTGGAGCGACGTACCGAATGCTTTACATGAATCGAATCTGTTTAGTACAATTTCGAATGAATATTTAGATGAATTTTCGTTCGGATTCGGGCTAGATTTCCTAAATTATACTATCTCAGCTCAGTCTCAGCCGAAGATGTCCACTACTGGACAAAGGGCCTCCCTGAAACCATCCCCACCCCCATCTATGGAGAGGCCGATGTCCAGAGATTAATAATATATTATAATGTATAGAAGAGATTAAAGTATATCAATCTCAAAGCTATTCAAACTTTTAATAATGCTCAAAGTAAGTAATTATCAACAAGTCAGTTCCAGAGCCAACAAAATTATTTATGAAATGTTGGATGAAGTTATAACAGTGGACTGGAATAAATGAGCAATAATATTAATTGACAAGATAGTTGATAAACAAGACATAGAGAATTAAAAAACCATCAGTAAAAAAATTATAATAATTGTAATATAACTGTATGGAGGTTATGAAACTCTTGAGGAGAACCAATTGATAAAACTGGCAGGGTGTAGAAACAGCTTCTCAACATCTGGCTATGTCTATGTTGTAAAACTGGTTATGGAAAAATAGATATTGAAGGCTAAGCAATATGGTTAGCACTAAACAAAGACGCCATAACTAGTATGTCACTTTTTTGTAAACCTGTAACACAGCAGTTTAAATTAAAAACTAGACTAACATTTTCAATAGTTTGAGAGGTCAGACATGGAGACCACCGAGTCCCACCTAAAAAAGGTTCAAACATTTCAAGTAGAAATGTTTTTTAAGCAACTTGGAGAAAAATGGCATGAAAATAAATGGAGAAAGACTAGCATTTTACATTGATCTTCCTAATAATACTTAATATATGATATTCTGGTGATGTAGATTATAGTGATTGTGTTTTTAAATAAAATAGGGTTTGACTCATGTTTGTGATGTGTTGTTTATTTAGAGCTCTAGAAAATATAATAATGTAACAGTTTACACTTAGAAGAAAGCAAAAAAAAATTACCTTTATTACTCCTCCACAACCTTTCCATGCCATTGCGATGTAGTGCCATTCTTGACAGTTCACAGAAGCTCTCACGTATATTGAAGTCACACAGTGGACTCACTTCAAAGAAAGCCATGTGATTTTTAGCTGCATATAACTCAGCATCTCGCTCTTGTACTTGACGTTTGAAAGCCAGATGAAGGCGGTTACCAACTAACACTTTTGGTACACCCGGTGCATGCTAAAATTTTGTAATGCATACTTAGTTGCAAAAATACTTGTAATTTTGAATTAAATCTACAAAAAGATGTAACTTAAGTACCTTTTCCACTTCCTCCAACCACCTGTCAATACTGTCAAAAGACCATTTATTTGTGATGTCATACACAAGGAGGATTCCTTGAGCACCTCTTGAGTATGATCGAATAATTGTACAGAATCTGCCTTGACCAGATGTGTCCCACAATTGCAGTTTAACTCTCTTGCCATCCAATAAAATTGTGGTGGTTTTGTAAGCTTAAAAGTTACAGAAATGTCAAGACTAAAAATATTTCATAAAACATGTTGCTTACTTTACATAAGAATTTCAAAGAGCTACCAATCTATATGAATAAAAAACAGTTGACTAAAATAACTAAATATTTGTAGACAGAAGTTATTAAGTAATTCCAACATTTTATATGTTTATTCTGGAATGCTATATATTGCAATATACAAAACCAGTTTTTCTTTTACTATTTTCATATTGGTCTTTAATCTTTGACAAAAACATAGTAACTTACAAGTAATTTATTACTTTTACAAGAAAAGACTTTACAGAAAAGAAGAAAAGCTTTTACAGAAAGCATGTTTTTAAAGTTATTTTTTAAATGATTGCAAAACAATATTGAACTTAATTAATTATAAATTGTTAATTGTTAGACTTGCCAAAACTCAAAAATGGCTGGACCGATTTGAATAATTCTTTTTTTGTTTTGTTGGGGTTTTGCAGGAGTGGTTTAAGTATAAAAAAATAGGGAAATCCCATAAGAACAACAGGAAATTCGAAAAGTTCAGAACTGTTTATTTTGTGGAAATATCAGATTACTTTCAATAGATGGGGTTAGTGGCAGGCCTATCATCTACATTCTACAAGTCAAGTTCAAGTTTAAGTTGGAAAAAAATATAAATAATATATAGTTTATTCCACACTAACCATTAAAAGATACCCAGGGATGTACCCGAGTGAAGCGAGGGTTAGTCGTTAGTTTGTTAATAAAAGTAAATTTCACTTACCACTTCCACTGCAGAATGGAGAATCAGCAGATCCATCTTCTAAATCTTGCAATATTTCTTGTTTACCTACATCGGAATCACCAACAAGTAATACTTTCAAGAGATAATCATATGATTTTGGAGCTGCTGGTGGCCTCCCTAAAACAAATAATCAATAAGGTTTTTTTTTATAGAAATAGTATTTTTGTTTAATATACATTATATTAGTTAAAAACAATGAAAACAAATGTAAGTAATGTAATTTGGTACTAGATGTGATAGATGATCTTAGCAACTGCTACTGTACAACATTTCCATGTATATTTAGACAATTTATTTTCATATTTAAATACATTGTCATGTTTTAATAATGTATATTGAACTTAAATCATTACAATACAATTTATTATTATAAATATAGCTAATTGAAATTATAATTATTAATAATATTTTCTATACATAAATATAATCTCTCTGCTTACCCCACAAGAGAGTGTTATGGCATGCATGTCTATATACAAAAATAAAATTATTTAAAAGCGACCTTTTCGAAGAAATTTCAATGATTAATTCGAATACGTCATTTGCAAAGATATTATTCTAATATGAATATTATATTTGTTATTTTCACCTGTTCTCTGGTGATGGGATCTAGGCAAGGTAGTGCTGCCATTCTGTGCGACTTGTCCAGTCGCCTGCTGAGGTGCTGCTACCATCCCCGTCGTAGTGAACATACTTTCAATGTAACTCTCCTGATTCTCAGGCGTTTACCCCACGCAAATGTATACATAATATCGCCGAACACTTAATATTTAGCCTTATCCATGTAAAGTACAGCAATTATGCCATTTGAAGACATTCACAAAGCAGTTTTTTAATAATTATTTTGATTCAATACAGCAAAAATACACTATACGGTCACTTCAATAAAACTACACTTATGTTATAGTTTACGCAAATTTGGACATTTTTACGTTTTACGTGTGGCCGTTAAAATTCTTTTACGTGTTGATCAATTTGACCACATTTAAAATATAGTAATGGTTGTAACTTTATTAACTTTATGGACACAATAACAACCCAATATTCAAGAAAAATAATAAATTGTGAATGGTGAATGAGTACATAACACTATAGGTCGAATTCCACAGATAAAACTTCTGAGTTCTGACCATGGATGACAAATAAAAGTTCTGACTTCCACGAGCTATCGACTGTTCATTCGAGAGGTGACATTTCACATTATCATCTAAATTATTTTTGAAAGTAGCAACAATGAAACAGATATCATGTTATTGCTTTGATAATCTGTGATACAAATACAGGACAAAGAATTTTATAATAAGACGTCATTTTCAATTTTGACAGTTCGCACTTCGCAGGATGAGTAGACTCAACAATTGCCATTTAAAAAAAAATAATAGACTCAACACTTAGGAGGATAATGCACAGGGAAATAAGAAGATTAAATAAAAACTTTTTAACAAAAAAATAAAAACGGACTTCAAACAAAAGCACTAAAAAGTAAAAAATAACTGATTGGTAGTTTTCATTTACTATACATACCTAATCAAATATTTTCGAAGTCGGTGTGCTTTGGCTAAGTAATTAAAGCCTACTTATTAAATACATACCTAATCAAATATTTTCGAAATCGGTGCCAGCCCATACAAAGCAACAAAATACAGGTGTCCGGGTTCGAATGCCGATCGGTTACAAAGTTTTTTTCTTTAATATCTTTTATATTTTTTGTATTTATTCAAGTTTTTATTTTTTTTATTTTTAAGCCAAATTAAAAAGACAATTGTACTTTTGGCCAAAAACTTCGAGCAAAGCTCGGAGGCCCACGTACTGTATATTATGTTATAACGTATTAAAATGTATTCCTATTAATCTTTTGTGCTCATTTTTGGACACATATATAGCTTTCATTTTATTTTATACCACTAAATTTCGATATTACGCTCAAAGTCCTTCAAATAAGTGACAATTAATACTGTTATGAAAACAACAAAAACTTTTATTTTGATTTTTAACGGACTTCAAAAAAGGAGGAGATTCTCAATTCGTCGGACGGCTCTTTTTTTATGTATATTCACCGATTACTCAAAGACGCCTGAACCGATTTGGAAAATTCTTTTTTTGTTTCAAATGGTATACTTCCCAGGTGGTCTCATATAAATTTTATCAAAATCGGTCGAGCGGTTTTTAAAAAAATCAATAATAAATATATTTTTTAAATAAATTGCTTATTTGAATATGTTATTAAAAAACTTTCTTCTTGCAAATTACCTGCATATTACATCTACACTAAAAAAGGGGAAAATAAAAACATAAAAAAAAACGACTTCCAGGCACTAAAAAGTAAAAAAATAACTAAACGAGGGTTTTAATTTAGATAGATACCTAATCAGTTCGAAGTCTATACCAGGCGACAATGTTTTAACATAATATGAATATCTAATAGGTAAATATGACAAGGTATGAACTCTAATTATAGTTAAAATATTATAGGTACATCAATTTGTGATGTATTTTACGTATCGAAATAGATTAGATTCGCTTTACTGGTACCGACTCGAAAATATATGATTAGGTATGTATTTTAAATGAAAACCCTCGTTTATTTATTTTTTACATTTTAGTGCCTGGAAGTCGGTTTTTTTAAATTTTTATCACACAAACAAATTTTGTTTTGATTTTCGATTTTTTTTTATTATACTCCCATTGTAAAAAGCATGACACACAGATACGACTGTATACACACAGATACGACTGTATACACACAGATACGACTGTATACACACAGATACGACTGTATACACACAGATACGACTGTATACACACAGATACGACTGTATACACACAGATACGACTGTATACACACAGATACGACTGTATACACACAGATACGACAGATACGAAATAATATCGTATACTAGCGACTCACCCTCGCTTCGCTAGGGTTTGTTCCTAGGTGATTTTTTAAATTGACATAACTCTTTTTATTTATGAACCGATTGAAATAATACAAATATACTAAAATATGTTAAGTGAAGCTTACCACAATATAGTAGTAAAAACCGCATCCAAATTGGTTGAGCCGTTTCTGAGATTAGACAAACGTACATACAAGAATTCTAAAATTCATTGTCTTGGATTCAATGACGTTAATAAAGACTCCCAACAATAGTTTTTCTCAAATATCTTTTTTATACAGACAGCGATCAGTACTTTTTATTAAATGTATAGATTAAACTTTTATTTTAATAATAAAAACACTATGTATTGTTTTAAATATATTTTATTATAAAAATAAATGAAACGCCTAATACACTATATTATATAAGGCACTTTAAATCTGAGTCCGTAACACAGAAATAATATAAAAAGTTAACAATATGTTGTCAAAGTAACTTAATAAGTAAAGGAATAATACATTATAAATGCCACTAAAATTATTGATAGTTTGTCAGATCATATTAAATATTTTGTCATTTTATAGATAACTATAGCCTCAACCACAAATGTGTTTATGCATAAGTTAAACACATAACTTGTCATTTATATAACTTGCATATAATTTGAATATGAGCAATTTTAAATTACCAAGTGCACCATATTGTAATTTCATTTCATCTGCTTAATATATTTCATATCCTGGTAGAGGGAACGTTTGGCTGTATTTTTCAATTTCTTCTTTGAGAGCGCTAACTTTAGCTTTGATATCAGTATTTTCCTCAATTACTTTGTTAAAATCTACCAATTTTGGACCAGATAAATCCGTGACTTCTTTGCCCAGTTTAAGAGCTTTGTCAATATAGTCAGCAACTCTGACAATATCATCTTCCTTTAAGCCTCTTGTAGTTAAAGCAGGAGTACCTATAAAATAAAGATATTTTTAAGTTGTTAGAATCATTGTTTAAAATTAAAATTTATATTAACATAAAATACCGTTATTCTTCAGTGTGTTCATCATGGCTTCATATTAATAAATAATAATTAATATTAAATAATCATTATTAGGCAGCACACATACTTGTATACCACCATGTATAAAAAAAAGCAAAATTAAATACATCCTACCTAGCCGTATGCCACTAGGATTAAGAGCACTCTTATCTCCAGGCACAGTATTTTTATTAGTAGCAATGCTGACAAGCTCCAGTATGCGCTCGGCGCGCGCCCCGCTCAGGCCCACGTTGCGCACGTCCATCAACAGCAGGTGCACGTCCGTGCCGCCGGTGGAGATGTTGTAACCGCGCGCTTTTAGACATTCGCAGAGCTTTTGAGCGTTCTTTATCACCTGTTTTATTTCATTTATATTATTATTTAATATATGGATAGAAAAGTGGTTCTCAATTCTTTTGGGAAACTTACTGCTACTAATGACGAAAAATTGGCGTTTGTATATTCTTTTTTTATAGTTTTAATTTACGATACTTTCTTTACAACAAAAATATCACAACAAAAAAAAAATATTATGATATTCATCATTTATCCTTATATATAAAATTCGAATTTATTTTTCTATACATCTTTTATTATGATATGAGGTGAGAATAAGAATTTCATTTTTTACTGGATGTACAGAACCTTAAACACAGATAAGCTTGTAAGTTCTTACTTGTTTTTGATATTCCACAAATTCCGGTGTTGTGGCTTGCTTCATAGCGGTGGCTATGGCTGCGATCGCGTGGTTGTGAGGCCCGCCCTGAAGCCCAGGGAACACTGCTTGATTAATCTTAGATTCAAAGTCGTACATTATCTTTTCTCCCTTTGCATTTACTGTTTTCAGTCCTTTACGGAAGAAAATAACACCAGCGCGAGGTCCTCGCAAGGTTTTGTGCGTGGTCGTTGTCACTATATCGCAGTACTTAAATGGACTCGGAATTATACCTGCAAAAAAAAAACAAATAAAAATTTGTGAAATATCATATTGGGTTGGCACCTTAAAGTATTTTCTTGTGTGCGTGTGTGTGTCACGGTTGCATCACAATATGTATATATATATACTTGAAGACAAGTTTGGCTCAGTGTGTAGTGACCCTAGTTGCTGTGCCAGCGGTCGCGGGTTCGAGTCCCGCGGGGGGCATTCATTGTGTGATGAGCACGAATGTTTGTACTCCAGTCATGGGTGTTTATATTTATAGCATGTATGTATTTAAAGTTTATATAAGTATATGTAGTGTACCAACTCTCTGGTATCCATAGCACAAGCCTCGTAGCTTACCATGGAACTAGATGGTGCTGTGTATATATTGTAATATTATGTATGTCCGACAAAACATTCATTGTTATTTAAGACACAGTGATAGGCACGAAATAAACATTAGAAATAAGGATAAACTGGTTAAGCCTAGCTTTCGCCTTCAAAAAGTGAATAGATCTTTTATGGGGCAAAGTGTACGCATGTATAATAGAATTACACAATCCATTTTGAGCTTGCCATTTAAAAAATTTAAGTCTAGAATTAAAAATGTATTACTGAATAAGGCTTATTATACTGTCACGGAATACTTCGTATATATCAATGTGTGGAACTAATGTCTGGTTGGGTCTCTGGATAAATAGATAATTATTGTATTATAATATTGTACACAATTATTATTTTTAAAAGAACAACTGTTGAGTTTCTTAATAGCTTCCTGACTGACTTCACTGACATTTAATTTTAATTTAAAATGTAAAATTGACGATTCAAAAGAGCATGTAAAAGTCTATTTGAATAAAGTATATTTTGATTTGATCTTGTATATTATTTTCATATTTATACGACCCATTCAATTCCAGTTCAATATTATCTGTGTAATGTACTGATAACAAAATGCGAAAGTTTAATTGAACAACACTTATGTATGTTGCTAACACGATAAGGAGGAGGCTTGTTGTATTATGTCAAGTGTTTCATCATGTTTCTAAATGGTAAAAAATATTACTGATAATATTTAAAGTATATTAACCCTTCAGTTATCTATGCCCAGACCAGTAAAGTATATATTATGTAACATTATCAATAGCACCTGCAATAATAATCATTATTTACTTTTATAAGTTCGCTTCTTTACTTCCTAATATACCTTTTCTTTAAAAAAAAACATACATGGTTAATTTTTTTGAATTTTTTTTAAGTACATTCTTCCATATTCTTATGAGCTTAAAGGCTAAAAAGCATATATCAATTAATTACAAATTCTTAAATTAAACAGGATAAGATGAGCTTTATTTTATATTTAGTCATTAAATTATTTTTTTCTTTAACCATATGTATAACTAGCGACTCAGCTTTGCTTCACTTGGGTTCTTTCTTAAGTACGTTTTAACAGTTATTATGGTATCCCACGGGAATTGTACATTTTTATGGGATAAAAAGTAAGTAAGATAATCTATTATTGTGCCAAATTTCATCCAAATCCGTTCAGTCATTCTGGCGTGATTGAGTGGCAAACATTCATCCATCTAAAATTTTGCATTTATAATATTAATTAATGGGATGAGATATAACTGGCCTAATTAAAAGTAGTAAAAATGTTGATAGTAGAGTATATATTTTTTATTTTTATTTTTAAAGTTAGAGCCTGCTGTATAAAAATTGGAAATACATTATTTATTTATATATTACCTGCAGCAATAAGTCCAGATACATGAGCCATATCTGCCATCAAAATAGAACCATTTTCATCCGCGATCTGGCGGAAGCGCTGGTAGTCAAAGCAGCGTGAATAGCAACTCATGCCTGCTATTATTAAACGGGGTTTAAACAACTTGGCTGTTTCTGCCAGTTTATCATAGTCTATTAAACCTGTTTTTGGGTCAACCTAAAATAATTATTCATTATTATAGGATATACAAGAGATTTCTTAGTAAAGAAACATTTAGGCAAGATCAGATAAATCAGTTTTTTAAATTAATCTTTTATTATAAATTTCCATGACATTTCTCTAAAGAAAATATTTTTCAATACATAGTCTCTATTATATTTTTGTTTATCTAGTTTGTAACTTTTACAATACCTTATAGGGCATGCTTTCAAAAAAAATAGAGGTAGCTGATATTTTCTTAGTAGCAGTAAAGAAGCCATGGGTAAGATGACCACCATCTGGCAAATCTAAGCCCATGATCCGGCCATGAGGTTCTACAAGTGCTGTGTATACAGCAAAATTTGCTGGTGATCCTGAAATACATAATACATGTTTTGAATTAAAATTTAGAGATTTATAGAACAAATTCTATGAAACATCTTTCTTTGGTGTCATTTAAATAAAAAAAAATCTCCACATAAGAAACTTACTCTTTCTTTATTCAGACTTAATTTAAATTTTTCTATTTACCTGAATATGGTTGGACATTCACACCCCATTCCTCAGGGTTAAGCTTATATGCTTCCAGTGACCTTTTTTGAGCCAAAATTTCAATTTCATCTATATATTCATTGCCACCATAGTACCTAAAATTATATATGAACATTTAAAGTTTTGATTTGATTTTTTCAGGAACAAAAAAACACTTCAAAATAAATGAATTTTTATTTTACCTTTGATGTGGCATGCCTTCTGAGTATTTATTATGTAGACAAGAACTAAGGCATTGCAGAACTGAAAGTGATGTAAAGTTTTCTGAAGCTATCATTTCTAATCCACTTATTTGGCGTACTTTTTCTTGTTTTATAATATCAAACAATTCAGGATCAGTGTCCCACAGGTTTCCATTCAGAATTTTGTTATTCATGATTGAACTACTGTAAAGATTTCTAGCTAGGAATGTGTTCTGTAATGATTTAAAATTTTAAAATTTTATTACAAAATGTATAAACGACTGTTGAATAACGAGATATTAAATACTGAGTGGAGAGACAATTATCAGAAGGTCTTTTAATATCCTCAAAATCATTGACCTATGATATTGGCGTCACAAATAAAAGTTGAATGCTTGATCAATTCAATATCAAACTAATTTATTATATTACTCTTGTATATTAAGATGTTTACAAGATAAATATTGTTATTCTAAAAGTTTTGCTGTAATAACTGACGTAAAACTACTTATTTATCAATTGGTATATACATAGGTAGTTCTTCTAAATGATAACGTGAACTTTTAAACTAACCTCGTATACTTGAAAGTTGTAAAAGGAATTGCACCATTCAATTTGTTTATATTAAACGAATTACGAACTTGAGACTTACTTTAGAGAGTATTTTTGCTTGCACTGTAAGTACTGGTCTATGAGCTGAGTGTGCACTCAGAGTACTAAATCTTCGAGAGAAATCGTTTAAGCAAATTTTAACGAATTTGTTATGCATTTTTAAACTGTCCACACCCAGACCTCACGAAATACTTTGCGTTTTATAACTTCTTTTTACAAACAAGTATTCATTTTATCAGTAATGATAACCTAATATGAACTTTATAAGCATCAAATTTGACGTTTTAAATGTCTCGCTTAACACTACAGTCTACATGCCACAGAGCGCTCCTCTAGACAAGTCTGCCAATAATAAAATATTATATAGAAGTTGAATGTGCGATGAAAATGTTAATATGGGTATTGTTTAATTTGGTAATTTATAATATAAGTAATATAAAAATATTGAAATTAACGTTTCCTAAAGTAATATTCTTAACTGCTTAATAAATATTCTTATCTCCTCTACGGCAAACAAAAGTTAATTAGTCTTCTATATTATCCAAGGTCTTTTTGTAATTTTAACAGAATGTAATCAATGGTGTTTTGTAATACGTTCTATTGTTCACAAAACTAGCAAAAAAGTGTTCCAAATCCAGTAGCAACAAACATGCTCACACATTTATCAGGGCCGTATTTAACCTTAGCGTCGCCCCTATTATCGAAATTTTGCATATATTAAGTAGTTTCGATAAAGTTTCAATTTTTTTATTATTTTTTTAAAGATGTAAAAAAAAAATTATAAATGATTTCAATTTTTCGAAAAATGTATTAGTATTTTTTTTAATTATTCATTTTGTGGAAAATAATAAAAGCATTTTCGATAACGTGAAGAATTTTTTTCCCTCCCTACGAATTTTGCCGCCCCTAAAAATTTGCTCGCCAAATTGTTACGCCCTGGGCTCCAGCCCAGAGTGCCCCTAGTTTAAATCCAGCGCTGGTTAGAAGAAAAGAGTATGACACAACTAGCAGACAATTTTTACGCCTTAAGAATCACATGACTCCGCTAATATGGGCTTTTAACAAACATACTAATAATAGGCTAACATCTACGTTATTTTAAAGAGCCAATGTTATGTACACCTGAAACTTACAGTCTTCCGCCTTTCTCTCCACTTTTAAATTACTTTAAATTGCCATTTATGCTAATAAGATGTTTATTTTGTTAAGCATTCTGCCCGCGACCACGTTCGCGTGGACTAAAGAGTTGACTCAGTTTTAATTTTCATTGAATTTATATGTTCTCATATCGAATTTGTAATAAATATTATATGTACATTTATGCTATCACTCTAGATTCAATTGGCTTAGTCTGTGCTAAAAAGTCGTAAAAAAGAACTTATAATATAATTAAGAACTTCTTCCTATACTACATTGGTGGTATATTGCTTTGTTGTTTGTTCTAGTGTTATATTGTTTTTAAGGGGCACGCTCACTAAGCCAAGCCAAGAGTTCGTTTGTATATCAGAGACATCCAGGATACACTCTACTTAGGTTCTCTCTCTCTCGTCTGTTATAGTTGTCACTGCTGTGCCCAGCCGACAAATTATACATATTTTAACAGTACATCATGAACAAAAAAAATATATAAGTTCAAAAGTTCAATACCTGTGTCGCAATTACTAGCACCCTTCTCCACTACTCATATAAAATCATGTTGAAAATGATCCACACATGAAAGTGTCAGATGCGCGACACTCAGATTTAAACACTCCTTTCCAAGAAGGCTTGGTATTAATTAATACTAATGTCGGTACCTAAATTATAAAATTAAACTTTAGGCTTCGAATAACTAACAATTAAATTATTATTACTTAACGTACGAACTGTTGCTCGTCTAGGTATTATGTGTTAAGCTTAATTTTATTATAAAGATAATTAAATATTTAAAACGTGATTGTTTTTAGTTTAAATAAAACTATCTTTTCGGATATTTTCGTGCATTTATTTTGATTTTTGGTTTCCGACGTTTCGAATGCTTTACAGCAAACATGGTCACAGGAGAAATTAAGGTTTTAGACTTCATGATAATTTTGTTGACCAGACAGTATATCCACAAAATTATATAATGACTAGCGGCTCACCATCGCTTCGCTCGAGTTCGCATCTAGGAAAACATAAACAAACCTATCCCACGGGAGCAGTACCTACACTTTTCCGGGATAAAAAGTAGCCTATGTGTTATTCCAGACTATAATCTATCTCTGTGCCAAATTTCATCCAGTCTGTTCAGCCGCTCTGGCGTGAAAGAGTAACACATATCCATACATCATACATCCATATTCACAAGCTTTCACATTTATCATATTTATATACAGATATCCACATTTCAAAAAATACAGTAATGACATTAAAGTACCTAATAATATTTGTTAACTTTATTTTTATAATTATTAATGTTTGTTAATTTGTTGTTTTTGTACTTAAGGCTTAGAAAGGAAGCAAAAGATCAATCGATTTTCTGTTTACTGAACGCTAAAAACTTTCGAATAAGTTAAACACAAACGTCGAAGCACATTGCCTTTATTACTATTTGCCATCAGTTAGTAAACATGGTGTCGGGTTTTAGCTATAAAGGACAATCTCGTTGCAATTATGGCAAACATTAGCCGGATGTTGCAACAAGCTTCGTTGTAAACAGATATTACTGAATAGAGGCTTTACATTTTTTATTTATGTGAAGGATAGAGTTATGTTGAAGTGAAACCTCTTCTTTTGTTGTTATTATTTTAGGGCTTTATAATGCTACATTGAAGTCATAAAATTATAATTAAAATTAAAGAGCAGTTTTGATCGGCTTCAAAGAAGAGGAGGTGCTCAATTCGGAAACTTTGGAAACATATTCTTGATACTAAGTGAACTGCGCCAGATTGCTGAGAGAATCCTGGATTTTGGTGTCTAGAATCTAGATCTTGATGATTGAGCTAGTAACATACTTTCCATTGATATTCCTTTAACTAAATTTGGGACTCGAAATAACAGCTTTCAGCAATGACTGTTTTAAAAAACTACCTTTCACCGTATAAAATTTTATAGTAGGTATATATTGCATACCTACCTCGTACATTTTATAGTTTTAAGTAAGTTCTTAATTAAAACTACAACTATTACTAACATGTACATGTACAAGCAACTAAACCAACCTTATAAATATTTTACTTTAAATAAAAAATATTAGTGACGGAAAGGATTCATTTTGTTTTTTCGTTTTTGTTATTTAATAACTATACAGTGTAGAGTTGCCAAATAGCAAAAACGGTTTTTGAACATTTTTAGTATAATTATTTAGAGGTATGTATATTTAAAATTGAACAAATACCTACGCCTTAATTTCATTTATATGTATAATCTAATATATAAAATTTCCATGTCACAATGTTAGTTACCGTACTCCTCCGAAACGGCTTTACCGATTTTTACCAAATTTTATATGCGTATTCAGTAGGTCTGAGAATCGGCTACTATCTATTTTCCATACCCCTAAGTGATAAGGTTAAGGGTGGTCCTCCCAGACCCCACCCCAGGGACGAACCCGAGCGGAGCGAGGGTGAGTCGCTAGTAATATTATAATAGGATACGGATTAGTTATATTTATCACGGTGATCAATAACAATTGAAATAGGAAAAATCATACAATAAAATTTTTATCAAATTACCTTAATTATTTTAGTGGTTGCCGAGAAAGCCATATAATTAGATATGGTTATTGTCTTTGAAAATACCATTAATAGGTAAATAGTAGCAAATAACAAGGGTCTATTAGGAAGGGGGAAAAATGGTTCAAATACATTTTAACGGATGATGTTAACTTATCCAATTTAAATCTTGAAAAATGTATAATTTTATTAAAAAAATCAACTCTCCAGGTTCCAAAAAATAAATTGTTTATGTTCTATCGCGCGAAAAAGTTTCTTGTTCAAGCAGGTACCCGGGTCCCGGTATAATATGTAAAGTGGAAATTACTTTATCCCTTTATGTCCCAGAAACTTTCCTAAAATAAAAAGTAGCATTTATTTATCTTAGCTGAATTTTTAATGTGATAGTAAAAGTATTAAATATAAAAATTGACCTTAAAATCGTTTTAATGTTAGGCTAAGTTTGTTGAATCTTTATTTCAGTTTGATTCTCACGTGGAATGGGTACGCTCGGAGGAGGATAGGATTGAGCAAATATTGTAGTCGATATTTTTTAAAGAATGTAGCTTTTGAGCTTTTTTTTTTATTATTCTTAGTATTCAAAGCTGCGTGGTAGTACTTCTAGTATATTCTCTAAATTATACAGTTACTTATGACATAGATAACTCTCACTAAAACAAACTGCAGCTTAATAGCATTTTATTTCTGTACTTTAAGAGATGAATTGAACAATATTAAAATATTGATCGTTGATATTCAATACCAACGTTATACGTAGGCAAAAATAATAATGATGGTCAGATGGTCCCAACTCCCAAGGATGGTTCAATGATGTGCCATACAATAATAGTAGGTACCAGAAGCAAACTTAGCATATAGTACCTATAATTTAAGTACACAGACGTAGTATTTTTTAAAGTAGGCCCGCCCGGGTTTACCGTAAACGTTTAAAAAAACCTTTCTTCATAGTTTTTAATTTAAATAAAAATAAGTAAAACATAATTATGCGTAACGGCCACAGTTAGAAATCAAATAAAAATTAAAAAACGAGCTATAGTGCCGCTCATGTACATCATTGCTGGAAAGAACTTAGCGAGTATAAGTATATAAGCTTTTTCGTGAAGTTTTAGAGAAACAAAGGTAAGTAAGAAAAGTTAAACTATTTATTAAGTGTTTTTATAAATATTAAAACTACCTATAACTATTCAGCAGAAAGCATAACTACGGGCATTCCGTTGATGTGTTTATTTGAGAGTTATGAAGAATTTATTACAAATAAAAATAATGGAAATCATTTTCAGTATAAGATTTTATTTCTTTATATATGTAGGTATAAATGTTAAAGATAATGTCTGCTTATGTGAGAACTTAAAAAGAACTTAACGAAAATAATATATAGCTTATTGTAAAATTAAAAGTGTGTTACAGAGATCTAAGGTTCTCTTAAGTCGTAAAACTATGTGTTTTATATATTAATGTGAAT